TTACAATTGATGCTAGATTTTGTCATTGCTACAATGGATTTTGCTACTGTACAGGCCGAATGACAATATTTTTCAACTTCTATTATTAAGCAAGTCATGAATATGATCCTCCGTGTACTACTGTACAATGTACATTGCAGAGGCTCTACATGAACATGTAAACTGCGTACATGTACATGTACACTGCGTACATGTAAACTGCGTACATGTAAACTGCGTACATGTACACTGCGTACATGTACACTGCGTACATGTACACTGCACACATGTAAAATTTGTACAAGTGCACAGGAAGTTAAGTGAGAGTGTGAGTCTGTGAGAAGATGCATTAATTATTGATAATCAATCCAATCTATTCCAAATCATAAATTTATCACCAAGGTAGACAAACATCAGGCTTGTGTACTAGTACATGTATAGCAATCAAACAAAATATAATAGGCTTGCCATTGACATGCAGATGGCTTCTTTACTCAGCAACCCATAGTTGCAATGTACTGATCCATGCACCTCCACCACCGAATAACTCCACCATTTCATAATCATCATCATCGTGTCCCTCAAAACCGGGGCCCCGTTGCACAAAACTTATCATTGAGGATAACTTTGCCATCAATGGTAACTACCATGGAAACCTTGATTTTGATTGGCTGTTGAGCCCTGTTACCATGGTAGTTGCCATTGATGGCAAAGTAACCATCAATGATAAGTTTTATGCAACGGGGCCCTGATCAGACACCTGGTCATTCCCTCCCACATATGACGGACATCGCACACTGCCTTTGGAGTTCGCTAGTAGTAGTAGACTCTTTAATATTCTCATACAAAGCACTGAAATCAATCAAGAATTTAAGGAAAAATATCATAATTTGATACCAGAGTGATTGCACCGAAGCCAGTGTGCAATGTCCGTTGGGTATGGGAGGAGGAGGAGATTTCAGACGCATTTTAGGTTTTGTTTACCTGCTCTCCACTCAGGGTTATGGGTGCCAATCAAGGCTACATGTATTGTAGAATGTAGATGATATCAATATCATATTTCATATTGTTAAACGTATTAGACATCTGAGCAGGGCAATTTTTAAATGTTATTGCCCACTCAGCAAAGTCGATGGGATTTTGTGTGTTTTATTCGGGTCAATAATAAGACACAGTTAACCAACGAAAAACTATTATTGCCCGATCAGAAAAGTCAAAGGCAAAATGCTTGTTAAACTAGCTGGCAATAATTAATGTAGAGCCAACATCCAGGTATTTTGTCATTTTTATTGCGCATATATTACGCGTATGAGAACCTGCACACTTTGCGCACACTCTATTGTGACGTAAAAATCACACCCAAGGCACACTGTTTGCAGCGTATCAAAAATGTTGACATTCCAGTCAAACCTCAAATTTGCACGATTTCTTCAGTATCTTTAACAGGTTATTAAAGTATTACCTAAGTTTGAAAAATTCTTATTTTCCTCATATTTTAAGGTACAAACTTGCAAGTTGTACTGAAGCATGACATGTCAGTTTGTTTATGTAAGATTTTGTATCGTCAACACTAAGCCCGAGTCAAAACGTTTAACCGATGGTTAAACGACCGTATTCAGCAAAACCGTTTAGCATTTCTTGCTCCGTTTACCGTAAATCTCTATGTAAAAGACGCACCTCTATTTGGGGGGACCAAGGGGGGGGGGGGGGGAATCATTTTTTTTGTTCTTTTTTTGTTTGTTGCCGACTCTGAAGCCAGGTCCATGTTAAAAAAAACCACACGGGAAGGACTTTCATTTAACTGCAAAGTGCACTTGCAGGCGCCGATTGGTGCTTGTGAACTTGTCACAAATAATAGTAACAATGTTGTTTTTAGAAGAATGTGTAAGATCATTAATGTAAATTAAAAACAGTAGAGGACCTAGGATAGAACCTTGTGGTACGCCGTGTAATAGAAGAAAAATTGGAGGAATAATTATTATAAACTACATATTGAGATCTACAGTATTATTAAACCCCGTCTTAACCGAAAAATAAAATTGCAATGTCGTCCGGACGCTGTCCGAATGACATTCTACCCCCTTCCTGTTAAGACGCGTCAATCGGGGTAACGTCCGGACAATATCAAGGTGACACCAAGGTAATTAAGTTTCACCCTAGTCGGGCAAGGGTGATATCGCAGTGACGTCCGGACATTGTCTTGATGACATCCTGATAAACAGCCTGTTAAGAGGCATGCGGAACTCTACCTGAGTAGATAACGTCACAGCGCGCACAAGCTGATCGCGATGAGGCAGGTGCGGTTGTAACCTACTCAGGTGAGGTCAGAAAACAATAATTGTTGGCAGGATTTCGTTGCCCGTACAGAGATTTAAAAACAATGATTATTAGCAATACTTTGTTGCCCGTACAGAGATTTAAAAACAATAATTATTGGTATGACGTTGTTGCCCGTACAGAGATTTAAAAACAATAATTATTGATTAGACTTTATTGCCGATATGGACATCTGAAAATAATAATTATTGGCAAGATTTTGTTGCCCGTACGGAGATCAGAAAATAATAAATATTGGCAAGATTTTGTTGCCCATACGGAGGTCTAATAACAATAATTGGCGGGTCTTCGTTACCCATACAGAGATCTAAAAACAATATTTATTGGCAAGATTTTGTTGACCGTAAGGAGATCTAAGAACATTAATTATTGGCGGGACTTCACTGCCTACACGGAGATCTAAAAACAATAATTATTGCCAAGACTTTGTTGACCGTAAGGAGATCAGAAAACAATAATTATTGGCAAGACCTAATTGTCCATATGGAGATCTATTGCGCTCTCTGCTTAAATGTTTAAACGCTCGAGCGGATTGGCCAATGGGAGCGTGTTAACTCACTGAACAGCGCCCAGTGCGGACAGTTCAACATGCTTTTATGAACATGATACAAGACATTGTATCATGTAGACAGTAGACCTAGATCATTCTGCAGGAAACCTGCATTATTTTTATTTTACATGTTTAAATATCTTTAAATATATCTTATTACCCATGCCAGACAGTTATTTCAGTCTAAATAATTCCACAAATTAGATTGAAAGCTAGGCAAGTCTAGAAGCTACCAGGTAGATCCTTTAATTTTAAAGAAGTCCACCATTACCAAAGTAATCATTATCAGTAAACTTTTTTTATCAAACTTCAAACTCAAAGATATCTCAGCTCAAATCCACTACACTACATTGATATAGTGTCATAGTAGGCACTTCAGTCAAGTGACAATTTGCTCGGACAACTCTCAGCGGGATGTGCCCATTCACATATGTACACAGTACACAGCTCGCAAGCACTCCCAATGCAGATCTATTTGCATCATGAACATCCAATGATCCAAGCCTGACCAGACTTTCGGCAAACTTTCAGAAGTCGCCAAAAATGAATGCTTGTCTTCTCTTGTCTTCTACTGAAGTAGACTTGGGACTAATTGACTGAACACATGAAAAATGATGTCATTTTAAATTGTATACCTTCCTTAGAACGTCTTCTTGTTTGGGTGATATCAGTCTTGCAGTTCGGAATTTACGACGATAAGAAGGAAGGCTTCTCACGAAAGTGAGAAACGTTTTAAAACACTCTTCTAATTTTGCTCAAACATGGTGGCCCGAATTCACAAAGGAGGTTTGTTGACAAACCTTGGTTTTCGTATGTCATATGACGCGTTTTTTTTCAAACCTGGTTTGTAAAGAACAAAAGGAGGTTTGTTGAAACAAAAGGAGGTTTGTCGACAAACCTCCTTTGTGAATTCGGTCCAGTAAGTAAGAATGCACAGAATTGGCAATAACTTGGCTTTACCTGAAGCAATTTTCAAAATTCAAACTCAAAGTTTGCGTTCATAATAATAATATTCAGCTTTTATATATTGCTTAATACATCTCGGACGTCTCTTAGGGTGTAACAGATATACCATTACCCCGGTCATTGGATTCAGTGCTTGACCGCACACATTGTGTGCATAATCTCCACTCCCTGGGGAGCATTCCAGCAAGGCGTTACTTGACGTTCAATAACTGTTTGACCAACAATGTCGGTCGCATCCTACCGGGTACCCATTTTAACACCTGGGTGGAGAGTAGCAAGTGTAGGTTACTAGGTAATAATATCTTGCCAAAGGATATTAATAGTGCCGTGCCGGGATTCAAACCCTCGACCTTCCCATCTACAGTCAAGCGCCTTAAACCACTCGACCATGACTGCTTCTTCAGCAGTGTTCAGCCAAACATCATTTAAAGATACTAGACCATATCTCCTTTTGCAGTCAACATCTAATTCTGTTGAACTTTGCAGGAATTATGAATATGTTAAAGTTAAGGCAATGCATGTCCTATCTGTGAAATTTAAACATTAGCAGTGTCCTAGTATTCAAATTATGCAAGGAAACCTGTTTTAAGTGTTTACCTTCTAGACTAGAGTACTTCCACTAATACCAGACTTCACTGTCAGACAGTCTATAGTCTAGAGTGACTGACTCACCTGACTGACATCTGTTTTTCTTTGGTAAAAACATAGAGTCTACATAAAATGAGCTGTACAGCTACTACTACTGCAGGCCAGTACATGAGCATTTGTCTACATCCATAACTTGTAATGGCCAAAATGAAAGTAATTGAAATCTTTGTGTAGCACAAAACGTAAGACCATACGGTAAAAGGGTCTGAAAATCAGACTATTACTTAGGTGATTGCGGCTAGTAAATATTCATTTATGAATAAAACACAGCAATAATCACTGAAACAACATAAACAACGCAATCACTTAAGACCAAGTCAAATCCATTTTCAAGCCCTTTCCGCTTTTGTATCGAGGCCGAGAAGTTCTGAATTTGTTTGAGATTGTCTTTTATAATTGCTGAGTGTTGGAATTTAACCTTTTAATTTTGTTTGGCCTGCAAAAGGGTACTGGGTGTTAAAATAAATAAAATAAAAGTGCCTAGTCATAGTGAATCTAATATTTTACACCTTCAACTTACCATACTTGCCCATACGCTCCTGAGCCCACGGGTTCCAGTCGCACATACCGATTGGGGACTTCCCATATCGTTTTATTGAGTTCAATGTGATGGAAGTCCTCTGGCAGTGAATGAAAAGCAGACATTTTTATTGTGAAAAACAGAACTTAAAATGACACACCAGAGCAGAACAAAAGCCAAAAGAATCTACACCATTAGATACCCCACTATAAGTGGTACATAAAGTGTATATTTTCGCAGATTAATGTGTTTTCCTCCCTTTCTTTCTGCTCCGAAACGTTGAGCAACAGAGTACCTTTAGCGCCGCAAACTGAAGTTATCGATCAAAAGTCCATGAAACGTGAGTGTTCAACCGTGCGCGTGGAATAACTGGGATTTCCCTCACGTAACGAGTCGAGCCATGCCATCGTTTGTGAACATTTAATTTTAAGTCAAACCAGAATACCATTTAGAAAGTGCGATCAGCTGTTTCAAACCAAAGAAATTAGGATGTGTTAACACATTTCTAAAGTTTTTTTAAATTTTTTGTAAGAATTCAATTTATAGATTTTCATTGATATAAACTGTAAATTTTGCTGACATGAAATGAGTGCTTGGATGCATATGTTCATTAATGATAATAATAATATGTTCATTTATATAGCGCTCTCACACAAGTGGTTACACTATTTGGTATAAAGGTGGGAAGATCATTGAATTTTCCTGATATAAATGCCTTTGAGAATGTGAGATTATCCATTTTAAACCAATCAACAACAACAATTCTTTGCCCATTTCTGAAGATTTTAAGATACTTGGACAATGCAATTTTTTTAATGATAACTTGTTTTAACAAATGGGTACCATAATCAAATTGCATAAATGCGATCGAGTGCTTCTCCCCTCCCCCTTTTTTCACAACACAACTTCATGACTGATGGGGCCCTTGGATCGAGGCTTGGTCACTGAAAGTCAGAACACAGTCTAATGAAAATGTTATAGGCCTACCGAAGCTTGTTCTTGTGATCTGCTTGATTTCGGGCTTGATTTGGAGTGCAGGGGGGTGTTTCACAAAGATCCTAAGTTGAACTTATCTCTAAGTTGGACTTAACAATTATGGAATGACGTTAACATCCTCGAAAATATTTTGTAAAAGTTATTTTAAAAGGCATCAAATGTTGATTCAAATCATTCATATTTTCCATTATCATGGGAGATTTCATGTTCTTGATGTGGAATGTATGAAAAGTCTAAAATACTTGAAATGTTGCTATTGAATATATTTCATCATAAGGCTACAAATGGCTCTCCATAATATTTAAGTCCAAATTAGAGTTAAGTTCGACTTAAATTAGCAGAAATTTTAAGACAAATTTGGGCACAAGTGCGATTGAACAAAGCGGCGTTAGTGATTTTGCCAAGAGAGAGCTAGGGGCGGTGCAGGGAAAATGATTTCGTCACAGCATGACTAATTTTTATTAATTCATAATTAGCCTTTGCTATGTTTCAAGAAATTGACGACAATTAATGTGCCATATTTTGAATCAATGATAATTATTATGTATATAATCTTAAGTTTTTGCATTCCTTTCTTTTCTTGTATAATGTCTGAGCCTTTTATCACGGACCATGTTTTTATTAATAGGTGAACGCCACACGTAAAAACGTATTAAAGGTAATACAAAGTTTTGGAAAATTTTGAAATTGGGTGGATAGTGATTCTTTACAATTTTTATATATTTGGATGCCCCTGTGGATGTATTATAAGCACTAAAAAATTTAACCCCTAAAACACTTCTGCTTTTGAGAAAAATTGAATCTAAAAATTTACCGGTGCTCCCGGTAAATTTTGATAAATTTCAAATAGCGCCTAATACGGCCGTACGATGAGCTGCGACCATGAAAATCTCAGAATATGTAGTCGTGATATCTAATTTCTAAACAGGAATAGCAAATCGGTTGATTGTAGTCAAGAAACAACCAACCAACCAACCAACCAACCATTGTTTTACAGCTTAATTAATATCTTGACCTTGAGAGGGAGCTATACAACATGAAGAGTTTATTATTTACAATTTCTTATTTTTAAACTCGATTTTCACCGCGACAACGATCACTGAATAATGTAGGATCGCATCTGCTTCCAATATGTTCATTTGAACCAAATTCATGGCCCCATACCAACACTTTGTATTACCTTGAAGAGATACGGTGATAGAAGTTGGTAGAGCACTGATTAATACAAATAATTAAAAAGAAAATTAAAAAAAAAAAAAAAAACCTTAAAGGGCAGTTTGTGAAAGAAAGTTGTTATTTCGTGTGGATGATTATTATAATGAAAGGGAACCTTGACTACGAAACATGATGTGCAAGCAAAGCCCAGTTTATAAGGGACATCAACGTCTAAATGACGACCTCGTCCTCTGCACAATATGAAGAATCGCATAAGATGGAGCACAGGGGCGGCGCCACTGGGGGCAGGGGGCGACCGCCCCTATCATTTTCAAAAAAGGAAGAGGAAGAGAAGGAGAAGGAAGAAAAGGAATGGGAAGAGAAGGAGGAAGATCAGGAGGAAGAGAACTATAAAATGTAAATATGTATGACGTAAGGAAGGGCGGGGGAGAGGGAAAAGAAAAAAATAGAGATAGAGAAAATAAAGAAAAAGAGAGAAAAAGCAGGCCGAGTCAGACGATCAGCTTATTGGCAGTTATTATAGGCCTATACTGAGTGACTGAACATAGTCCTTTACCCGCCCATGTCATTGAGAACTCATTTAATGAACTTCGATTGCTGAAAACGTACTTGAGATCAACAATGACCCCAAAAACGTTTGTCTTCACTTCTGGTCATCAATTTAAACAGAGATATTGATATAGATATAAACAAAGTGATTGACGCATTATTTTGTCAAAAAAATATCCCCGTAGATTGGAGTTCCTTTTGACAGAAGAAAATCAAAAGTAGTGCATGTTCGTGATGCTGTAATTAGCATTTCAGGTTAACCAGCCTACATTTGAATTGAGCTTGTTCTTGCATTGAATTTAATTGAACTTAATATACATCAATTAAAAAAAAAATCTTCAACTTCTGAGGAGGGCACATTCCCTGCGTCGTGCAAGCGCGACGATGGCGCTGGCGATTCGCCCCCAGGCGCGTAACCAGGGGGTGCTGGGGGCGGTGGCCCCCTCCCCCAAAACGCCTGCCCCCCCAAAAGAGAGAGAAAGAGAGAGAGAGAGAGAGAGAGAGAGAGAGAGAGAGAGAGAGAGGGAAATGGACGTAAGAAGAAAAAGAAAAAGAAAAAGAAACATTTTTGAAAATTCAGACGAGGATTAAGAGTCGAGAACAGTACAATGAATCGTTTTCGTTCGCTTATAATTTAAAGAGATCGTTTAACAATGTTAACCTGAGATGCACGACCCTACGTGTTATCAGTCCCTGTGATATATGGTGTTATATTGAAGCCCTCGAAAAATTGCGCTTCAAAATGATCAAGAAGTGCCTCAAAAAAATAAAAACCTTTGAGTGACCGGTTTTTACCATACTCCTTTTCCCCAATTGACTGAAGTGTTATGAAAACCGTTTGGCAAACCCAAAATTTGATTTCGATTTTCTATAATAAAATAATATCTTGATAATCAGATAGGCGATCGGCTTGTAAAAGTCAGTGGCCGGGGGTCCTGACTGACCTAAAAGTTTATAATCATCATTGCAGCATGATATAAATCAAGGATTTTTTGTAAAGGATCTAAGACAAAGTTACCGGATCCCTTTAATGAAACGTCAAAGCTTCCGCGCTTTGCGCGGGAGCGGGGAAAATGAATTTAAACTATGAGATTTGGAGTCGAGAACTTGGTACAAAGAATCGTCTTCTTTATAATAATTTAATGAAACGTCAAAACTTCCGAAGCGGGAAAAATGAATTTAGACAAGGATAAAGAGTCGAGAACGGTACAATGAATCGTCTTCTTTCTCTAATAATTTAATGAAACGTCAAAGCTTCTCCCTGCACCCATCCCTCTGTTAGTAATTCGCACGCTTTGCATGCTCACTATCGACCCCCTGCACCTGTTCGCCCCCTAACAAAATATTCTTGCGTCGCCCCTTGGATGAGCACGTAAAGCAATAGGGGCACTTTACGTTTCCAAAACGGGCATGAGTCTCAAGTCATGAGTTTTAGAAAATGATTATGGCAAGTTATGTATGTTTTAAATAGAATATCTGATATTAAAGTGCATATTGTACATTCTTTATAAAGAAATGGAAATTTCTAGAGGGGCAATTTTGTCACTGAAAATGAGCACCATGTTTGGAAATGTGCAATCTGTTTGGATCTTGGCATGATGCGCACTCTAAATCAGTGCTCATAATTAGTGGGAAAGGTATATTTTACCCGGATCCAACACATACTCTTCCTTATTTAGATCTGCTGCATGAATTGCTCATACACAATGGGGTGAAAGGGGGCACTTTACATTATTAATTTAAAGTGGTGAATGCGGGCACTCAGTATCAGAAGTAAAACTGTGCAGCTATATATTTCGCTCGGTGGGGAGGGGGGGGGGGGGGGTCAAGGAGCACTTATTTTTAAATCAACACCGACCCCCTCCCCCTCTCTTTACCAAAAAACAAGCTTTTTAAACTTTTTTTCAGAAACATTGAGGGGGGTCTAACCCCAACCCCCCCCCCTCTTGCGTACGCGTTTTCTACAGAGTATATCATAAGTAGTTATAATCTCCTGATTCACTTCCTAGTATATGTCTAAAACATCAGATTTTAAAAACGTTCTCTCCTGTACGCCCCCGCGCCTAAAAAAATATCTTAAAGATACCATAGAATTTCACACCACAACACGATAATTTGTTTGCTACATTTTCTCACTTGTGAGGATCACAAGACACTATGCTATGGGTAATGTGTATAATTCGATCGTGCATAAATGCATGCACTAGCTGTATACATGGGCTAGGCACGCCCATTGCATTGCATTGCATTTTTGTGCATCCTCTTGAACCTCGGCGCGTAGACATAGATCTGGTGCAATTAAGTGCAGGTGCTAGTAATCTCTAGTTCTTGCATTATCATTTGTTTGAGCCGCGATGAAGTACACACGTGGTATCTTTGTTTTGCTTTTAGCCCTAGTGGTTATTCAGGGCAGTGCGAAAAATGAAGATGTGAATCAAAATATATCTCCGACGCAGTCAGTAACCACCGCAACCACTGAGGAGGAGTTGGCCGAAGCTCGGGGCGAAGAGATAGACAGTGATCCGACAAGCGAAGGAGCAGGAGGAGGCTGTGGCTGCGGGTCGTCTGCTCTGAACAGGAACCATGACGAAGATGCCCCTGCCCTGGAAGAAAATTCACATGATCATGTGCAAGAAGAAGCTGCCTTGAAATACTCCAGGGAGGCGAATGATCCAATAGACCATCCTCAAGCAAATGTTGCTGCCTTTCCAAGAACAAATCAAATGAATTTTATTGAAGGAGGAACATTTCAAATGGGGACGGATAAGGCCAAGATCTATCTGGATGGTGAAAGTCCATCTCGATTGGTGACCCTGGATCCGTACTATTTTGATGTGTATGAAGTCAGCAATTCTGAGTTTGAATTGTTCGTCAACACAACCAGTTATGTAACGGAGGTAATCATTGAAATCAGAAGTTTTGTTGCATCGTCCATTTCATTGCAAAAACAAAAGGAATACATTTTGAATTTAATTAAATGCAATTATAATGTTAATAAATGCAAATTACAAGTAGATCTAGACTTTGAATGTATACGATATTGATATCAACATCATATTTCATAATTCACCAAGCCCTTAAGGCTATGTTTTTCTGATCATGTTACATGTACCTTCACAAAATGTTATCTTACTGGACAAAGTGCATTTAACAGATTTAGTCGAGAGATAATGGTGTACTTGTAGTTGTAGATCAGCTAGATCTAGTGTCGTGATTTCATATGTTTTTCAAATATATAAGTTCTAGCTGTTTTTGTTTTTCTTCTTCAGATTTAGTTTCACATTGTTATATATTATATTTCATGTCTTTTTTTGCTATATATCAATATATTAGTATTTATGTCTTATTATTTTTCTTATTTACAGGCTGAGAAATTTGGAGATTCTTTTGTCCTAGAAGCAAGGATAAGTGAAGAAGTTAAGAAGGATATTTCTCAAGTAGTAAGTGCATTTGGTCTCTGTGTTAAAGGTCTTTGAGTATTCTGATTACAGTTACTTTAGTCTGATGTATTAAACCAAACTTAAATAGTATAGCATGCAGTCAATATCACTAAACAAAATAGGTTTTGTATATTTAACCGGTGTAAAATATATATCTACTAGGACTTGAACTGTGAGTTTATAAGTCGATTTGCTAAGACATTAATTCACTTCACTAATATCTGCAGCATAAGCCATCAGCTAACTCTGCTTGGCTCATGAGATACAAATAGACATGAAATTAGTACCATTATGGCATTGGAGTATATTATCCTGCAAATTATTATTTCCAGAAATAATTATTTTATTTCATGTTTGTAATTTGTGTCTTTCTTCATACATGTACCTTGATTGACAGGTTGCTGCAGCACCCTGGTGGCTTCCAGTCAAAGGAGCTGAATGGAGACATCCTGAAGGGCCGGACTCTAGTATCTCTTCAAGGTAAGAAAGCTGCCTTGGTGGTAAAACTTGAGGACTCGGCCTCTTTTAAAGACTGACCCCTAAATCGACTGATTACCGATGAAATACTTGCCATATAAGGGGTCAAGAATGATTAATTTTTATTTGATACTGAAGATTTAATCTGCTGTGAGGGATGTGGCTAGAGGCTATAATATTTTGTTTTAAAAATGTTAACCCTGCATTTATGGATTCACTTTTCTGAATTCAAACACTAAAGCCCTATCAAGTATCAACTCTTCAAGTATTATTTCCATTAGTTTACAGTGTATTTGAATTTTTTTCACATCTTAATTCACTTTATCTCAAGTTTTCAATTTTCATTTTCTCACTTCCATTTCTCGTCTTGAATGTTCAAGTCTAAACCGAGATGCAAATCGCTATGTGCAGGAGAGACAACATACATGTATGCCATTTGACTGGTTTTTAAGGTTTAAAGTTAAGAAGATGTTTTGAATAAATACAAATATTTCTTGGCAAAAGTTTCCCCAAAAGAATTGAAGATTGAATGTTTGGTCAGTCCTATTTCTATTTTTATTTACCATTTTTTATGCCTCCGCCACCGAAGGTGGTGCCGGAGGCATCATTTTTTCGGGTTGTCCGTCCGTACGTCCGTCCCGTTTGACCGTTATCACAATATCTCAAGAACCATTTAAGATTTAAACTTAAGACTCGGGAATAGTATTTATCACCATAGGAAGACGATCTGATTAGATTTTGGAGTACGTAGGTCAAAGGTCACAGGTCACAGAGGTCAACTTATGAAATTCCTTGTATTGAGTTTGTTAGCGCGATATCTCAAGAACCATTTGAGATTTAAACTTCAAACTTAAGGATAGTATGTATCACCATAGGAAGACGATCTGATTAGATTTTGGAGCACGTATGTCAAAGGTCAAGGGTCACAGAGGTCAACTTATGAAATTCCATACATTGAGATTGTTATCATGATATCTCAAGAACCACTGGAGATTTAAACTTCAAACTTAGTGATAGTGTGTATCACTATAGGAAAACAATCTGATTACATTTTGGAGCACGTAGGTCAAAGGTCAAGGGTCATAGAGGTCAACTTATGAAATTCCATACATAGAGATTGTTATCATGATATCTCAAGAACCACTGGAAATGTAAAAACTTCAAACTTAAGGATAGTATGTATCACCATAGGAAGACAATCTGATTAGATTTTGGAGCACGTAGGTCAAAGGTCAAGGGTCACAGAGGTCAACTTATGAAATTCCATACATTGAGATCGTTATCGCGATATCTCAAGAACCACTGGAGAATTTTCACTTCAAACTTAATGATAGTATGTATCACCATATCATAATATCTCAAGAACCACTGGAGATTTAAACTTCAAACTTAATGATAGTGTGTATCACCATAGGAAGACAATCTGATTAGATTTTGGAGCACGTAGGTCAAAGGTCAAGGGTCACAGAGGTCAACTTATGAAATTCCATACATTGAGATTGTTATCATGATATCTCAAGAACCACTGGAGATTTAAACTCCAAACTTGTTTAAATTGCTCTATGGCGGAGGCATCATTTACGACTACGCGCAGTCAAAATTCCATCTAGTTTTTTTTTAAAATCTTGCAGGATGGATCATCCTGTAACCCATATGTCTTGGAATGATGCTACAGCATACTGCCAGTGGGCTGGCAAGAGATTACCAACAGAAGCTGAATGGGAGAATGCTGCACGCGGAGGGCTCAAAAATAGGTAAACATATATATATATATATATATATACTTTCCTTGGAAACGTATAATGATTAATCTGCATAGAATCTGATCTTTTAATCTATCATCTATTTACATTATCTGGATGCATATAATGACACATGCATGCAGATTTACGATTTGATGAGCATAGGTTCTGATCTTAACTCAATACATTCTGAAGTTTACTAGGCTATATAGATGTGCTATTACACATTTCTTCAATAGAGGTAGGCATTATAGGTGACCACTAAATGACAGACTCGACAACATATTTTCATGCGTCACTGGCCAAGTGGCCAATTTCATTGCTTCCTATGGTCTAGTATGACAGCACTATAGATGTTCATTCTGATTTCTCTGAAACAATGTTTGCAGGCTTTTTCCTTGGGGTAACAAACTGATGCCCAAAGATCATCATAGGGTCAACATTTGGCAAGGGGAATTCCCTAAAGTCAATACTGCAGAGGATGGTTATGAAGGAACATGCCCCGTAAGTATTCCAAGGTTTTTTTTTTATATTAGTAACAATAATGATGATGATGGTAATGATAATAGTTATAGGCAAAGATACCAGCATTGCTACTGATGATAATGATAATATCGACAATAATAATGATGATGAGGCAGGGTACTGATATATTAATTAATGTAGCTCAGATAATGTACAAGTGCTACTTCTATGGGGATTTTTTTTTTTTTTTGGGGGGGGGGGGGGAGGGGGTATAATAGTTTACACACTGATGTGAAATATACAATGCGTCCCAGAAAAAACGAAACCGAGAATTATTAATGTTTTATCATAACTGAATCACAATTATAATTAATAAATGACACATATTTGTAAAGCTTAGATCCTCTTTCAAATTCGTTTTCACTTGCTGCCTGCCGTAGCAACAAACAGAGTTGACAAAAGACTTAACTCCGTTTCTTTGACGATCAGCCATGCACAAAGAAGACGAAAGACTTGATGCATGGCTGATCGTCAACAAACTGGAGTTAAGTCTATAATCTATAATCTATAATTTTCTCAGTCATATCTATATACTAACCCGTTACCAACTCGGCAAATAATTGGAGGGAAAAAAGTGTTGGTAATTACCAAACTAATATATATAAGAAATTGTAGATATTGTGCACTGTATTAAAAAAAAAAATCTGTTGCTTTAATACTGCCACACTGAATAGTCACCATACACCATTAATATGTTTGCTTAAAAGATGATCATTGCAATATTATAAATGAAGATTTGTATCCCATTGACTTTGACTGATGGGTTTTCTAGTCTTCCCACAATTGTGCAGGTACTGGTAGCAACATGTTATTAAAAGTACAGTAAAATTGCTTATTTCAGAGGTCTGTGGATTTACTTTGTAATGATTTGTATGAAAGAAAACAAAATTATCATAAGAGAAATTTGAATGTCATCATTAGGTTTTTCATTACGTGAATGCAATTTGATGGTAATTGTTTGTTACATAGGCATAGTTAATAGGCATAGTTTGTTGAGAAAAAAAATCTACATGATATTGCCAGCTCAAGCAATATTTCTCATAACCTAAAAATTAAGATTGTACCTTCAAAGTATCTCAAGCTACTTATTGATGAACTTATTGTGTGATTTCATCTAATTTTCTTTCTTGCATACAGGTAACAGCATTTGAACCCAACGGCTATGGCTTGTATAACACAGTAGGTAATGCATGGGAATGGGTAGCAGACTGGTGGAACACAGTACACAGTCCTGAATCTCAAAACAACCCTGTAAGTTGACTGGAATACACTTAATATCATTTAAAAAGAATATAACAATAAAAAGAAATGCATATATGATCGTATTCAAGAATCATTTTTTTTAGTGCAAAACTTGATGGCACAAATATAGCATTGTGAAATCACAAGATCAAAACTGTGGTCTAAAGACATAAAGACAGTTCATTTTTTGCTGTTGGAAGTATTGTGTCTTAGGGTTCATATGTTTGCACATGTATAATGAAGTTTCCCCCTCTTATTACAAAATGATTATTTACTTTTTGCTGTTGTTGCAATTGCAGGTTGGCCCTGATGAAGGTACAGATAAAGTCAAGAAAGGAGGATCATACATGTGCCACATTGTGAGTAGTGATATATGATGTGCATTGCAAGGAAGAGGTTGTGATAGATTGATTTATGTCGATAGTAGAAGGAAAGTGTGTTGTACGGTTCGGGCCATAGATCGTATCTCCTTTTGATAGAGGAGAAATAATAGAGAAAGAAATATAGAATATTATAAACATTAGGAGGGTGAGAGGTAGATACAGTTAAAAGAAGAGAGATAGATATATTAAGAGAAAGATGGAAAGAGAAAGACAGAAATATTAGCATGAAAATATGTGACGGTGCAGTATATGCATATATGTACCAGCAGAAATTGTTATTTTTGGCAGTTTGCTCTTTGAATGGGTTCATTTGTCTGTTGTAGTGTTTATAACAGAAAATCCTCATACAAAAAAAATACCTGCATATTTTCATGAAGAAAAAAAATGGTGACCGTTTATAAAGTACCGTATGTTGGGTGTAAGGTGACTATTCTGTACTTCTCCAGTTTAGTAATATGATGTGCATTACTTTCATGTATGTAGGGATGCACAGAGTGCTGGAAGGTCAGTACAAAGCCGTCTTGTATAAATCATCTTCTCTTATGTCTTACAGGTATATGTCAAACTTCCACGAAAGACTAATACACATATGTATTTGAATCTTTCAAATTGTCCAATATAAGTAATTTTGTTTCTGTCTTTTGTCTCAGTCTTACTGCTACAGGTACCGTTGTGAAGCACGTAGTCAGAACAGTCCTGACAGCTCTGCTTGCAATCTGGGCTTCAGGTGTGCTGCAACCAACCTCCCTGAAGATATCCCCTGCAACAATTGCAACGACTCTACACCTTGATGCTTCCTGCTCCAGTTACATGTGTTGCAGCCGTCGCCCCCAAAGAAAGAATCTTACCCTGAAGACTACCTTTCTTCCCATTTTTAAAGGTCACCCGACATTTTCTCTGGTGATAATTTCTCCCCGTTTTATTTCTCAAAGTCATCTTTTAGGGTTAGGTTCAATATTTTGGTTTTGGGTAAGGTTTAGGTTCAGGGTCGATTTTATGGTTAGATAAAGTGTATGGTCAGGGTTGATAATAAGAATTGTTAGAATTTAGTTGATGTAGGTCTGTTGGACACAAGACACAGGTAGCAATTTTTGGTTAGCCCACATGTCGTAGAATGGTTGTAATGGGTAGCTGTATGTAGATATTAAGGTCTGTATTCTTGAAAGCAGCTGAAGTTAAACTAACTGATCTTAGTCCACTGATTGATACAAGAGCATGTGTCAATCTCTCTATTTCATGTGTATACATGTACACTATAATTTTATAAGTACCAGTAAATGATTCAACAAATTTTTTTAACTTGTGTAAGTGAAAAAAAATTTCATGGTGGCATGATTTTGTAAAATCATTTAGTTACAGAATGAGGGTAATATAAACATATAATGATGAGGTTGACACTAAGCACTTCATATATATATGGACTCGTTGACATATAAGACTGCTTTTCTTATTTTTCAAGTTAAACAAAATAATCATTGGTTAGACCCGAGACAATAAATGAATGAATGACCTTTACTAACACTGTTTGTTCCTTTTGATACATGATATTTGGTCCTAACATAATTTAGTTGTTTAATGTTCTCTAATCCATGTAATAAAATATGGATATATTCGAACATAATCTCTCCCCCCCCCCCCCCAACCTTAAAAAATAATTTTCTATCCTAAATAAAAGCAGTTTTATATGTAGAAGTAATTCTTGTACATGTACTGCAATTACCCAAATGACAACATATGAAGAGTTTGCAGACAAATCAATGTTGATAAATATTGCTTCTTTACATGGCACGCAAATGCTGGATGTAATCAATATTTGTCTAGTACTGTTTGCCTTCAGTGAAAATTTCAATCAAGTTACGTACATGTATGATGTACTAGTGTATATTTTGTATGATGGATTGCCATAGTGGCCTTCAACAGCAATATTAAAATTCATGTACATGTATGCTGCGACCAAACAATATTCATTTTATGTTTCAAAGTTCAAACATGTATCTAACTAGTGTAATACATGTTTAATAGTGTACAAGCAATTCAGATTCGATCTTGGACACAAAGTGAAAGGGTTTGTGCAAGAGATAGATGGGAGAAGATGATTCTAGCATTGGGGGTACTTGGTATAACAATAATTTATTAATTGAAAGGCAGAGTGAAATATTTCATTTTTCGTTTTCATACTTTATTTATTTTTACATTACATGTACCGGTAAGTTATCAAAAATTTGCTCCTGTAACAATTCTTCTAGGATTTAATTGTCAAAAGAAAAGTGAGGGGTTAGCATTACTTGCAATAAGGTTTTGGGGTGAAGTTTAGGGCTAGGGTTAGGTATAGTGTTTGGTCAAGGGTTGAAGTTAATAGGAATTAAGTCATTGTAGGAATTGACCCCAGACTAATTGTACACACACTACATGTACAATGTATATCTCTTTAAAATCATGTAACAGTAATCATCACCCCTTTTCATGTAAAATCCTCAGTGCTGAAGGCAGTTTATGCAGATCAAATTATATATTGTACAATATGTTTTTGGACAAAGAAAAGCTTGTCCTGTTCTTGGAATTTAAGACGGATTTTAAGCATTGTGAAGTTAGGAAGGATGAGTAAATTGTCATGTTTAGTTTTACATTATTGTCCCAGAGATTTTATTTATTTATTTGGAAACAAATGTGTATCCTTTGTTTCACTGTAAGGGTTTGAATATCACAATTAACAATTCAAATTTTCCCTCCCTCCATTAATTATTTCCACAAGATTGATAAAAATGTATTGATTTTCTTATATATGACCAATTCAGGAACTTGATTGATTGCACCCTGGGGTTTGTTAATTGATCAAGGGATTTCTGTTTGACAATTATTTTAGTGGTCATGTTGTTGAAAAGTCTCGATTAGATTTTCACATGTACAATCGATGTTTAAACTTTTATTAGAAAACTTATACAAGTACAGTGTATACATTTTTTCTAGTAACGGTATGTATAGGTCATATATTGTACTACCGTACCAGTATTATTATAGTTAAGACTTAAAGGTAGTATGTTCCATTTGCAGGTTAAAAAAATGAAAAGGTCAAATTCTAACAGCATTTGAAAGACAATACTTCAATTTAAAACTTCCCTCAAAAAACAAAAAGGTTTGAAAAGGCTTTTTGTGGGAAATAACAACCATTAGCTGTCGCATCGACATAACTTAGTGATTACAATCACCTACATGTACATGTAAGTAATTAGTAATAGTCTGATTTTCAGACTTTTGTACCGAATGGTTGTACGTTTTGTGCTGCACAAAGATTTATCAGTTTAATTTTGGCCATTTAGTGGGTTATTGATGTACCGGGAGAAAAATGCTAATGTACCTGTTACAGCCCATTTGATGTACATGTATGTTGTTACCAAAGAAAAAAAAATGTCAGTCACTCAATAGTGTCTGACAGGGAAGTCTAGAAAGTAAACAGGTTTCCTTGCATAATCTGAATACTAGGACACAGCTGACGTTTAAATTTCAGAGATAAGACATACATGACATATTCATAATTCCTGCAAAGTTCTACAAAGTTCTACAGAATTTGATGGTGGCTGCAAAAGGAACATACAGGTGTATTGTCTTAACATTGTGTGGGTCATTGTAAACAAATTAACAAAACATGATTTTACAGGTACTTTAAAATGTATGGGAAACAATGGAATGACCTAACATTAAGAAATTACAGTTTACTAGTGGTGAATGTTGACTAAATTTTTGTTTCTATTCTATTTTTTTTATATACTAATAGACTCCATATTTACAACAAATTAATACTGGAGAATCGAATGATTATACATGAACTTATAATGATTATGTGTTGAGTATGTTGTTGTAAATTGTCTATTTTGATAAAGGTGCATGGTGTCTAACACAATATTATTTTAATGTGGTCATTGTCAGTACTTCTGTAATTCACTCTTGCAATAAACTTGGGAAATATTTTACGAAAGCATTTTGTGCAGATTTTTCTGTAACATGAATGTAGTTTTAAATAGATACAGTATATTTTTAACTTGTATGTTGCTAGTACATTAGAGTGAGAGTTGTCACACCTCCTTCTGTATTTCAGTCTTGTTTGCCTTGTCAGCTACTAGTACTAGTAATCACAAATCTTCAAATCATGTAAAAGTAACCCTTGAAATCCCACAATGAAAGTGGAATTTCAATTATAAATTTGATCTACAAACACTATTTTTTGGGCCAGACCAATCAACATCCATCAACATCTGCTATTAAACAATTCTAGATTAAAAGTGACTTTTCAGTGACCCAAATCTTGTCCAACATTGCCTAAATCCACAGACATGATAGTTAATCAATATGTCTCATCTCTCATCCCTCTTCCCACAACTCATTTTTAGAGGGAAGAAGCATTCATACATCTACACAGTACTAGTATTAAATTTGTTTGAAAACAATTACAACATGTTGCTCTAAACAGCAGAAAAGAACATCAGAACACGGATTGCATGTACTGTACAGTACATGTACAACTGTATAGGGCTCTTCATAAATGATGAAATGTATGTTACTGAATTTTTTTGGGGTAAAATTAATCTAGGGCAAGACATCAAGTACATGTAGGTTACATTTTTTCATTTTATGTTTAATTGAACAACAAAAATTAATTCTAAATTGAAGGTATTGAAATTCTGTTTACCGTAAAAAGCTGATTTTTTGAAGTCGATACAAACATAAATGCAGCATAATTACAACTCCCATCCTATGGTTTTATCAATCCCAAGTTTTATGCTTCAATGCCTGGGGTTGTATTCTGAAAACAATGTTATCTGTTATGGAAGTAAAATGATGTCAATTGTCAAATCAAATCAAAATTAGGACAAGTCCTTGGTTAATATCTGAGCAAAGCTGGCTGCATTTGCATAAAGTTAAAAGAGACATGGTAAGGTTATTCTGCGCAATTTGAGTTTGTTATGAACTCATTACAAATAACATTGTTTTTCTTAACATAAAAGTTAACATCATTTTCAGAATACGGCCCCTGTACATTAAAATTTTGATGACCTGAAAACCTCTGCAGTGACATAAACACTACCGGGTAAACAGCAATTTTAATGGATTATAGAGTACCGAAGCTGTGACGTCATGAAAATCTATTTTTAGAATTTCTCAATTTTTTCTTCATTTTCCGAAAGAGCATCAAAAATAATGTCCAAATGTCGAAAACAATTTGGACATTTGGACATTATTTTTGATGCTTTTTCGGGAAATGAAGAAAAAAATTGAGAAATTCTAAAAAAAGAAATTTGATGACGTCACACTTCACCACTCTATTGTCTGAATAGAAGAGGCGACCCAGGATGCCAGGATCTACCTTTCCTCGTATCATGATGATGATGATGAGAAAGATGTAACTAACAACAAATTAAACAAAGAAATGAAAACATTTCCACTCTGATATGGTTACCGGTAAATTTCAAACAAATCTATTAGTTGATGAGTTTTCAACCCATCGTTGGGTGTTTCTCAAGTTAAAATAAAGTGAGAAAAAATGCCCTGATCATGTTGAATAGATGGACATATCACTCGGGAGATATTTCTGGCAAGATTGATTTTCACACATGCAGAGCTTTCTAGGTTGATTTTTACAAAGATCCTTTGTCCCTCCTTTCGTTGAATCATCATTGGGTCTATCCACATTCCCACAATACTCGTAGCTCAATTCTTCACCAGGCTTGATGCCTCTCCTTGCAAACATAGCCACTCTAGGAACTTCATTATGGACTCGGACAGCACACAAGAATAAATTTGGTTCACAAGAATGATTGATAAACCTTGCTATGCTACCTTTCAGCCGTGCATCAATAAAAGTTTCCATCGCACTACGTCCCCCAAAGTTTTCCTTGAGAACAAATATGTAGTTCATGTCGTCCTTTCTCATATTTTGCATTCTTATCTTTGCTTCCCCCATCGTCAATACCTCTCCAGCATACTCGCACATAAAGGCATTTTCCTCTATAGACTCCAAGACCCTCAATCCCCAACCCTTGTGACGAGTTCTAAAGACCTCCAGTTTGTGATGGATGCCATGCTGGACTAAGCGATTCACACATTCTTCACCGCACTTGCAAGACGCATTGCATTCAAATATAGGTTTTGAGGTTACTGCCAAGGGATCAGACGTAGCTTGAAGCAGTTTCCCGGAAGGTGTGTAGTTTGGTCCAAACCGCTCAAGGCAAAGACACGATGGTCCACAGGATGAAACTTTACAGGAGCATCCACAGTACTGTACTTCTTTGGGATCTGTCCCTACCAGTCCAGGACCAAGAACATTTGATTGAGTATACTGGAAAAGAAAACAAATATATATATCTACATGTCATGAGCTCAACCTTCAGTAAATCTAACAATTAATAACATGATTTTGATTTTTAAATTAATGTTTATTTAGTTTGTTTTTGTAACTTTCATTCACTAGTTTATGAATTATTTGGATCACACTTAACCATATTGCTGAACTTTAAAGTATACTGAACATTAAAACGAAGGGAGTCCTCTCAGCTTTAAATCTGGACAATTTTGTCTGAGATGTTGGCACAGACTCGCTAGCATGGACGTACATGTACCTCAAAATCTGATTTAAATTGCTGATCACCCTCCGCAAAGACAGGAACATTCTCCATACCGCAACAAATATCCAGTTTCCCTGAGGGTGTGTCTTCTTCTCTACTGGAGGATGGGTGTGGATTCATCTTGAAATGACACACTCTCACTCTCAACGCGAAACCGATTGTAAACACGGGTATTGCACAATCTTCCTCTCAGTTACCCTATTCGCACTGTGTTTTCGCGGGGTGTAATAATGCGTGCAATGTGTGATGTATTGTGGGATAGTTTCGACCACACATCCATATTGCATGAGGTAAAATAAAGCGTCCGTTGGCAACTAATAAAAATGGGGATTGGAATGTGAATGCCTTTCTTTTGTACTTTGTCACAATCAGGCCTGTAAGTACGTATTTAGTTTATGATATAGAATTTGTAAAATTTATGTGGCAGTTGTGAATAAGAATGTTTAGGTGGTGTGGCTGTGTTCTAATCTTTACGTAAAATGATAATAACGTGATTTTTAAAAAATACATTACAATACAGGGCCCCGTATGCATGTATTTGTGTGTGGTACGGTAGATTCTAAAACCATAGATCTAGTTCCTGTTGTCACTGCACGGTTCACCTGTCTTCTCGGGCTCCGGCTCCTTAGTAAGACAATGTCTTGTAATGCCCTTCCATAGCTCATCAATAAACGACTGCAAAGAGTTCATTCCGTAACAGATTAGGTCTAGCTGGATCTGTAGACTGGGAAGACTCAACAGGATTATCGCGAGGCGACGTCAGACTCGGAATCATATCCATAGATCTAGTCATGTACTTTGAACCGTAACTCCGGCGTGCAGATACCCTACTAAAACATACCAATCTTCATCAATTGTTCAGAAAATGGTCATGATTTAAAAGTTGTTTCTTACCTGTTTTGTGTCAATTTTTAAATCTTTTTTGAAGTATTTTCCCCCAAAACAAAGACTTATAATATAGATCTACACTTTCTCACATGTTTCATGGCCTGGCAAACCGCTGCACAATACAATATTAGCGTCCATCGTACCAACGGTGGGGTGCGGGCGCAACTGAAGTTAGCGACTGTAATCTCAGATCCTCTATAAATTCATGTGAGTTATTCATCATTACGGTCGCTAACTTCATGCATGCGTGCGTCCACACCCCACCGTTGGTACGGTATGCAATTTTACTTCAAGGCTTCCAAGTAGACAAAAGTTCAAAAGTACCCATATGACTGACCAATATTGTTTTTGTATTGCTCAGTCATCCAGGAACTTCAACTGTCAATATCAAATCGATATTAGTCAGACTACATGTAATGTAGATACCGGTAAATAATAATAATATTGTATGGCTTTGTTTTTACGTATGATACAAGAACCTATTGCTCCCGATAAGACAATAAGAGACTTGTCTTTGACTCATCCAATATTTTCATAGCTCAAGCAATATATTCTTGTATCGCACTCAAGGTCATCCAATATTATATAAGTATTGTGCAGCAGTTTGCCGTGAATCCTGTGAGAAAGTGTATATTAGAAGTCTTAGTTTTTAGGAAAACTACTCAGAAAAAAGAAAGAAAATTAACACGAAACAGGTAAGAAACATAACAACTTTTAAATCATGACCAAGGCTAAGGCATTATTTGAACAATTGATGAAGATTTAGTTGATTTTTTGGTATGTTTTAGTAGGGTATCTCAACGCCAGAGTTACGGGTCAAATTATGGATATGATTCTGAATTAGCGCCGAATTATCACCTGCTGGGCCTATATAGTATAATAGTAATAGTATACTTAAATTTTGTTTATTGTCATCTTCTCATCTTCCCTATTCTTCTTTGTTTCTTTATCCTGTGCTTTATGCAGTTCTTATTTTCATTTCTTCTCATTCTCATTTCTGTCGAAGTGAGAGTTTCTTTTTAATCTGCATTTGTGACTTTAAGGTTTTGATTTTTTTATTTTGGACACAGGCTCTGTAAGAGGAAATCCAAAAAAATACCATGGGAAGGAGATAAATAGCACAGGATGATTTGAAGGGTAATAAAGCATACACATCGATCAATTGATGACCATTTCATCATTGCCTGATGAAACTACGATGACTTCTCTCAGGTCTTCCTTCACCTTGAGGTTCCTCCTTGCCCTAAGCTGTGTCTTTGTTAGACTCCACTGGAGCCTGGTGAGCTGTAACCTCCAGCATGATCCAGGAAGATCCCTAGACGCAGGTCTCCATGATACAAAAGCAGTCATTGGAAAGTACTTCAACTACAGCATTCCAGATCCAACAGTGAAATTAGCAGAACATAAATTCCATTATGAGGTAATATAGGCTTAAAGATTATTGAGAGGCATTTAAATAGGGTGTGGGTATTATGTGGGTTTAAATATATGTGTAAAATAATAATTGAATATTACAGAATGCCTAATATAAGCACAATGTTGAATAGAATAGGTTTTGTACTTAAAAATTAAACTTGATTAGGTTTGTGTCATGAAAAGAAATTTGTTGTCATCAACAAATTTAACAATATTTGTGAGTCATCACCAATTGATAATAAGGGACAGCCAGTTTACAACCAGAAGAGGAGGAATGATGGTCAAATGGGAGAGCCAGACATTTAGCAAATTTAACACCATGTATGTGACATGTATGAGATGTCATGGTCGAGTGGATATGTCACCGGACTGTGGATCACAAGGTCCGCGGTTCGAGTCCCGCCGCTGCACTAATGTCCACTGGCAAGACATTAATCTACATTTGCCACACTCAACCCAGGTGAGGTACTGTAAATGGGTACCTTGTAGGATTATTCCTTGAAATGCACTGTGCGCTGATAATGGCTGCTGGAGCTATAAAGCTAGGGTAATAATTTCTACAGCTCTTTGGAAGCGCATAGGGACGTTATATAATGTGATATGTGCTATACAAGAACTGAATATTATATACAAATATATACTATTAAAAAAAAGTTTTGATTTTGATGATGAGGTAAATATAAGATGATTTTTATATTTAACTTATATTTTTCTGTGTAAATCAGTGGACAGTTGCTAAAATCGATTTTGATTTATCACTATTGATTTACCAATAGAAGCCATTGGACTTTTTGTTTCTTCTTTAAATCTCACAGGTATCTGAGGTTGGGACCAGCTCCATTCCCATGTGGCTTGTGTTCAACCACACTTCTCACACATTCCATGGAGTTCCTTTGATCACAGATAAAGGATTCTATCTGATTAAAGTGTCTTTGATATCTACATTCGATAATGTATCGTCTGTCCAAGCCAAAGATGTCTTTGCGATTGACGTAGATTTTGGAGCATCTCAAGATTTGACCAAGAAGGACATTTTAGGAAGTGTGGGTGCCAGACCTCACCAGATGTTGTATAAAGTTGAGCAACTGAGCGAGCATATTACGTGCAGGAGAAATGAAATAAAGACTCTGATGTCAGTAGTGTTTGATGCTAATATCAACCACCTCAATGGGAGCAGCAGGATGTCCTTGATAACCAGATTAGCACCATTTGTTAATCAACCTTTAGAGGAATTCAGCATGAGCTCCAAGCATAGTAGTGTCATTGATAGGTTACAGAAAAATATTGTGGTCGCGGCTGGTCCAGGTAATATACACAGTGCAGGAAGCAATGAAGGAGTTGTTGTATCCTGGCCGCTTCCCTGTGCAACACAGAGCCTCATCAACCAATTCCCAAATGTGATGGCCAGAAATATTGCTTCTGGACACTTAAGAGACACTACTGGTTATGATGTGATCAGTTGGTATATTTCAAAAGCGAGAGATAGCAGTGTGAAAGCCAGAGGACGGTCAAAGAGAGAGGCAGGAATGACCATTGCACCAACCCCCAAACCTTCACAGACTGCCTCAGTCATTACTGCAACCTCTCTGCTTTCAATCTCATCCACTGCTCAGTCAATGCAGACTATGCTAACATCATCTGTGGTATCAACTCTTTTATTTTCACCATCGAGCAGTGATCAGACAATGTCAGTCTTTTCAAGCAGTATGTCTGGATTTGTACTGTCAACAACTCCACTGGATTTTTCCTCCAGGCAAATTTCTCTGTACAGTCCATCTGAATCTCTACACACTTTGACAAGTATTGGAACAGAAAGCATACAACCATCTCTTTCACAATTGCCTTTTATGACAAGTCTTTCAACTTCTTTTCTTTTACCTACAACTGTATTGTTTAGTTCATCAATGCAGATATCACTGCTCTCTCCTACATCTCAGCAAAGACAAACTTTGTATACCTCCTACCAAACACCAATGTCCTCGACTGTGGAAAGTTCAAAGTCCACAATAGGATTTGTGAGTTCCTCTCTGCTTATGTCAAGTAATGTTATTTCACCTAGTACTTCAGCCTTTCCAAGTTTCCAGAGTACAAATGTATTGGTTAGCAGTCCAAGTTTATTCCAGTCAACCAAAATCATGTCAACTTCATTGCTTGTGACTGAATCACCAAGTATGTCCTCTGATGAATCTGTTCAAGTATCCTCGACCACCATTACATCAGTGATGCTCTATAGTCAATCCACTGCAAGTATGATGTTAGCAACGTCCAGTGAAATTGATATCTCAAGTGTCTTTTCATCTGGCTTTCTGACTACCCTTCTGAGCTCTGATTCAGCGACTACTGTCATTCTTCAAACTTCCTCAGGTTTCAGGAGTAGAAGTCTCCTTCCATCTACAGAGTTTTCAAGAATGTCTTCTCCAATTCTTAGTTCAACTCTTGTAGGAACTTCAGAATTTGAGAGAAGAAGTTCCTTTAGCTTTACTACAACAGAGATATCGACACTACCCCAGACTCCTTCAACATCTTCTGGTAGCACTTTGCCACCAATGCAGTCATCATTTTCTTCACAGATGTTGACCACTTCCCGTCTGTCATCTGATATAACTCCGTCATCCACTGGATCTGTTCAGACATCAAGTGGTTTAACATCAACTTCATATGTTGAGACGAATTCAGGAGGATCAATTACACCAATTTTGTCAACAGAAACTCTATTGTCTTCACAAATACAGAGCAGTTTCTTTTCAACAATGATCATCACAACACCTTATCAAACAGAAGTAACCTCAAGATTAGTAACAACAACCTTGAGTTCTTCAGAAATATTATTGACACAAGATGTCTCAACAGCTAGTACTGTGTTTCTTACCTCACATAGTCCGAGTGAAATCCAGTCATCTGAGATTGTTCAAAGTATGACTCCCACAGCAATCATTTCACCCTCAATCACCGAGTCATCCATTTTTTCTGCAAGCCCTGGAACATCATCCACTGCATCTCCAACAAGTACAGTTATCTCTGTATTGGACACTTCAACTCAGCGGGTGCCGTCCACCATGGAAATGACTTCAGGTATGATTTCCTCAAGTATTGTGATACCTGATACAACTTCTGTGTCGTCACTGATTGAAGTGTCCACACTTTCCAGCACTGAGGATATCACAGTATTTTCCAGTTTACTCTCTGATAATCTCTCTAGCACTGGTAGTTTCATAGACAGCACCTCTCTGTCAAAATTTCTGTCCTCAACAGTGTCTCCTGAAATATCCCTGCCTCCTAGTCTGTCATCTGAGATCCCTTATGTGACACAAAGTTTTCTACAGACCACTGGACTATCAGCATCCACTTCATTTTCCTTTCCCTCTACCACCTCACTCATTAGCATGTCTGAAATCATATCTCAGATACAGTCATCATACATTTCAAGTGGAATTGTGGCAACTAGTGCAACAGGGACCGGAATAACAATGATCCCAACAACTTTTCTACAAACACCTGCCATTTCTACAGTAAGTGCTGTAACAACTCTTGTGTCTGGAGTATCAACTTCTGTTGGCACACCTATTCTATCAGAAAGTTCACTTATGTCACTGCGTAGCTCAAGTGCAAGCGAGTTCCCTGTTCTTAGCACAAGGATGGCACCATCATTTTCATCTACAACGTTTGGAAGTCCTTCAGCACCTAGTTTCTCTCTTGCACCCTCAGAACAAACTATGACAATCAGTCAGGACTCGACTGTTTTTTCAGCAGCCTCGCAGATATCAACCTCAGAGATATCAAGTGCAAGTGATTTTCCAATTTTGAGCACAAGTCTGACAACATCACTCTCTTCTTTTTCATCATTAGCAAGTTTCTCGACACTCAGTGTTTTTTTCACAAGTGTTTCGCTCTCCAGACAAAGCACGACTGCCAGCCAGGAAACACTCACTTTCTCAACATCTTTGTTTTCCACACTGAACAGCTCAAGTGCAACTGATTCTCCAGTATATAGTACATTTGGGACAGCAACATTTTCATCTGTATCATTTGGAAGCTCCACAGCACCTGTTGTTTCTTCTGTGAGTGACTCTCTAGCACCCTCTGAACTTACCACTTCTGTCAAACAGGTAACCACAAGCCTAAGATTAGAATCTGATTACAGCTCAACAACATTGTTCTTTTCAGAATCCCAAAGTGAAACACCAACATCGTCTTTCTTTGGAACGTTGGCTAGTCAGCAATTGACATCTTCATCCAGTGCCATCATAGGGTCGTCTTTCCTACAATCAAACATGCAGTCTTCTACAGTTGTCCGGCCATCGATATCATCATCATTTATGTCAACATCTTTTATTATTTCCCCAAGTACGCAGTACAGTTCTACAACCCAAACAGTATATTCTCTCAAATCTTCAGTAACACCAGATCTCCCTAGTAGTTTCTCTGACTCTCGGACCACTTCTGTCCCATCCTTAATGACCAGTTCTGTACCTGTGACGGAGAGCCTGGTATCAACCTTATCACCCCAGTTGAGTACCTCATCAGAAGTAATGTCAACTAGTGTTCCTTCCAGGTTCTTCTCATCAACTCAAGAGATAGTCATGAGCTCCTCACCTAGTCCTACATCTTCATCATCAGTTCCTTCCACTCCAGGGGTGCTGCCATCCACCACTATCATGTTGTCCTCTAGTCCTGCTTTTCCACAGACATCTTCTACAGCTGGCCGGACTTCAGTACTCCCTTCTCTTCCCAGCTCAGATGTTTCCTTGCCGATGTCAACACTTCTTGTGTCTACCTCCGACATTCAACCAACTCCATCATACTCCAGTCAAGTTGGAGTTGTGTCCACTTCAGTTGTTACCACTCAACCAGCAACAACTACGACAGAAACCACAACAGGTAACTATAATTTCTTCCGTTCAATTTCATGTGAGCTTTTTCTTTTGTTGTTGTTGGTCTCATTCTAAAGATTGTAAAGTTCCTTGAAGTAATACATTGTTTAATGATTTTCAATAATTAACATTCTTATAATGAATGTGAGAAAAGAAGAAAATTTACTATTTGTCTTTGTCGATGTCCATTGGGTACCTGTATGAGTCAATATGAGTGCTTTATGTGACCCATATAGAGGATGAAAGAACATTGTATAAATATTTCAAATGTTATTTTAACATTGGATTGTAACTTTTACCTGTCGGCATTTTCACAATTTAATAGTGCTTTTTATTCACATTCATTCCATAAAACTTCTTTTTTGTTTACCTACACAGAGCCTGAGAACCAGGCTCCAATCATCCAGCATCCCATCGACGAGATCTGTGTGGCACTAGGAGATATTCTACAGTTCTCCATCCCAGAAGACACTTTCCTTGATCCAGAGGATGGTTTGACCTTTGACCTTCAGCTTGACCTGCTCACAACGGACAACCAGCCAGTGAGTCTGTCCAACTGGCTTCAGCTAGTTAATAATCAGCAGACTCTAGCTGGTGTACCTTTAGACAGTAACCTCACAATCTTTAGAAATGAGTATCTCTTGTCTGCAACAGATTCAGAGGGGCTGGTGGCATATGATGCATTTGTTGTCAAAGTGCAAAAACGATCTTTGGAGTATAATCATGAATTTGTTATCACCCTTGAGAATGATTTCCAAAGTTTTGTGGATGACAGTCAAAACATTGTTTCTCTGTGTGGTGATGTTGCCAGTTTTCTCAAAGATCAAAACACTGATGCCTTCAGTGTTGCTTCACTATCTGAAGGATCTGTAGTCATGACATATTCCAACAAAACTATTCCAACAAAGTATTGTGACTATGAAACCATTGATAATCTATTTAGCAGGCTAGCTTATTTAAATGGAACGCCAACAAATGCCTTTCAAGATGCTTTATTGCCAAACAATGCCATAACAGATATTGAAAGGATATTCTTAAATCTCTGTTCTGTGACAACTGAGCCACCGGTGACCAATGTGACAGAGTCCTCTGTGACAGGGACCAACCTCCTTCTGGTGACAGTACTTCCAGCGTCTCTGGTGTCTTTCCTCTTGCTGATCTGCTTCCTCATCTTCTGCTGCTGCTACAAGCGTAAGAGAGGCGGGGAGGAGTTCTTGCTGCGGGAAGAGAAACCGATCTACGCAAAGAACCGCAAGCCCATCTACTTGGACGGAGAGCTCAATGATATAGAACCCCGTGGAGCTTCGCATCCTGTCATTCTCCCGATCGATGTTGATGCTGTGAAGTCATCTCGGCCTTTTAAGCGCAAACCTCACAAGCCCTCCAGTGAGCTGAGGCCACCACCACCTCAGTACAGGCTGCCCGACTACGCTCAGGTGAACTTAGGCTTTGATGACTTTGAGAATAACATGTATGAAATGGAACCTCCAACATACACTTCTCAACCTGTTTTCCTTGATGCAGCTGACTCCAAATCACTTGATGATAGACCTTCGCCCCTCTACAGGTTACCACCACCATACCAGTCCCAAGATAGAGGATTCTTTGAAGAATCTGACATATGAATAAATGCTGTCTTTGCTCATAAAATTAAAAAAGGGACAAAAAATGCTTTTTTTTTAATGATGAAGGTTTTATTATACATGTTTATTTTTGGAATACCCTTGACTTGCTACCCGGACTATATTTCCTTATTTATACTTTAGAAATTTTAGTCTCAGACATGTGCAGATCAAACAGATATACATGGAAATAATTTTAAGTAGAATAAAGCATGTCACATCGAAAACTTCGATTCAATCAGTTAAAATACAAATTGTTAATATCCAGTCTTAAATTAAAGAAATAAAAGGAGATACAATAGATGTCTTCATCAATGAAATATACATTGCAGCAGCTGAACATATCAACAACAAAAAAGGGAATACTGATGTTTCAAGATTAATTTTTCAAAAGTCTGATTAGAATAGCCAATTAGATTAAAAATGGTTTCGTGAAGAGTAGAGACGAATAACGAGCAATACACATTGTCACTATCTTTTACCAGTCTAATTGTATACACTTTAGAAATGATTCAACTGAAACTATAACAATGTTGCATAATGACCTTTACCCCAAGTACATTCTTGTAGTTATTGTCATCAAGTTGTCTGTTCATTCTACTACATTGTGGCTTCTAGTTTGTCTATTTGTATCATGTAATGATATGAAACTGCCATTGAGTAGGTCCTTCAGTTGAATGTCTACTTCTTGAAGCAAATTAACATTCAAACCCAGCAAAATTAGCAATGAGTAATACATTGTACAGAGGAAGTTTAAATATGAATGCCATTTGATTTTATGAGGCCACATCCTTGTAAAGTTTTAATGCATGCATATTTCACATTCTTACTCTTTCTCTACACCTTCTTTCCTTCCCCTCTTCTCTTTCTCCTCCCTCCTTTTCTTACTTCGTTCTCTTCCTCTTTCTCTTTTTTTTTCTTCACATTTGTTTCTGCTCCTTCTACTCTCTCTCTCTCTCTCTCTCTTTTCTTCTCTTCTTCTGCCCCGCTTTCTCTCTCTTATTCTCTTTCCTCGATCCAATGCTCCTATCTCCTTCTTCTTCCTCTTACTTTTTCTCCCTTTTCTTCTACTTCCTGTCATTCCTTTCGTTCCTGTTTCTTTTTTGTGCTTAAGTCATCATTCATACTTGATCACAGCTTTTGCATGAATGTAGATATCAGATAAAAATTTATTTATTTTCTTCATGATGTTACTTACACATCAGTCGCATGTATTGTTTCTAAATTCTATATATCCATTTCGTATTTATGTAATATCGTGCGTAGCCACAATGGCATTGAGCGGTACTACCTTGACATGGAGTTAATGCCCTTGTGACCCCAAACAGACGACATGTTTAACTTGTCCTTTAATATTTGTATCTATACAAGTTCGTAATAATCATGATTGTTAATAAAGTGATATTGAAACCAAAAGTAAAATACATCATGGAATTTTTATACACATGTACCACTATAAGTGTAGGACATTTCAGACCAGCTAACATAATGATGAGTAATCCAGGATCTAATTAAAATTTGAGGAAGTAGAAAGACGACTGCTTCATGATTTTATAAGTGAAATAAAATTTAGCTATTAATTGCTTGTACTTCTTGAAATGAAAGTCATTTAAATCCATTTTAGTTTGTGGTTCATTACAGGCCTGCATTTCAAGCTTGAGGAAGTAGATTTATGATTGCTACAAGGTTTTATGAGGACTATATGTAAGTGAATAAGAAATGATACAGTAATTTCACACCCAGACGTAATTAGATGGAACTTCTTTTTTTTTTAATTGGACTATAAAGCTTCTTCTTTTTTACACCTACTCATGCTGTTTCATGTTTAGTGAATTTCAGGATTATTGAACAGTACTCTTTATCAAATTGGAGGTTATATTCATGTAGTCTGTTTTATTTATATTTATTGTTATATTAATATGTAAACATGTAACCCTTTTTTTACAGGGCCAAAGCCGTTTTATACTAAAGTTTGCTTCACTTTTAAAAAATCCCAGTGTTATTGAACAGTACTCTTTATTCATTAAGTATGCAATTCTACATAACCATGTTGTGTATAATATGTTAGTTGTATATATTGTTTATATGTATGCTATTAGCAGGACTTTGAGGTTTTTTATTTGATAATTATGTGAACATATATAATTCATGATTATTTTATACAAGAAGTTATGGTTACCGGTAAAAGGAAATCCTATCTTAATATAGTTAAACCTGCTTTAGTGATCACCTGTATAGAAAGACCACCTGTCTGCAAAGACCACAATTTTTGTTTCCCTTGAAAATGGTTTCTCATTGAAACATTAACTAAAGGAACCTGTACATGAAGACCACTTTTCTCGTATCCCTTGGGTCTTTATAGACAGGTTTCACTGTAGTAAACTACTCCAAAATATAGCAAAAAAATTAGATAAGCAGATTGGTGAAAGTCTGAATAAAATCAGACAAAAATGAAAAGATTAGGAAGTTTTTTTGCTATATTTTGGAGTAGTTTACCACAGTGAAACCTGTCAAGTTTTGTATGTTGTAATCACTATATGGGCACTTCAAATTGGGTGAATCGGCAGTCTCACTGTGACGAAATGCCGAACAACTTTCCTATTTGTTCCAAGGCACAAAATGACTAAAATGTCAAATGTTCAAAATGTAGGATCTTTTCTTTATACAGGTATTACCCACAATGTATTTTGAGTAGTACCGAAGGGAGAAGGCACTTAGGATAAAAACATAAATTTATTATATTTCTGTACACGACAAATGGGAGAGTTGATGTGAATACCTCATATCTCATATTTCAAACACTCCTAACTTTCTCATTATTTCAAACTTTTGCCATTCTGTTCCTCTTATCTTTCTGCTTCCATACAAATTCGATTATTACAAAAGTTGGATTGCCCTTTAAAGGTAATACAAAGTTTTGGGAAATTTTGAAAATTGGATGGATAGTGAATCTTTACAATTTTGATATATTTGGATGCCCCTGTAGATGTATTATAAGCACTAAAAAAATTAACCCCTAAAACACTTCTGTTTTTGAGAAAAATTGAATACCGGTGCTCCCGGTAAATTTTGATAAACTTCAAAAAGCGCCTACGGCCGTACAATGGTAGCTGCGACCATGCAAATCTCAGAATATGTAGTTGCGCTATATAATTTCCAAACGGGAATAGCTAATCAGTCGATTTTAGTCAAGTAACATTGTTTCATAGCTAAATTGATATCTTGACCTCGAGAGGGAGCTATACAACATAAAGAGTTTATTATTTATAATTTCATAACTTTAGACTCGATTTCAACCGGGACAACGATCAATGAATATTTTTGGAACGCATATGCTTCCAATATGTTAATTTGAACCAAATTCATGACCCCATACCAAAACTTTGTAATACCTTTAAGTTCAGATCAAGACGAAACAAACAAAATGCTCCTTGCCTTCTTGCCTTTAATGATGGACATTAGAGTTTGTTGCCTTGTAATGTGAAGTAGCATTTGTTATTCAGAATATATATATATATATATATATATATATATATACATACATATACATTGATCTTTTGAGCGAATGTCCTAAGCTTTATTCCACTTTTTTAGTAACAATAATTATTGAATCACCTTGATACTTACTTAGTAGAATCCCCCTTGGAGTCTGCTTACTGTCGTTCAGTACTAATTTGATAATAATTGTACATGTGTATGGAATGGAGTGATTGGCGAATGATATTCATTAGTAAAAGCAAACAAATCAAAACCGCATATAGATCTTAGCTTGCACTTTTATTTTATATTCCATGAAATATATTTACATGTAATAGCTGTACATCAATAGAGAAGGGAGAGAGAGAGAGAGAGATTGAAATGGTCGGGTGGGGGATTGGGTAGAATGGTGAACAGGGAAAATTCCATAGCATTGAGGGGAGATTAAGTGAGAGAGAAAGAGAAATCGAGACATACAGAGATAGTCCGGGAGCCGGGGGGGGGGGGGGGGTGGTCAACCTAGTTGGAAAGGAAACCAATTTTCGTGTGCACGGATTTAAAGATCACATAGCCCCATATAGTGCCCTTTTGTGAGGCATTAATCCTCATTACTGTCAGTTATGACTTCAGGACGTACGTCCCCTAGTTGATTAGCATAGTAGCACTGCTTTAGCAGTCGTGCAAAACAAACGCTTGCAAATTATTATTCAATAAAATCTGAGAATGTATACTATTATTTAGATCTATTAGGAATAAATCATTGTCAAAATCATTCCATAAATTGGGGTAAAAATAATGATTCCACCTTAATGACCAACGGTGTATTAAATTATGTTGCTCCCTTTTTAAGGCTAAAGTTAAAACGATGTTATCTCGATTTAATTCATTTTAAATTCATTTATGTATTCAACCATCAAAATATACATAAAATCAAAATAAGTTACATAAAAACTTAGCAGAACACAATGATGGTTGGGTGACCCCGGAGAAGACAGTGCCTATAAAAAGGGGCCACCAAATTGAAATACATAAAAAGATCAACAATACTTATACAGAGAAAAGCACCATCAAACATCAATATAAACAAGGAAAAAGAGGAGTACACTTGCAGCAGCAGCAGCAAGTTCTATATCTACATGTATATATGAGGGCAAAGAGAAAAGAAGAGCGAACAAGAATAACAGGAACATATTATAAGAAGTTAAGATTTCACTGCTTAGCTTGAATCTGGAAGGGGTTGAACTGTTTTTAATATCGTTGGGGAGTTTATTCTATAACCTCGGAAAATGAATTTTAAATGAATTTGAGGCAACGGAAGAGCGAACCTAAGGTAAGTGTATCAAATTACTTTGGCGAGTATGAATTGAGGAATTCAAAAGAAAGATATCGCTATTAACATTTATAATAATAATAATAATAATAATAATAACTTTTATTTACCCAGGGTAGCCACTTCAGTTATGAAACTGTTCTTCCAGCGGGCCCTGCATAACATAATATGTTATTACTACCCTTCTCCAATCTAATATGCTGAGCGCCTAGCTAGAAGGCAGAAGGTCCCATTGTTATAAGTCTTTGGTATGACTCGGCCGGGGTTCGAACCCACGACCTCCCGTTCATGAGGCGGGCGCTCTAACGACTGAGCCACAATGCCCGGTTTATACCTAAACATATTTATACATAAAAACAAGAGAATTCAAGATTATCAAGTCCTTTAATGGTAATATATTTGACTGGAAAAAAAGGATTTGCATGACTATTGAAGGGAGCATTACAGAAAGCTTTTGTAAAATGCATTATTTATCTCCATGACTTTTAAAGGTGTGACGCCAGACAATATTACAGTAATTGAAATGAGGGAGTATAATGCTATTGAAGAGAGTGGTCAGAATGGACTGTGGCTCAAGAAGTCTTAATTTGGAGAGAACACCAATAGATCTTGATATTTTTGTACAAAATGAGGTCAGATGTGGCTTCCAAGAAAGATATTCATTCAAAATTATACCTAAAAACTGCATATTATCAGTCTTTGCTATGACATCTCCACCAATAATGAGGTTTGAGAGAACTAGATTAACACATTTATTAAACAGAACGGAGAATATTCAAGGTAACAGTTCTGTGTCAACTCTTCAGTCTTTATCATAATGTCATCTCTTCTTCCATTCGAATCATTATCATCATCGTCATCCTCTTCATCATCTTCATCATCATTCGCATCTGCATTGTCAATATCACCATCATTCCAATTTGTATTTTCAATTACCTATCCGTTCTGCTTAATAAAAGTGCTAATATATTTCATGACTTTAGTCTGGGGCTGTCGTATTATCAAGCAATCTGCTTACAATGACAGTCCTTCTTTCGCAAATAATTATATCATGTTTGAGGAAATTTAGTATTTATGACAGTTTATCGATTCATTTTCGAAAATAACAATTGTTATATATATTTGCTTATTTATGATTCATTGTCAGATTGTACTTATTGTACTTTATATTATTATTGCTTTAAAAAAATAGTGCTAAGTCTGTGTGAAAATATGGATAAAGGTTTATGAAATGGTCCTCAATGTTAATCCACTGTAAATTGTATAAAACGGTATGACGTACTGAAAGGAAAGGGGTATTAATTTACAAAACCGCCAGCACCTAAAGTTTGCTAGCTGGGCTCGCGCTTGCCCACAATGTGTGTCATCACATCTACACTTATAGATTTTTAATGTTCAGTTTCAGTTTCAGTTTATTCAATTCCAATAAAAATGTGGCCATGAAGTTTAAGTGTATCTTTAATACTTACAGCAAGACTTCCTCCCTTAAAACCAAACAATATATCAATCCTTTTTATGCATGTTCTGAAGCATGCTTGGTATAGTCGACATAAAGATGAATTAGCCAACATGAGGAAGGGAAACTATACAACAGAGCACACTGTACCACATGGTACAGTATTATTTTAAATTAACACCACTGTAATCAGACACTACTTTTCTTCATTCATCATACGAGTTTCTGTAAAATGAACTAAAAATTATACTAAATTATATCCAATTTGACATGGTTATAATGCATTTAATACTAATTACCTTACACTCGTACACACATTTCAATATAGCCGAGATGGAAAGATTCCAAATACATTGCAATTCATTAAAAAGATTAAATGTACAGATATTGTAGTTTATTCTAACTTATTATCATTTTCATCATTAACGTTATTATTTGAATGTGATCCCCAAGCAAGCACTATCATGCATTACCATTTGCCGTGAAGTGATGAAACTTGCCCAATGAAATTTGAATTTTAAAATTGTATTTAACAAGTTTTTTGTGTATGGAGAAATAAGTCCACATGGACACCTGCTCATGCTAAATATGAATACAAATTCCATCATCTGTTAATATTATTTCTCCAAAACATGTAGAAAAATACAGGCGGTTTTAAAAACAAACACATAACACCTGAAATTCAGGAGTGTTGAACCACCACTTGCATGAAACTATTGAGGACGGGTGCATATGGTTAGGTATACACTTGAAGCCACCCTCTTTTTGTAGTGTCTATTATCAGTCATTTTTTTGCTTCACATAAGCAGGCTGATGTTTACAAGCTTCATATCAATCATATGTAATGTTTTTGTAATACATTCATACACAATGATCTGGAAATTGAATTACTGGCCTTAATTAAAACACGGTAGCTGCACTCTTATAACTTCAAATCCAAATTTTAAAAAAAAGAACATCAACTCTCCTGTATCTCCTTTGTGTCATGAAATGAACATAACATGGAACGGCTTTCAGTATCATCATTGTTTGTGTCCGATCTATTATAAAACCCAAGGATTCAAACTTTATAGAACTAAATTTACTCATTAAATCATCATTAAAAATCTGGTATGATACAATGATAAACATGTGTACAACACTGTAGATGAATAATCCAATTAACATATTATATACAATTTATTGTTTTTCAAGATATCTGGGAAATGTTTTCATAAGATATAATTAACACTTAAATGAAACTTAGTTTTCCTCATAAGTCATTAACAACGCTAAATTTATCAATTGAAATTGGGCATTCCACTGCATTTTATAGTTGTTTACTTTTGATTTGCCTTGACTTTTGCCATGGATTGCCCCTTCATAAAATTTCCCAGGTAGAAAAACTATGTAGAGGAATTGAAAGAGCACAATATGTTCATAACAGAACATTTATTAAACAAAATTCGTCCATATTTGGAAAATCTAGACCCGCCGCTGTAAATGGGGGAAAGATCATGAAGTAGCTGTTCTGCTGCATGTTAATTGGTAATATTTGCGTGATCTGGTATCTGGTTGAAATAAAACTTAAAACAATCTGTTAACGTAATTATATGAAAACGAATATCCTTGTTGTAGGAAATTGCAACGTTCTCGGTATTGGTTAAAGTACCATGGTGATAGTTAATTGTTTACAGAGTAACAATGGAAATCCGCATATATGATTCATGTTAACAACCTCCACATAATCCATCATAATCCCCTTAGTTCTTGCGTCAAATCGGAGTATAAGGAATATTATAGATAATGTACACAGCATGTAGTTTCGAATTAAACGCGGTGTCCCGTTAGAAGAATAAACAAAACCTGTCAAAGACCACCCAAGTGAGACAAGAAAAGTGGTCTTTATAGGCAGGTGGTCTTAATGTATAGTTCATGTTTCAATGAGAAACCATCTACAAGGGAAACGAAACAATAAGGCCGTATTTCTACTTTTTTGTTGACCAATAATATAATCCTGATAATGAGTATAATGAGTGCTTAATTATAGACTATGCTTTTTTCTTTTTTTCTTTTTTTTTTTGGGGGGGGGGGGTAGCCTCGTGACTAAATCTCTTAGAGATATATTCTCCTCAACTATTGAACGCAATTGGTCTCTTTACCAATATATTGGGCTAAGCTAAGCCGTAATGGAAAAAAGACATGTGACAACAACATCGTCTAACCTATATGATAAAAAAAAGTCTGGTAACGAGAAAAGGATATAAGTATATGTTTGTTTATATGTGGTTGATTTTTCTCGTTGGTTTGTCCATCTATTTCACTAAAATTATGAAAATCACGTCGATTGATCATTGATCAATATTGCACTATGTCTTCTGATTCCCCCGAACAAATTACCTTTCATAAATATTTATTATATATCTGCGATTAGTAGGCAGAGACATGTTGTCAGATTGGGCCCTCCCCCTGAATATCAAGGACATTTATATTCCCCTGACCCCTGTAATAGACGGAGTGAGCATTTGCATCACACTCTGTTTTTTTTTTACCTTGAACAAAACCGTTTTATTCAACCTCTCAATAGTTACTGACCGATAAACAAGATAAAGCATCAATCAATAATTTCGCCCCCTCGTTTTGGGCTTCGGTTTGTATGGTGATAGTAACCATTCACCCCCATTCACACTGCAAATTCATTGTGTAACGACTTTAAAACAATAGTTGAGGGGTTCACTCCTTACACAGGGGTTGTGTTAAGTTGTGTAAAAAAAAGCCCTTTGTGTAATTTTTTGTACACAACTTAAAACAACCCTTGTGTAACCACTCAACTGTTGTGTAAAGTCGTTACACGACGAATTTGCAGTGTATGGTCACACAGGGACGATTGATTAATTGATTTTGATTCGCCAATATTCCAACAACAATATAAAAGAATAACAGATCAAATTTAAGTCAGCTTGAACAGGCTAACCCACGAAAGCTCGGTGCATATTTCCAGTGGGGTCTCCGACATAATATGTACAATAAGTTAAAGTAGTAATATTTACAGACAGATAAGAAAAACAATTTGTTAAAGATAACATTGATGATGATAATAATAATAACAACAACATTACACTGATGATAGAAATGGTAATAAGTACAAGAAGAAAAAGAGGAAGGAGAAGAAGAAAAAGAGGAGAAGGAGGAGGAAGAAGTAGAAAATAATGATGAATATGTTGAATTTCTATAACGTACACAAACATAAGTATATACAAAGATAATGGTCCTTTCATACCTGTACCCGCTAGCTCTACCATATTTTAGGCCCAATCAGTAATTTTTACAATTATCTCTCATTTGTATATTTTGTTTGTAGTGTTGACATTTTTCGCAAGAGCACTAAACTATACCGAAAAACAATCAGAAAACAATCACACTCTCATACACTTTTTTATTTTTTTATTTCATAATTATGAATGCTTTCCACCTGCTATCCATTTCTTTTTCCCCTTGAAATATCGAATAGATTTATGAACAATTCAAGCGAAAGGGCATAACTGTATAATTATACATGTATATATATTTCAAAGACTTACTACGAAGTTATATAGTCATTGTTCTTGTCGTGTCTGTTCGTTGAATCCCACTGTGTGAACGCACCCTTTTCTTCTTTCTTTTCAATGTCTAACTACAAATTGTAAAGGATGGGACACAGATCACTGCCTCGTTGTTATGTACGTGACGTCACTATGGATTCACTCCGTAAGTCCGTATCCAAGTTTAGTGAAGCATTTCACCGATTCCAAAATTGACCAAAATTGAAAACCCCAATAAAAAGGCAGGATCGGAGTATACGAAAGAACAGCTAGCCCGCACTCATGCCAAAATCGTATATACACTATACTACACTGCATGGGTTTCGCATTACGCTCAGTTGACAGATATAATTCTACCAGTGTCATCATCGAGATATATATCTTCGTCATAATAAGTACATATAGCAACACGTTATTATTTGAGAGAACTGGGTAAAGAGTGGTTCTAGTAGAAAGATGGGTTGTCTGGAAACGTTGAAGATGGAGTTTCGTTGCAGAGCTTTCTCGCTGGGAGGAACGAAACCAAATCTATTTGTCACACCTCAAGTAAGTTTCACCTAATACCTGTATACGATTGTTTTTTTTTCTCCCCTTTTTTTGTTTATTAGACTATAATTCACAACTCCCTGTTCATCACGATACTCGACTCGTTCGAGAAATTTAGAAAAATCATTAGTGAAAGTTGTTGCAAAGATTGTGCTATATCAATTTCTTCCTCCATGCATGTATAGTGTGCATAATATTAATACACTTTCTTCGATTGTGTTGTCGCGTGAATTGCATGGTGCTCTGGAAATGGAAGCCGTTTTCTTCTCGCTTTCAGTAAATCGCTAGATTGAAATATATACATGTATACACAATGCTACCAAATATTTGAATAAGGCCTCATGAGGGGGGGGGGGGCAAAAATCAACAAATTCCACGTCGACTTGCTGTTTGATTATTGTAGTAAATAAACAGCGCGTGACAATGTGAACTTGGTTTTGTAGCAATCATTATCATCCGTGTGTACGTTCCACCTTGAAACTAGGATGTGTATGTCCGAAATAAAAAAAATAATAAAGGATAATTCTGATTTGATTTGATTGCAGGGACGATGGCTGGGTATGCCATGGACCTTTATGACATATCGTCTAGCAATAGCTATTTATCAGCTCATCTTTGTCATTCTCACTCTGGTTTACTGGGGCGAGGAACCCCTCTACAGCGCGGTCGACACCAAGGCAAAATGGCTCATCTATATCTCGAACTGGACCTATCTTTTCGTCCTCGCGTATTTTCTCCTCGCCGCCATCACCACTTTCTACTGGCACATGAGTCACGAGCAAAGAGGTGGGTAATTTTAGAAACTAGAACCATTTTCAGGGTGCCCCCTTAATGGCTTGACCGATGCTACAGCCTGCCCCCACCCCTCTACCCCTCACCATGCCCATCTGCTGTCTTTCCAAACTGAGAAGGACTAGATAATTGAGAGATTTTTGAGAGTTCAACGAGTATTATGGGTCTACTTGTATTCGGAGGGCGGATTGACTAATAAAAGTCAAAATTTGGAAAGAAGTGGCCGGGGCTCTTTGAGAAGTAGGTCCACATCGCACTAAAAATTGTCACAGTCGCGCCCCTTAATTTCACCTATAGCCCTATAATGACCGATCACATAAACCTTTTTAAGAAAACCTAGCAAGTGTTTTGAAGAAGAAAACAAAAACAGCAGGGGCTATGCCAAAGTTTAAGGGGGCAACATTTTGAAATTCTCAGACAACTAAGCAAGGAAACGATCAATCAACAGATGATGATTTAATTACGATGAAGTAAAGGACCTAACACTGTCTTTTCTAACGCGTCGTAATAATGTTTCCGAAATCTCTGAAAGAGTGGTTTCACCGTTTGAAGGGGGAGGGGGAGGGGGAGGGGGACAACTCCATGCCCCCGTAAAGCCTCCACTGAGATAATGCATGTATACTCTTTGAGTAGCTGCTTGCAGACAATTGAAAAATGCGTGTAAGCGATCAGACAGGCTTGATTTACCCGGTCAAAAGTGAAAAGGTTAGCGTACTTATGAAGAGTGATCAGAAGAGAATGATTTGTTGAACGTCATTGACCTTCTCATCCCATCCACATCTTACGCCTATTTACAATGCTTATCCTCCGTCGTATACCTTATGTGCTCATTCTATGTATCTGCAGTCAAATAACGTTCAGTTTTTTCATCCCATAACGATCTTAAGCCTAGTTGATAATTTATGATTTAGGCCTAATAATTGTTCAGTTTAATTAAATTAAATTCCTTCGGGTCTTATTAATATTTATTAAAAAAATATTAAACATGATTGTAGTCGAAGACTAATAATATCATGTTTACAATATACAATGGATAACATTATATAAACAACCGTAAACATTAAACATCAAAGCCATGAACGAAGAGTATAGATAAAAATAGATTGAAAATATATGCATTGAATTAGTGGATAGTAAATAAACGTACTATTGTACAATAAAATATTCATTCATTCTTGTCAACAAAAAGTGGATTCCTCCAGCATCACATGAAGGAAATACAATAAGATTTAAGTAAAAAAAGAAGAAAAAAGAGCCGATAGAAACGCATATAATATACAAAATGAATGCATTTTTTCACAGAACGAATGGGTGTAATGTCTGCCCTTCTCTATCCTATACCCAATGCATGTCAGTAGAAATCACATTCATGATCGAATCTACTCACATAGTATCATTCTTGAATATAATATACCTTCAACTACTCGATCCCTACACTATGATAATGCTTTCTCCGATATTATGCCAATTTGTGCGCAGGCAGCGCCGAGTCTCAAAAAGATCCATCGAAATGTAGAGAACAGTAGAGTAAAACGATTTGTCTACAAAACACAATGAGTTGTATTATGTAATTTAATATGATAATGGTTTCTGCAAGGAAATATCGATTGATTATGATTAGGCTATTACAAAACAACATATAACTGAGATAACATATTCACAATGCACGCTAAAGTGATCATACCTTCAATAATAATTCATCCTAAATTATGTAATAATCCTTTCTACAGTAATTGCCAGAATGTGTACGAGTAACGCTATCTTGTTATCTTTCTTTAAAGGTAATACAAAGGTTTGGTATGGGGTCATGAATTTGGTTCAAATGAACATATTGGAAGCATATGCGATCCTACAATATTCAGTGATCGTTGTCGCGGTTGAAATCGAGTCTAAAGTTATGAAATTATAAATAATAAACTCTTTTTGTTGTATAGCTCCCTCTCAAGGTCAAGATATTTATAAAGCTATAAAACAATGTTTCTTGACTAAAATCGACCGATTAGCTATTCCCGTTTGGAAATTATATATCACAACTACATATTCTGATATTTTCATGGTCGCAGCTACCATTGTACGGCCGTAGGCGCTATTTAAAATTTATCAAAATTTACCGGGAGCACCGGTAAATTTTTATATTCAATTTGCCTCGAAAGCAGAAGTGTTCTAGGGGTTAAATTTTCTAGTGCTTCTAATACATCCACAGGGACATCCAAATATATCAAAATTGTAAAGAATCACTATCCACCCAATTTTAAAATTTCCCAAAACTTTGTATTACCTTTAATGTATAGGATTCATCGAAATGCCGAGAACAGAAAAATCAAATGATTTGTTACAATATATGATGCATTGTAATATATAATTCAATACGATAAATGGTTTACACGAGGCTGAAATATAAGGATGGTCAGAGAAGGCATTGTATGTCATTCAGCCCTTGAAATAATGTTCAAAAGATTAGGTTTCATGTGATATAGAAAATAGCACACCCCCAAGAAAGATTACCGAGTCAGAGTCCTCAACCCTCTCTCTCTCTCTCTCTCTCACACATGGTGCACCCGCAAACCTACTGTATAGAAAATAGCAGTTGACAAAATAACTCTGTTGTTGTAGTCATGTATTTTTGGCCATTCTGCCAAAAAGAAATGCAATTTTGTTTCATTCTCCTAATCTTCCACAATACTTTTACAATCGCTGTGAAAGAGAAAATTGTGTATGATAATTATAAAGAGGTGCGCTGTACTCTGGAATAGTGCAGTATCTCTGTTCGTATTATATTCTGGTTCATGGTTGTTCCCACCTTTTCAGGCTGAATATACACATTTTAAAACATGATAGTTTGCGGATTGTGCGGTTGCTGTGAGAAATAAATACAGTACTAATATGGTTGCCAAGATTTATTCTCGTGTACAAAAGAGTTGGCAAGTACATAATCCCCTCTTAAATCACACAAATGCATTTTGTGACAGACAAAACAAACACGAAGAACAAACACTCGTGTAGGAGTGATATACAGCGTCGAATTTGGGGAGGAAGGGGCATCACTAATGTAAGGGAAACCTGCCCCCATAAACATTTTATTTAGCCAGCACGTTTACCAGAGATTGAATACAATGGTATGAAAATGGGCAGGTTTTTGAAAACGTCTGAATGATTATCAAATAAGTATGATAGTTCTTCATAAAGTGATCCTAATTTTAAAAGGGATAAGGAGTCCACTGAATGACCCCAGTAAAGGAGAAGTCTCGTACCCCGATACCACCTCACCAAATTCTCTTCAGGCCAATCTTGTATGAATACAACATATATTATGGGCAAATACGTTTGAAGATAAAATAGTTGAACAGAACTACCCTGATAATATTTATCACGACTAACATTCCGTAACGTGCTCAAAGTTTATCTAAAATTGACATTCCTTCTTTCAACTCTTTCTTTTTGTTACTTTTCCTTATTTTTTTTTTATTGCACCGTATTGTATTAATACCGCAAATGAAAACCAAACTGATAGTTCAGTGTGTCACTGCTGAATTTGATTTGATTTTAACATGAGTTTTGTACCTTTTGTCCTGACTAAAGCCCATGAGTCGGCAGGCCTACCGGTAAACCATTTGTCAAAGGACAAGATCAACAGGCCTTATCACAAATGCTTCTATATCGTGGTGTATTTAGGGAGGGGGGACACAACCACTCATTTTGTACCCCTTTCAAACCCAATCGTATCTGAAGTACAAAATAAACTTTGACCAATTAACCCCTAAATGAGATACCAACTGAATCATATTATGTGATTTTTTTTTCTCGGAATTGTGCCCCCCTCCCCCATTACATATATAGGCCACCCCAGGATAAAAACATTCATGTCAAGTCGATTGGCGGTAGCAGGCGCGTACGCAGGATTTTTTTCAAGGGGGGGGGGGGGGTTAAAATTTCAAAATCACGCCGAAAATTTCGCGACGACTCAGCCAGCCGCTGAATAAGCGGGGGGGGGGGGGGGGGGAGTAGGAGGTAATTTTTGTTTGTTTTTTGTGTCCCAACATTTGAAAATTTGGCCGATCGGCCTTGGGGGGGGGGGGGGGGGGGGTGTAGGGTCGATTTTTTGGGGTCACCCATTACCACTTTTTTTTTTTTTTAATAATTTTTTTCCTCCAAAACATACACATTTCGACTGGTTGAATTAGGGCATTTGTTGAATGCAACATAAGTTTTAATAATATATTTTGAAATTTGATTAAACCGATATTATGGAGCTTCTTGCGTAGCGTCGTTTAATTTAAATATAATAAGACAGTGAAAAATGCAAATGAATCCATTTCAACCGGAGCGTAAAGGCATACGTTTATTTTGTTGCTATAAACTGTAATATGATGGGATTCACAACGGCGGATCCAGAGTCGTCTAGACGAAGGGAGGGGAATGGGCTCACACAAGTCTTTACTCTGATGAGCAAAAAACAAAATAAAGGGGAGGGGGAAGAAGCAAAGTAAAAACAAAAGCGGAAACAAACACAAGGACAAAGACGAAAAAAAAAACCTCTAATATAATACAAAGACAAGACCCCCCCCCCCTCCAAAAACAAAAACAAACAAACCCGCGACACAACAAAACAAAACAAATAGTCAAACAAACAAACACGCGAGTGCATCATATTTTTTTCAGTTAACTTTTTCCAATACCTCTATACATCCAATCTTTTCTCTTAACAGGCAAAATTCAAGAATCGGGCGAGAGGAGTGACACAATCGAGATGACTGCTAACCCAATAGCAGATACAGAGGCCGCCGCATCAGAGAGGGTCTACTCCACACCTTGGTATTTACAAATCCAACGCTTCTGCCAGGTCTACTCCTGTTCTGCCACCGTCTTCGTCACCCTTCTATTCTGGGTGTTGGTGTACAACCCCGACTCCACCGTCATCCATGTCTTCAACGTCAGCGTCCATGGTGGCGCGATGATGCTCATGATTATCGATACCTTCCTGGTGGCCACACCCATCCGCATCTTGCATCTGATATACGTGATGCTGGTCGCTTTTATCTTTTTCTGTTTTACCGGGGTTTACTACGCAGCCGGCGGGCTGGATCCCAAGGGCGAAACCTTTATCTATAGCGGCTCGCTGGATTGGGGAGCAGAGCCAACCAGATCGGCAATCGTAGCCGTCCTCACTGTATTCGTAGCGGCACCTGTTCTTCATATGGTTTTCTATATCATTTACTGTATCCGTCTAGCAATAGGGCGCTGCTGTCATTGCTACACGCATCACGATTCTTAATTCAGTACTATTCATTAATAATACAGCTATTTAGAAAGAACAGTCAAATTCACAGTTATAATACAAGACAGGCAAGACAAGCACTCCATATACCGCGTGTAAGAACTTCCTTTGCTTTGAATACAGTACTGGTCCTAAGTTTTGGAACTCACTTCCTATTGATGTAACTCGCTCTATCAGTGTCTCTGTTTTTAAACGCAAACTGAAATTATATTTATTGAGTAATTATGCTGGAAGTATTTAATGTAAAAACTGTGTCATCACAATAATGATATTGTATGTAATTTTCTTTTTCTTGCTTCATTGTCTCTCTCCCCCCCCCCCCCCCTCGTTTCCAGGCTGGCCCTTACCTTACCTTACCAACATTTCTTCATTTATTAGCAGACTCGTTTTGTTCCGTTTTGCTCTATTGTACTTTTTCTTTTCTCTCTCTCTTCTTCTTCTTCTTCTTCCCTATCACCATTTCACCTACATATAACTTAATTTCTTCCTTCTCAACTTTTCTCTGTTGTTGTTTTGTTCTGGTTTGCGCTTTCGCTCTCAATCCTTATATATCTTCCCATTTTCTCCTTTTTGTAATACATCTATCTATTTCCTATGTGTAATTGCTTCTAGTCTGTTAAGGTAGTTTAGTTGTTAAGTATTTTTTATTCAAAAAAATTAAATCATTCAGGTAATATATTCTGTTTGGGGACCTTGCTCTAACAAGCCCAGCTTCTATAAGGTCTCCTCTTTCTTTCATGTACAGCACATGATCTTACATAAGTAACTTTTTTATAGAATTTCTTTAGTTAATAACAGGTGTTGTATGTTGAACGTTACTATTGCGCTTCAAATTATGTTTGTTATATTGATAATCTGCTGTTCCAGTTACTTTATTTGAAATTCTATGTACAAATGTTTATGAAAGAAGAAATAAAATGAACTATGAATTAATATGTATATTAATATATTATGTATATATTTATAAATATATATATATATACATATAGCTGCTGCACCCCGGTTATGGAACTCCCTACCCCATTCAATCAAAATGTCAGCCAATCAAAATGTGTTCCAAAAACAATTGAAAACCTATCTAATGTCTGAATTCCTTAGTTAAGACGTAGTGTATTTCAAAATATGATGTAATTAACGTTGTTGAATTATATTTAATTATGTTAAATTATTTTCGTTCAATGAACTTACCTTGTTAGGCGCCTTGAGCATCTCTTGGGGTGGATATGTGCGCATTATAAATGTTGTTATTATTATTATTATTATAGATATATATCAATAACAATTTTTGATGGGTCTAGATTTGTACTAAAGTATTAACCATATAGTCATTTTCTTTTTAACATGAACATTCCTAATCAAAAATCCTGAAAAATCTATTCTGTATTAAATATCAGGGGCGGATCTAGCTTTTTGCTCAGGGGGGGGGTTGACCAATAATGACGATGCGGTCCACGAGCCGCGAAGCGGCGAGCCGATTTTTTTGGGGTGTTTATTTGAACCCCGTAAATGATGTTTTCCTGGCATCTATTAACACAATGGAGACCATAAAAAGCAGTGCATGATAACGTCTTTTTAAATCATAACAGTTAAATACACAGTTATATCCAGCCTTTTTATCATGTGTTTGGTTAAGTTACCAGATGAGTTGAATATCTTCTCACAATATTTGCACTTGAAAGGGTTTCTCTCCAGCGTGCGTTCTTTTTTCTTTCTTTTTTTCTTTTTTTTTTTTTTTTTTTTTTCCTTTTTTTTTTTTTTTTTTTTAATGTGGGGATTTTGGGGATGAGAATCGGCAACGCTGGCCTAGCTTGTCACTTCGGCGGTGGCCCGTGTCCTCAAAAAAGCTGATGGGGGGGGGGGGGGGGGGGCAAGGGACTCTGTGACATTTGTTCGCCCAACCCCCCCCCCTCCCCCCAAAAAGAAATAATAATGATAATAATAATAATAATAATAATAATAATAATAATAATAAATGAAATAAATACATAGAAATAGAATAAAATAAAATTACAAGTTAAAAAAAAAAGATAAGATTTTAAAAAATGGTCCCCGGATTTTTTTTTTGGGGGGGGGTTGCAACCCCCCAACCCCCCCACCCCCCCCCCCCCCCCCCCCCCTCTAGATCCGCTTCTGAATATATTTCAAGTTTGGGCGAATGCTTTCAAGTAAAGCATATCTGACTAAAACTGAAATCAGAGATCGCTTCTCTGTTCTCACATGGTGTATCGTGTTTTAGTGGAACAAAATATAGCATTATTTCAGAATAGGCTATATCTCTCTTGAAATATATTAGACAAGATATTTGCAATTTAACACAGCAGTATCATTTTGGTAATATAAAATACAATACAGTGAAAATATTTCCTAATTTCTCAGGACATTTTATATCGCATGTATTTTGTTTGTTTGATTTTGTTTACAAATTGACAGCAAATACGAAGGATTTTTATCGTTAATAAGTTGTTTGTTTTTTGGGTGTTTTAAGGGTTTCAGGGTGTACTTTATATAGATCGGTTCAACCAGTCTGGACTTGAGTGGCAAATTGTCAATATTTTTGTTTGTGTGCAGATCACGTATATTCCTGCGAAATACATGGTATGTCCTGATGTGATCAAAGACAGATAGCCATGCATAGCCTAGCTACAGGTGTCCCTTAATCGAGATGAAAAAATAGAGAAAAAGAAAACGGACGAAGGAGACAAAAAGTGAGGGTAGGATCGAACCCTTGATACCTACCTCGTAACGGTCACTTACCATCCTCCCAGTAAGATCGATGATCCCTCCAATGATACTAGGCGCCCCTTAAGGGTTCAGCCTACGCTAAGACACAACATATGACATTACTCTTTTTTTTTTTAATTGTCGCATTACTTACATGTTTGTAAAATGTTATCATGAAAGAAATTTGTCAATAGTGATATATTATCGATCGATACAATAAAAACAGATATCGTTTTGTCTATCAGATCAATCAGCAAGTTGGGCGTATCGGGTAAAAGGGGGTTTATTAACTTCACAAGGTTTGGTGCACATTCGACGTAATACGTTGGGTGAATGAAGAGATTGCCATTTGTTCCCCAAAACATTTTTCTTGTTGTGTGATTAAGATTATTCGATTGAAAAAAGGACATAAAAGAGTCACTCAGGTGGATATGGTTTACTAAATGAATATCAATTATTAATGCCATTGATATGATTTCTTACACAAATTAAAAGTATTCAAATTTTATAGAAATTCTTGTATTTATAATCTGTACATGTTGGTCATAGTTATCTTACTGCGAGGATGATAATTTAAGGATTTGTTCGCCTCCTTACTCCATTGAAGCTGTCATTTAAATTTTTACGTCATAAATTTACGACTTCAAATTTTCAAAATTAGCTCTACAAGGCTCCTCGTCATAAATTATAGGTGTACTTTTTTCCTGTTTAAATGACGTATTTAGCCGTTTTCATGGTAAGGGATTGTCTTCTTAAAAGTAACATATTTTTGTAATTAAACCACAACTGCCCCAAGGCCCCCCCCCCCCCCCCATCAATACACCAGTGGCAACAAATAGGCTGACCATGTTTTTTTGTAATCAAACTTTAAACATGAAATAAAATATACTTAGATTATTCCATATGCTTTCATGTGTTCTATTAAAAATATATATATTACTTTCTGCAATTACAGGCATTGACATGGTAACGGTTATTATATTAGAGTGACCATTTAGTACCTTGGATAATAAAATTTAAAAAAATCAAAAGGGTAGCTATAAATAGATATCACTTCCATGTCATTTAAAGACTTTTTTTTTATTACCAAGGCAAAGGCCAGATACGTCATTAAAAAACAAAAACAAGTAGATTCATGTTCAGCATCCCTGTAATTGGGAAGCACTTAAAATTACATTCTACAGAACATTCGAGGCAGATTTTCAACTAGTCGAGTTCTATTTGGCTATAGTAAATGGCCATTTGCATAATTTATGAAAGTTTGTGCTATACATGTATATATATATATATATATATATATATATATATATATATATATATATATATATATATATTTCAAGCACTCTTGAATTATTCTGCCTAAATTTTCCCCATTTCCGTAGTGTATTGGCGGACGAGGCTCAATACCTCCCCTTCACCTATCTCAAATCTTTAATAAGAAAATAAAGACCTTAAAGCCCCACTGTCCTACTTTTAGCTACTTGCTCCCTCTATATAGAAAACTTCCCCAATCGGTGCCTGTTGGTCCCCATGATCCTCTATTTCTTATGTTAGTTGAGAGCTGAGTAAATTCGATAGCCACCTGTCAGTGACCTCGCTGTGCAGTCTAATCCCTTCTGGCCCAGTAGTATTGACAGCCTTTAAAAGTTATAATCATTAACACATCAAACATCTTTAGTAATGATATCAAATGACAAAGCAATCATTTGATTATTCACTTTATTTCAGCGCATAGCTATAGCTTGGCTTTACATCAGATAATATTAAGAATTAAAATGCATGGGCAAAAAAAATATAATCAAGGAGTGAAATGGAAAGATTTTGTTAAAAATCATTGGTGAACATACATAGAAAGATACTTCATGAGTTACCACATTCATTGTATAGTGTTTTGGAATTGTTATTCCTTTTTGTTGTTCCATTCTCTCTCCTGAAAAATAATGAATACTGTATTAACTATTATCCCAATACAATTATATTTAAAAGCTCCATTTGGGAGCAATCTGAACACAGAATTTTGGCCGATTTGACACAACATGGGCAAATAGAAAAGAAACATTATATATGCCATCCTGAGTCTAAATGAAACCATGTTGGCTAAACTCTGTATATAAAATTAATGGTTCTGGTTCAGAACATTGAATGGCGCCCTCTAAGGCATGATCATAGGAATGTTTAGAAGTTATGATACTGTACATGCATGAGCAAAGTTGCTTTGGTGAACAAGATTCAAGAGTACAAAAAAAATCAACTTTAATTTACTTTTGGATTCTGCACATGAAATCAGTTAAAATAGGAATTGATATTCAAAATGTAGTGTTTTGTCAAATCATTGCATTTTGATATTTGATTAGTTTTGCAGTGTGTCGAAATACCATATACGGGACTGACTTGGCATTCTGAAATAAAACGTGATGTCATCTCTTGTTGTAAAAGGGCTCTAAAATCATGCCTAAAGTTATCTATCATATGTCATAATTGCAAATCGATGGATACAGATATGTTTTCTAATCTATTTTTCACCTCTAAACTAGATATTACATTGAAGCTGGCAAGTACAAGAACAATTTTTTTGGTATAGAATTCATGACAAATGGAAAAGTGACCAGATCAAAAATATATATTTTCTTGAACATTTAGTTAACAAAAATTTCATTTGTATGTTCTTTGAATGAAATACCTGTACATAACATGATTCATATTACTGAAAACCCCAATTGCATTTTGATTACTTTTGACTGAATGTAATACAAGTTGTAACACTGAAATAAAATAATACCATGATGAAAAAAGCACTGACACATCAATCAATGATGAGTGATATTAGCATCCAATTTAGATTACAGTCATACGGCCTTACAGGCATAACATGGAGACCCAAGTGAGTCAGACCACTCTAGATAACTGGCCTTTGCAGACAGGTTTTACAACACACTCCATCGTGTGAGATGAACATGGGTAACCACTAACCAGTAACCAGGGAGAGTATTAACCAGTAACCAGGGAGAGTGTTAACCAGTAACCAGGGAGAGTATTAACCAGTAACCAGGGAGAGTATTAACCAGTAACCAGGGAGAGTATTAACCAGTAACCAGGGAGAGTATTAACCAGTAACCAGGGAGAGTATTAACCAGTAACCAGGGAGAGTATTAACCAGTAACCAGGGAGAGTATTAACCAGTAACCAGGGAGAGTATTAACCAGTAACCAGGGAGAGTATTAACCAGTAACCAGGGAGAGTGTTAACCAGTATACGAAAGTGACCTTTATAGAGAGGAAATATCTATGATAACTTAAAAGAACACAAACAAGTATTTCACTATACAAGTCATTTCAAGATTTTCTTTATTAACTGTAAATTTAACTTTAGCTGTAGAATGCACTCTGGACAAAAAGCTGGACAAATGCTGAGTTTTTTCAAACAAAATTGATAATTATAAACATATCAGTATTCAGTAATTTGTGGAATTATCTCCTATTTCTTGTAAGTGCACAGATGCATAATCACATATGCAACACCCCAACTGCTCGTACACACAAAATGATTCAAACTACTGTATGTGGCATCCAGTGTTCTTGCAAGTGGGATCCCCCCCCCCCCATTCTATTTGGTAACTGATATGGTCATTCCATTATAATTCTTAAATTAAAGTTTGATTTTTAAAAAAACGAATACTAGAATTCAAACACACTTATTGCCACTCTTTGATAAGATTAAATTACAAAGCACTAGAAATGGTAGAATGATAATATAGATTACGAAAGTAAAAACAATATTTGTAATCTTTCACATCCAAACCTTTTTTTCCTACTTTCAATCTATCAATTAGTTATCTAAAATGGTCATTAATTTGGTATGAAAGATAAAAAAAATCGTTTCAAATGGGGTTAAACTCAGGCCCTTACAAATCTAATATGTTCTCTAGTCTACAAGCATAGATATCATTGACATTTTAAAAAAAGCACATAACAACTAGCACATTTAAGGACGGCTTAAATTTGCCACTTACTAGTTGTATCACATAAGAAATGGCTTCAGTACATGCACACTGTACATTTATAAGCCCATATACATGCTTTTCTAGATCATCAATAGTCAGACCTTGGGATTTGTTCATGCAACTCAACTTTGTATGCAACCATGTGGAGACAATACACTCGGCACTTTCTCTCATGCACCAATCAATAACTAAACAAATTAACATGAAGCAGTAAAGCAGACACAGAATGGTATCTAACTTTATAGTTGACCTGTTGAACACCAAGCCTGAGAGTGGCCTTGGGTCTCTGGAAAATGTGTGTTATGCTCACTTTCTCAAAACCATGTTGCATCCCATGGGATAATATGAATTGGATGCTTTAAAAATAAGAGAAGGCCTATAATGGTGGAAGGGGGGGGGGGCAATGATGATGCCACTAAATGATTTTGTGAAAGCATGTACTTAGCGTCTGTCCTCAACTCTAGTCCTTGTTTAAATCAGAGTATTTTGTTTGTAATGCAAAGCAAGATTAATACTGCGAGGAAGGCTTCTTGAACGCCCTAGGAATGTACTCGGTTGTCACCTGGTTTGTGATAACTGTGGTCAACCACATCAGACATCCAAGGAGAAAGTACCATCCTGTCTCTCCTGTATTCTTCTGCGTCCAGTTGGAGTACAGTGCCAGCACAAGGGTGGTCATCACAAGCACAAAGAGGCACAGGCCAGACGTGGCATGGTACAGTTTCAGGTCAGCCAGCTTCACATACTTGTTGGTGAACTTTGGGAAGAGTTGAAAAGCCCCGCCGATGGCCTGCAGGCAAACGTATATGATGACTATTAATCCCATGGTACCATGCCATGACTTGAAGTGAGGCTTGTCGTGCAGGACTTTGTTTATGAAGATGATGGCAAATCCGATCAGGGCACAAGCTATGGCCGTCGTCATGGTGATCCAATGGTAGCTGACCTTACTTTTGCGATTGATCTTAGGAATGAGCGTGCTCTCTGATGAGAAGAACATGATCGACTCTGACATCAAGAAAGCAAACTGAAACCAAAAACAATAAGAGGTCAAGATTGGTAGATGAAATCAACATCTTATACATTCTCATATTTTGTCTAGGAAGGTTCAAGTTTTAAATTGCCTCCTTTCGAAAGGAATTATTGTCACACTTTTTACCATGTCTTGGATAGATGACAAGCCTCCATAGCTATGAGGTAAGAGAAAGCTCAAATAAGCAAAACAACAACTATAATACAAGCCCAAAAATGAGAGAAACAGGTCAGTGAAAGTTATGAAGAAAAAAAATTATGAATTTTTGGAGGTGCGATCAATCAAACACAAATTAGCAACTCTTTGATATATATTTTGTTAGGTCCCCTTCTATTTGACGTGTACTAAAAAACTAAATGATATTTTCCCTCAAGTAAATTTTCAATTGTACTTTCACCCTAAATATAATCATTTCAAATATTTTATTATACAAACCCTGAATGAATCAAATCTATTCCTTCACCAATAACTAAGAATATGAAAGTTTATGAAATTATCTGTACAGACCTAACTGAAGAGGAGCTTGCATGATACGTCACAGTCTTGCCAGATTGCTTTTCACTGATGAAAACTTTTAAATTTCATAACTTTCCTATTTTTTTAATGGATATTGCTCAAACTTTTACTGATTTGTTTCTCTCATATTCCTGCTTTTTACTGATCCCATCCACACTCTTCCACCTTAAAAAAAAAAAGGGGGGGGGGGGAGGAGGGGGAGAAGAAGAAAATAATAGAAGAAAGAAAAGAAGAAAGAATCATGTTTTTAAAACGTACAATCATTCAAATGTAAAAATTATGAACAAATTTTGTTTTTGCTATTCTTCCATTGCTGGTTAATATTATTAGTTAATATGATGTAAAAACACAATCACTAAATAATTGCAACACATCAATCATTGGATTTCTTTGTGTTGGTTTCCGGTTTCATCTTCGAGGGTTCTAAATATAATTCTCTATTGGGTCCCTGTTATTGTTATTGAAAATCAATGAATATAAAATAAAATACAAAACAATATAAATAACTTACGGCAATTGACATCAATATGGGGTGCCATGAAAACAGATCTGGGGAAAGAAAAAAAAGACATATATCTCTACGAACTCTAATGCATACATGTAGGTCTATGTACAGCTCTGAGCTTTATATTTGCAAATAAGTTTTTATTCCTTATATTTTACTTTCATTTATTCTAGAAGATCAGTAATCCATTAAAAAACAAAACACAATACTTTGTAGTCTTCTCTTTTTTTATGCATCAAAACGATACAAGTCATACAACTATTATAAAATACAATGACAATGAAGTGCAATTTCAACAAGAGAGAATACTACTCTCAACAATGTGTAAACTTATCATCATGAACATGGTAGAGGGACCTTGAGCTCGCAAGTACACACAATGCAACGGGTTGCGTCCCCAAATTCTCCACATGTTACTGAGCAACAAGAATTTCATTGAATTTTGCCAAAAAGAATAAGTAATTTTCTTTATTTTTTTGTGAAATAAAAATTGGAATGAAATTCCCATCATCCGGCATCTGTCAGCTGAAAAAAATGAAGATTTGCATATTTCGTTTAGCTGGAGTGAGTGATTATTGTCCACCAAAAGTTGACAATGCAATGACACCATGGCATGAAATAGCCTTAAGTGCAGTGCTAGAGGTCACTGCGCATTAGCATTGACTCTCTAGATCTAGACCCCCTATGCTTTGCTGGAGAGCCGGAGCCCCCATCCCATCACAAGTCAATACATGCAGTCGACATGATTTTCAACGTATGGGTCTGTACATATTAACAATATCGTTATTCACTTACTTGTTAAAGGCCATGCGAGATATATCACAAATCCCGTGAACGAAATTGCAACTAGATGGGAAACCATGCCTATTATCTCACAAAATCTACCCCAACAACTACGTTTTCGGTCCAAAATAATTGGTGGCAGCCGCTGTGACGTGTTATTCTTACTCCGGTCTTCCATCGGAAAAAAAAACGAGCTACAGAATTTAGTCTCTCTTCAAGCATTTAATGTGTGGTCGACTTGACTAGGTTCGAATTTTTCGTACAAATAAGACTATATGACTTGTATGCAATCTCCTGTCTTTATCTGACATGGATCAGTAATACAGTAATTCTCATTTCATAATCTAAGACTAATTACATCGTGAAATTGGTGGAATGTAGATCGGGGGGGGGGGGCGATTTTGGGAAAAACGAAATAAATACTGAAACATTATTCCAATTGAAAAAAGTAAGTTCTTTTCACTTTTTCAATTCCTGGTTTAGACTGTGTGTTTAGAAAAATATAGGTAGTACATAGTGTACCCCTTCTAAATAAGTTTGAAAGAGAAATTTCGATGAACTATGGCGCTATGGGAAATATTTCTATATATATATCAACAATTCTGTAAAGCGCTCAGAGACATCATAGATAAGCGGTATATAAAAGCAGAATTATCTTATTTAAAAAAATTATAATACCATTATTTTGGGTTAAAGAGAAAATTGATGGTACACCAGACAAAAGGGGGTAATTTTTGATAGCCATCGTTTCCCGTGATAGCGCTACCTACATATTCATTTCCTTCCATTCTTTTCTGGATCCCCTTTCTCTCTTTCTTTCTCCGACCCGTTTCCATCATCCTCTCGATTTCGGCCTCGTCAATGTGTCCCCTCGATCTGCCTCCTCCCCGCCTTATCCCCCTCGCTTTCAGCTCCTATACTCCTGCCCCCACCTCTCTCTCTCTCTCTCCCTCACAATATACTTGAGGCATCTAAAGTCCTCTTCAGATTTTTGTGTTTTTTGTTTTACATTACAAAACCATCAAGGGCAATGAACTAAAAGAAAAAAGCCTTTAAATTCCGATCAGTTTGTGTAAATGATAATGATAACGTCTTTTATTAAATAAATTTGGGGGATTGGAGAACGACAATGAGTATGTTTTTAGTTAGTAAACTAAAATAATTTGAGTTAGGAAAATTAGCACGTACAACAATAGAAACTTCACATCGAACGCCAAGGATCGAGTATTCAATCTTTATCATTAACATTGACTAAGACATGTAGTCCAATGAGGTGATATAGACCTAGATGCATTACATCATCCTGCTTACAATAACTAATTTTACAAGGCCACATTTTATTGGAGTAATCTCTTTCTATGTTATATTTCATTGAAAATAAAATATAGACTCAAAAATGTAATGTGCTCCCAATACCATGAATAGAGAAGTGTGAAACATTTTACAAAATAGTAATAACGTTAACATTTCTGTATCCATATTTAAAAAAAGCCCATGTGAAGCAATAACTTAGAATAATTCTTCACTATAGACAAAACAACCGACGAACTTTCCGTCTATATAATAATGATAATAATAATAAGATTTACATGGCGCCAAATCTACTTGACAATGCTCAAGGCGCGGCTTGAGCAGATGATGAACAAATATATACAAAAGTGCAAAAGGAAAAGTACAGACATGAAAGGTAACGGTAATCAATATTATAAGCTAAATTAAATAGATATTTCATAAGATTATTATTATCATTATTGAATGGATTATGATGTAAGAGAATTATAAATAATCATTCACTTATAGACAGCCTATAACCACTGATTTATTAACATCATCAATGACAATATCAGTTTTCATTTTTACATGTGTGGGAGCAGGGGCGTACGCAGGATTTTTTCAAGGGGGGGGGGGGGGGGGGGGGGGGGTAAGCGGACACTTTTTTTTTTTTTTGGTCTCAAAATTTCAAAATTTGACATTTTTTTACGTATGGGGGGGGGGGGTAAGGTCACCTTATTTAGGTTAGCCGTGGTATAATTTTTTTTTTTTTTTTTTTTTTTTTTATAAAAAAAAAAAAAAAAAAAAAAAAAAAGCCAAAGGGGGGGGGGGGGGGGGGGTTTTTAGGTTTTTTTAGGGGGGTTTACATACATTAAAATACCAAAGGGGGGGGGGTTTGAACCCCCAAAACACCCCCCCCCCCCTGCGTACGCCCCTGTGTGGGAGGATATTAACCTTTATAAATGATTTTAAATATATTTCGAGCATGAGTCAATTTGGGACATTTCAGTCATGTAGGCTGGTAGGCCAATATACAAAAAAGGACGCGGTCTCTGCAGATGGTTGTAATCTTTTCTTCTTAAGTTCATTTTTCTCTCACTAGTACTTCATACTCTCCGCTCCCTCTCTTCTTCTTTTTCTCTCTTTATAATTTTGTTTAAGTATTTCGATTTCTATAGGGGGAATATCATTCTATGCCACAAGCGGTTAGGCAAGGTATGTGTATGTTAAAGATTAGGATCTTATAAACTGCGCTATATCACATATAATTCAATAATGACCCATGAGTTGTGTGTTGCTGTCAAGTCATGGTTCTCTGGCTGTTTCCCATTTCATTTATGCCATTGTGCTTGTCGTAGTCGTCGATCCGCGCCCATCCAGAGGAATATCAGATACACTTGTGCTACCGGTCTGCCCCGAGGACACCGCCGCTGATATCGGCTTCGATTTCATGTACTGCTTCGAACGTCGACTGCTTTCGTCTTCGCCACATCGGCAACGGCAGCAACGGAGCCACTCGTCCCGCACCGGCTTCTGTCTAAGACCGAACATGATGAAGACGAAGAATCCCTGGAGTGAGTTGAAGATGAGGAAGAGGATGTTGAAGAGGAAGCGAGCACCACCGATGGCAAGGAAACCAAACACCCAAGTCAGTCCGAGGAGAACAGTGAAGGCGACCAGGTCCATTAGTCGGCGCCAAGTTTCACTTCGATTCTTGTCGGCCGAGCTCTTTGCCGAGATCGTCCACCGGCCGCAGGTCAGGCGGTACGTGACGAGGATAAAAATGATGGTGTTGATGAGGACGATGATGGCGATGGGGAGGAGGACGGAGTAGTAGAGAACTGGTCCCGGTTGGACGAAACAACTGCAATAAACAAGCAGCACAATGCATTTTTTTAAACAAAAATGTGTTTACATAAAGGTAAAAGTGGTAAGACATTTCTACTACATTGCCAAGCGTACTGGCATTGATTTAATAAATGTATATATAAATATAATTATGTGGTATATAACTATATTCAAATATATCTTTTAAAATAGGAAGCTTTAAGCAACTTTGTTATCATTATCATGTAGCGTTATTCCTCTTAGTATTTTTTGTTGTAGACAACTTAATCACTAGCTGCCATGCTAGGTCTTGGCTGAAAGTCATTTACATTTCTCATAGCAAAAGCTGCATACCAAATAACAATATGTACATCACTATAGCAATACATTTTAAAAAATGTCGGTTTGACTTTTCGCCGAGCAATACTCACTAAGTGTCGTCTCCTAGATAGAATTCTCGGTCGATACAAACTATTATGACGCAAACTATCAGCGGAGAACCTGTGGAGATAAGGGGATATATATCAGTTATAGATACACAAAGTGAATCACATTACCAAATTTTTATTTTATGAAAATTAGTATTATATGATGCCGATCAATTGAGGAATGTCATGACTAATGATGAAAGGGAAGTCACTAAGTGATGATAAAGGAATAAGGATTTATAACATGTTCACTTAAAGAAGTGTTTTACACCTGTTATGGAATTCATACGAAGGGTAATGCAAAGTGGTGTAGAAATGACACCCCCGCATTAAAATCGCAAAACAGTAATTTGCTTATTGTGGGAAAATTTGAATATTTATCGAATCATTTTTTTCAAATCTGACAGACTAGATTTTATCCTAGTCGGCAGATTTGATAATAGGATAACCTTTTTTTATCTTATGTTTTGTATTCCTTTTTTCCTTTTCCTTTTTTGGAAACCATTTTAAAGCTAACTCGTTGGTCTAGAACTCTAGATCTATCCCCTCTTCCCCCCTATTTGAAGTATATAGAGGCAAAATGAAAAGCAGGTCACATACCCCAGGCGAAGACGCTTGATATCCTGAGGAACTTGGAAACCGTGCCGTTGTGAATCTTGACAAAGAGCAGGTACATGTAAACGGCTTCTACCAACATCCAAGAGACGGACGACAGGAGGAAGAAATGGAGGATGAACCCGGCAGCCACGCAACCGTTGGTCGGGTAGCGGAGGTCAATGCCCACCATGAATACAATGTATAACCCTAGCAAGGCGATACACAGGTTCATGTGGATCCGCTGGGGTTGCCTGCTCCGAAGTTTTCTGTTTGAAAGTTGATTCCGAAGGGGTAAAAAGGTTAGAAGGCTGTCATGATTTGCATAATACATCCACGACAGATCCTGGAACACTTCTTAAGTTTATTTGATATAACTTCTTCCATCAAGGTATGCTTGTGACGATGCTGTGTAGATGAAATTGGAAATCAATTTATAAAGAACCAGTAAACGAGTGAATCTGCACTTCTTTTATACTTTCGATTAACAATTTACACATTAATATTTTTTGTTAATAAGATATCAGTCAATCGCGTCATAAATCGTTTTCAAAGAGGGGTTTCTTTATAAAGAGATAATCTTTATCCCACAAACGGACGGTTTATATGCCTTCATTGTCCTGTAAATGTACGCTCTTAAAATGCCGGGTAATGATGTGTCTATAGACCTTGGCATTTATGGGGTCGTTTATACCCAACTTGGGTAAAATGTTATTCATTTTGAAATAATCATTGTATACTTTAGTTTACAAATGCTCAAAGTAGGTTGAATACGCAATGACCCTCCTGCTAAGCAATTTGTAACCAATATTTTAGGACTGATAAACATCAGTTATTTGAGTTCGAGATTTAGACCTGAGTAACACCGCCAAACCGACTCCAAACCGACCGATTCTCGGCTATTCCTTAATTTAATGAAACGTTTTGTTCGGTCTGTTATAGCCGTTTTATCGGTTTCGTCAGTGTGATTGCAGTATTAAGGGATGGGGGGGGGGGGAGGATGGGAGATCAGACATACTTGACACATATGAAGGTCACTAGTAGAATGACGAGACATAGGGCGGAGACACCGCATCCGATCATGCTTAGGATATCCAGAGCAAAGACATCGATGTCCCCGGATACGTCCTATCAAATATACAATTCAGAACATAATGAATGGTTGTATAGAATATTAATCTTTCTATTTACTACTATATATATATGAAAATGATATCAAAGCAAAAAAAAATGAAAAAATAGAATTCAGATATTATAGCAAGATTTCGATTGATGTTTTAGTTGGGGCAGCTAGGGACGTTGAAAAAAAGAAGTTGACAAAACTGGTTAGAGTTCTTGTACAACTGATATAACTATTTTTATTTTACAAATATTGTCACAAAATATGTTTAATGAGTTAAGTGGCGTATCGAGGGATATGCGAAGGGGGCACCTGCCCCGGGAAGCACCAGGAGGGGGCGCAGAAGAAAAACAGAAAGAAAGAGTGCAGGAAGAGAAATTATGCTCCCTAGAAAATTATGCGTCCCTATCAAAGGTAAATTGACTACAGAATATTATTGTTAGAGCGGTTAAAAAATGTGACAATTCTCCAACAACCCAACAAATTAAATGAACGAAAAAACACAATAACAAACAGACATACCAAGAGAACAGCGAAACTTGTAAGATGATCGCAAAGGCACCGTATCCGATGGAGCCCTGGTAGATCTTCTCGTCGACATCCCCTCGTTGACCATTCACCACCATTCGCGGTCTTGTTCCAGAAAACACACGACCTCGCGTCAATTGTTTCGTCATTATCAGTGACCTATCACAAAAGGAGATATTAAAAAAACGATATCTCTTAGATCCGTGTTTTGTTTGAGATAAAATCTTTTAACATCACATTAGCAGATTATTGGCAAGGCGTACAAATTGGAAAAAACCCTGACAAGTTTTTTAGCGGTGATTTAAAAACTCTCTTTCCCCCAACATTTCGAACTCTAGCTGAAGAGAGCCGCACAAACCAGATTTCAGAGAGTCCAAGGATAACATGTACGTGGATACAATGTTGCCTCCCCCATTTCAGACAACCCTGTTTATATGTTTTTGAATTTTCATCCCCGGTAACAGCTTTAGAGATTTTAACGAAAAGTGCACCGTGTTATGAATTTGACTCAGAATATTAAATCCTCGTCAGTCTTTATCATCAATACCATCATCTTGATTACTATCAGGCACGTACGAAGGGTGGGGGGGGGGGGGGTTAAACCCCCCCCCCCTTGAGGTTTTTTATGTGTATGTTTTATGTATGTTTTTTGGAACCCCCCCCTTTTTATTTAAAAAAAAATAAAACTAATAGTAATAATAATAATAATATGCCAATGCCTGACCTAAAAAAGGTGACCCTATCCCCCCCCCCAACGGGACAAAATGTCAAATTTTGAAATTTCGAGACCAAAAAAAAGAAAGAAAAAGTGTCCGCTTATTCAGCGGCTGGCTGAGTCGTTGTGAAATTTGGGCCCGATTTAAAAAAAAATCCCTTGAAAAAATCCTGCGTACGCCACTGATTACTATTCACATGATTTAAATGATAGTTATGAAGGGAGATTTACATTCAGTTCCAGAAAGGCGGTCTCTATCTCCTGCCCCATAGGTAAATTCTGGATGTCGAATCCCTCAATGGTTGCCGAGATGATGCGGGACCCCACGCGACGACCGCGTTTCAAGGTGTTCTGCTGGTCGCCACTTTGGAACAGTAGGCTGTTCTGGAATACGAAGAAGGTAACGGGTACCATGCCACCGTCTAATGAAAATAAGAAAGACATCATACCCAAGATGGTTATAGTAAGACTCATTTAATAAAAGTGAAATATTGTGGGGCCGATAATTATTGAATATGAACACAAATGACAATTATGCCAGCAGCAAAGCCGTATTTAAAAAACGTATGGCAGTATTGCGAGGTGTGGTATTTACATTGCACACAGGGTGGCGATTTATATTCATGACCGGGGGGGGGGGGGAGCGGACGAAATACGATATTTATATGAAAATTTTGAAGGATATTATGCGAGGGAGAGAAGTGACCAAGCAGGAAGATTTTTGCATTTGTATTTAAAGATAAGTTGAAGATCAACAGATTAACATAAAATGCTCGGTATGCAGGCGTCGCGCGACCGATGGTGGTTATTGGGCCTTTGAATGGAAGGGTTTAGGCTCCAGCTCCAGATAGAGTCTTGTCGGTCTAATGGGTCTACTGACAACCATTCTGAGAGTTTACAAGACCGACACTGCAAGTCTTATGGGTTGTCAGTCTCAATAGCTTGGACCTGGCATGGACGGCTTGGACGGTTTCTGCTCCTGGCAAAATGTCGGATGATACTTTGCCATTGGGTACGTATGATCTTCTTTTATCTACGTTCATTAGCCACACGGTACAACTATGTGCCGAATAATCGAACAAATTCGAACATCGTACGTTTACAGCTGGTAAAAAACAGATTGTCCATCAACATTTTATTTCATTTTTTTCTAAGATAACTTTTATTATCATCATGGTCGCTACAATCAATGCCAACTCTACATCCACTACCACAATCAATATCTATATCTCACAGATAATAATTATCTACTATAAATACCCGAATTATTAAAAGATATAGAGTCCAGAACGCCGCGAGGAATGATGACAGCTGCCTCAAACTCAGTGAAGGGTATCTCATCCACATCGTAAAACACCATGGTGCTGTTTTCTACAAGAGCATCATTGTAAACATCGACTTCCGATCTGACTCCTCCTTGGGTGGTGAAACCTAGACCTTCCTGCAGCGTAGTCCTTGGAATATTCAGAGCCACTACGGCTAGGCTTTCATCGACGACCGTGAGGTTCGAACCGTCACCCTGTGTTTGGAAGAGGGTCACCTGATTCTCCAAGGAATCGAGGATGCGTGTCGGTGCTTCGGCGTCGATGGCGATCACGAAGTCATCATCGCTTACATGCAGGACGTTGTTGACAGTGTTGATGACGTTAATCGTTACCTGAAATGAGTAGGAAACAAATATAAAAGTTGCAAGAGAATAATGTCGTATCAATATTTGTGGTTGTTTTACACTTCTGTAAAATGGGAAGAGGCTATTCTAGCTATGATCGAATTATACAGTAATTATAAGAGTAATCCGCAATGACCTCTTGAGAAGAGCATGACATCTTTGGGCAATATTCGAAGTTATGGATGTAGCTTGTTCTTCCAATCCTAAACTCAATCAATTCTCTTCAGAACAGCATGGGAAACAGTGTAGTACGCTAAACATTGCCTAAAAAGAGGAGAAATCCTCCAGGGAAGGGGGTCGGGTGGGCATAATGAGAAACGTATCCAGGCAGCCCCAGAGCTTTGAAGCCATTACAAGTTGCATTGGTTGATTGATTCAAACGAGTGAGGGGGAGGTACATCGGCTGAACTTTTCGCTGTTAGGCGCCGCGCCATTGGATAAATTGGCAAACTAATCTTTAAACTTACCCCATCATTAATATTGTTCAAAGTTTCATATACTTAAAATAATAAACTAGCACACAAGTCATTTACACAAAAAATAAAAAGTAAAAGTAAAAAGAAAAAGAAAAAATAAAAATAAAAATCATTTTCAGAGAGGGACGTGTATACCAACCTCCATTGACGAGTCCTGTACCCGGACAATGTTCTCCAGTGATGTCGCAATGGATTCAAGTCCCTCTGCTGTGATTGAGGATGTCTCGTTGGTGACCTTGGCGAGGTCACTCGAGTATTCGGTCACATTCCCAGATGCAATGGGTGCCTGTGGATCAGGAAGACAAAGATAAATACAAGGATCGTGAACTTGAACTTGAACTTAAAGAAGCACAGAGCCTAGCAGTCTTTAAGAGAGCTCTAAAAGAAAATCTCACATGATAAGGTGTTCTTCTGCATAGTTGATTTTTATCATGTTTTTTTTCTTCTCTTTGCCTCTTAGAGGTGTTTATTCAATATTCAAACAATAACATAATTTTGCTTACAATTCAGCAAATCAATGGAACATCAATAATACACAAGTTATTTATTCAAATATAACTAAGCAAATTCGCAGGAAATTTCATATTTTGTACTTTCAAATGTTCGTTTATTTCTATTCTGTTAGTCATTTCTCTCTTAAATAAGTAAATCAAACTCAAATCTCTATTTTCATACCCATACTTATTACGAAAAATAATCATTTTATAAATCGACCAAAAAGCAATAGTCATTATCAAATCGATTTCGGTTTGCGAATTCATTTTGAGTAATAAAACAATATCTATCTCTATTCTAAGATTGAAAGCACGTGAAAATAAGTCTTTAAATATGCAAAGAAGGTTTCATTTGCCTTACATGAAATGAAAGCATGAAGCACATCTTCAGTCTTTTTGCATTTTAAACAAAGGTCATCGTATGAGAGACCCCACTTGAACAGATTGTTACGAACTGGTAACATATTATATAAAAGCTTGAAATTAAATTCACGTAAACGAAAATCTTTTATCCCAATCAAATTCCTATTAAAAACAGAGGACCATTTAACGTCCTTCTGCAAGACATCTTCCCAATACAAACAACATTTATTTATTTTAATTTGTTCAAAACTAATCATATTATACCACTGTTTACTACTCAAAAGACTAACAGGCTTAACTGATTTTCCAAATACAAAATGGGGGATAGAGAAATTATGGTCTTTGAAAACCAAAGGTACCCTATGCTTATCACTTATCCAAATTTTTGGAATTGATTTTTGTAACTTTGTATAGTCAAAAATAAAAAATTGTTTACTTCTCCTAGTTTTAAGGCGGATAAATAATTCATTTACTGAAACAAAAGTACCATTTTTAAAGATATCATTTAAATATATAATACCACTTTTATACCAATCTTCATAAAATAACATTTTCTTTTCAAAAACAATATCTTGATTATACCATAAAATATTTTCGTCGACATGTTTCTGTGTCTGACATTCAGCTGATGTGTATTTGTTTATGAGGTACCATGCATGTAATATTTCTATATAAAAATATGGGACATTTCTAAGTTTTAAGAGATTTAAAGTATAATCAGTATAATTGCAATTGAGCAGTAGATGCAGCCCTCCCAAACAGTCAAACCAATGTTTACACATGTCTTTCCAATTTCCTGTTGTATTATCTAAAAGCATCCCAAGCCACTTCAGCCTAAAACTAAACATCTGCTTTTTAACATCAATCATTCGTATTCCTCCTTCACAATAATCCTCAGTAACAATACATCGTTTTACCTTTTCAATTTTACTTTTCCAAAGAAATTTAAATATCAGGCTATTAAGTTTTATCAAAAAAGTAGACGGTATTGTATCAACAATCATTAAATGGATAACTTGACTAATTGCAAGTGATTTGATAATAGTCAGTCTTCCAAACAAAGTCAGGTTTCTTTTTCTCCAGTTATCTAACAGTTTTTGCATTTTTTCTAATTTATTTTCCCAATCTATCTTTAAAGCACACTGCAGATCAGGTGCGATATAATGTCCTAAGTATTTTACTGGCTCATCTGTCCAATGTAAGCCAAAACGACCATCGTTGACAGGCTGTTCCAATCCAAATCAAGACAGTCTTTTCTCTATTTAACTTCGGTCCTGCAACTATGCCAAAAACCTCTAATTCGATTAAAATATTTTCAAAAGAATTTATATCAGATGCATAAAATAAGGTGTCATCTGCATATTGCAGCAATTTCAGATCAATACCTTTATCATCAATATCTAGACCTTTGATTTCCTTATTTTCTCTCACTTTATTTGCCATTAATTCTGCGGCCATTACAAACAATAAGGCCGAGAGGGGACACCCTTGGCGTATTCCTCTCAGAACACTAAAAGTTTCAGATAACCAACCATTTACAATTACAGAACTTGAAATATTTGTGTATAAAATTGTTACCCACTTCTGGAAAACAGGTCCAAAATTAAATTTACTCAGGCATTTTTTTATAAAAGTTACATCAATTACATCAAAAGCTTTAGAAAAATCTACCATCATAAGAGCACCGTTTTTACCGTTCCTTGTCATGTATTCAATGATATCTTTAGTAAGTCTTACATTACAAGCCGCCAGACGACCTCTTATGTAACCCGACTGGTTTTCGTGAATAATTTTACCAATTACTTTTTGAAAACGTTTTGCAAGCACTGTTGCAATTATTTTATAATCACTATTCAGCAATGTGATCGGTCTCCAATTCTTCAGCTCTCGGTGATCCCCTTTCTTGTATATCAAAGTAATTATTCCTTTCCTTTGAGTATCCGACATTTTCTCATTAGCATAACACTCGTTAAGAGCGGCAACTAAAATATCACAGATCTCATTCCAGAACACCTGATAGAATTCCGCGGTTATTCCGTCAGAGCCTGGAGTTTTGTTTTTCTTCATTGCGAATACAGCTTGTTTACATTCCCTGTGTGTTAATAAACCTTCACATATTTTATTTTCATCGTCAGAGAGAGATGAAATATTTGAGAAAAAAATATAATCTTCTGCATTTTTAACATCAATATCTTCTTTAGTATACAACTTACTATAAAAATCAACGGTTTCTTTCAATATTTCGTCTTGTTTTTCAATAATTCTTTTCCCATTTCCTGTCTTCAGCTGATTTATGTTTTTTCTGCTAGCATTTCTCTTTTCTAAGCTAAGAAAGTATTTAGTACTTCTTTCTCCCTCTTCCATCCATCTTGCCTTAGCTCTGATACCAGCTCCTTTAGATTCTACTTTATATATATTTTCAAGCTCTTCTTTTATGACCCTATATTCGTTTTCATTATCATTATTTCCACTTTGGTTATCAATACATTTTTGTAATACATTAAGCTTCATTTCTAAAAACCCTTTTCTATTTTTTTGATCTGCAACTTTATGTTTACAATATTTTTGTGTAAATTCACGTATCATTATTTTCAAAAGTTCCCATTTCTGTAGGGGACTCATATTTTGAGAATTCATTGAACTAATAACATCACAAATATTTTTATGATAACAGTCATCAGACAGAACACGACTGTTCAGCTTCCAGTAACCTGGACCCTTTTGAACAGTTTTTGTTTGATTTTTAAAGAAATTGCGTTGTGATCAGCTCTTATTGATGGTCTGATATCTGTATTTACAACTCTCCCTAAAAAACTTTTATCGACCAGCCAATAATCTAATCTTGAAGCAAGTTTTAGATATTTATTTCTCCAGGTAAACTGAGTAGTATTAACATTCATTTTCCTCCAGATATCACACAATTCGTATTTCTTTAACAATCTACTAAAATTTAGCGGTTTCTTGTAATAGGAACGGTTTGTTCCCTGAACATGTAAAGTGTCTTTCTTGACATTCAGTACACAATTCCAGTCTCCTGCCATTACTAATTTAGATTTTTCATACTTTTCACAAGAATTTGATACGAAAGTATTCAGATTTCTAAAAAACCGTTCTCTTTGCTTTTTCTTAGTTGGTGCATATATGTTTACCATTGTCAATAAAAAGGTTTCCATTTTAACTTTTAGTAACAACTTTCTTCCATCACCACTCTGCTCTATACTAGTGACATCTATGTCTAGGTGTTCATCAAATAATATAGCAACTCCTTTGGAGTGATTTGTGCCGTGTGAAAAATAACACGGCCCACGCCACTCACTTTTCACAATATTTTCAATGTCGGCTGTCCAATAAGTTTCTTGTACAAAGAATATGTGTCCCTTTTGATGTCTAAACCATCTGAAAATTTGACTTCGTTTTTCCTTATTTCTAAGACCGCGAACGTTTAAACTTAAGAAATGACAATTCGACATTTACATGAAAAAGGAAGATTGTATAACAAAAATCAAATTGAAATAAGTTTGTTTGACATATCTATCATTTTTCTTCGGTGGTTTTTTCGTCGACCTTTGCTTCCTCTTTTTACTCTTATCTGTATCATCTTTCACTCGGCGTATTGGCAACTCGGGTGATTCCAAAGATATTTCGGAGGCTTCTTCTTCGCTGCCGTCATCGACATCGCATGAAGAGACATTGCTTGAAGCATCTGTACGTGAGGGCGAAACATAGGAATCAGGATTGCTAGCGAGAGGAGCAAACTTGTTAGCGGAAGAGGATGACACATTATCCGGTTTGTTTACTTCGACTCCCTCAGCGGCTCCATGGGTATCTCCGTGCAGAAATTGCGTAATCTTTGACTGAGCGCGCGTCTGGTAGTCATGGTGCGATGGGTAGTTGTGAGACGATTCTATTGTCGCTTGTTGTCTTCCAGATGCGACGAGTTTCTCGATGCTGGCTAGAACGTGTGGGGCAGTTGCGGCTACGGCTGCTGGTATAGCTGGGGTGTCGGGTTTACTAGTAGGATCTTGCGTATGTAACGGAGCTGTTGGGGTATCATCTCTGGTGCAGTCTTGCTGGATGTGTCCTGGTTGATTGCAACGGCGACACACTACAGGGCCACTGCACTGGGAGCGATGATGACCTTCGCTCAGACATCTCGAGCATACAACTTTAGGTCTCGTAGTTGACGGGAGTTGGCCATAGTGGAAGATCTTGCCTTTAAAAAGGCCAAAATTCATGATTCGGGGGAGGGGGGTAGATGGTTGCTGAATATACACAACTCTGTCTCCTGTTAGACAATCTGTCAAACGCCCATCCACGCGGAGGCGTTGGTAGCTAACAGTCCCCAAAACCTTGTACTTTAGTCTCTCGAGTTCATCGATGATCAGGGAGTCATGGGCAGATAGTGGTATGTCCCTAATCAGAAGGCGAAGACTATTTTCATTTTCGTCTCTAAGAAATGGGTTTTTGTCATACACGGCAATGTTTACATTCCGTACATTCAGTCCATTCGTAATGATCTTGATTCTCTTGTCCTGATTTTCTACATACAGCCTCCACAGACCTCCGATTTTCTGAATTCCTTTGATATCACAGCTAGGCACACTTTTACAGAGACATTTGAAAATCTCTTCATTTGTAATCACTTTGTCATCAATCGTTGGGATGTCTTTATGTTTAACAAACACTGGCTTACCTCCAAAGTGCGTAGCTGTTGGGAGTTCATGTCCAGCTTTCCCAGCGTATGACGTACTGTGTGCAATTGCCGCCATATTCAAAATCCAGAAATGGGCGGGGCAGTTGACAAATACAAAATCCAGTTAAATTCAAGTTCAGAGTTACCATCCGAGTCCAGGATATAGGTTGATAGATCGTATAGATGTTCAAAGCGTCTTTCAATACAATATTTCAAGTAAAAAGGTTTCCAAATTTCGAAAAACAAGGGATTTTCAGCTCTCTGGAAAAGGTCGTAACCATTTCAAGTGTAGTTGAATAGCGCCCCTTAGCGCGATTTTTATCATGTTACTTGACTCCATTTTACAATGCTTACAATTATCATTAATTCTAAACTGTTGTTATTTTGTGCAATATTATATTCAGTTAATGTATTCCTATGTTTCGGTTTAATTTATTTTCATAGTTGATTTTATCATTATCTATTCAGTTTGTTGTCATGTTACTTGACTCCATTACCATACAATGCTTACAATTATCATTAATGAACTGTTGTTCTTTTGTGTAATATTATGTTCAGTTAATGTATTCCCATGTTTTTGTTAACTTATTTTCAAAGTTGATTTTATCATTATTTATTATGATTCAGTTTTTGTCATGTTGCTTGACTCCATTATCATACAATCCTTACAATTATCAGTAATGAACAGTTGTTCTTTTGTGTAATATTATATTCAGTTAATGTATTTCCATGTTTTTGTTTAACTTATTTTCATAGTTGATTTTATCATTATCTATTATGATTCAGTTTTGTCATGTTGCTTGACTCCATTACCATACAATGCCTACAAGTATCATTAATGAACTGTTTTTCTTTTGTGTAATCTTATACTCAGTTAATGTATTCCCATGTTTTTGTTTAACCTTTTTTGTAGTTGATTTTATTATTATCTAAACCATGCATACATTGTGTTAAATGTTTAATAATCCGATATTGTACAGTTCTAATTGTAATTTATGTAATTTTTTAATGTGCTGTTTTTATAATCAGGGCTCTGTGGAAGACCAGGTTTTTATTTTTTGTATACTGAACAGACTACCCTGAATAAAGAAGTGAAATAAATAAAATTTAAAAAATTCGTAGAATAATAATAGGCTTCTTCATTCGAGATAGCATTGTTTGATGTAAATGCAACATTTGCTGTAAATCAGGTTTCTAACATCTTTTGATGTTCTACTGATAATATTAGTTATATTTCGTATAATATTACATAATTATATCACGCCATATTTATCTTTGTGCGCTTTTGTATATCAAATTGCCCTAACTTTATGTATATCATCAACAGCTGCTCTCAGCTGACACTGAGGTCCATATTCTATTAATTCAGTCAAACTCAATTCACAGAAGGAAAACTTCAATTTTGGTTTAATTTTGTTTCCTTGAACATGGCATTAGACCGAGCTTAAACCTAGCGTCAGGTTGATATTTTGGTAGAATATGGGCAAATGAGTACCCAGTCACCATGAGGAGTCAAAAGATACAAATGTAGATTCGAATCTTCGACACCTCCAACCCAAACTGAATCAAACACTATACCACCTCCCCCCTCCCCATGATACCCGATTTGTTATAGATCAAGCCACAGTTAGAAAGTCTTCTGACTGTCATAACTCACATTTGCAATGTCACCGAGGACTTGGTTGGTGTCGTCGTTTTCGCTGAAGCACTCAGACAGGACAGGGTCGGCCCAGTAGGCTGGGGAAATGAAATCACCCTTACAAGTCCGCATGGCTCGAGGTACAGGAGCTGCCGAGAGAGAGAGAGAGAGAGGGAGAGAGAGAGAGAGAGAGAGAGAAATAAAGCAAGAAGAAGAATACACAAAAGATAAGATGTTGTATCGTACAGCTTGGACTGAAGGGCATATATGCAGCTGGTAATTATGGCAATATTAAGAATTATTTAAATAGAACACAAAACAAGCCCAAGAAACTTGACGAGATCTCTATAGAGTCATGGGCCTGATTCTGCATTGTCGTAAGATTTGCCTGGACAGTTTGTTAAAGATCATGACACGTTAGGGAAGTGTGATACATTTCATGTCAATATTAGGTATCCTCAACACTTTTCGTAAGCGCCATGCCTAACAATAAACTAGTCAACTGTATCAGTCATCACTGCAGCTAACATAATATCATGATGGAATATTTAAATGGAACACAACCTTAAACACACATAGAGATAATTTCTTGACTTCGAATTTACAAAAATAATATTGTGCGTGGAGCCAGAAGAACGTTAATCAGGTGTTAATTATTTTATTTAACGCCCTCTGGCTCCAAACAGACGCTGAAAAGTTACAGTGATTTACTCACTATTTCCTGTATATACAGCGCAATGTTCCGAGCTCTCCGCGATCTGATCCAAGCCGACTGGAGAGAAAGTGAGAGTGCCTTCACTCCCCATAAAGACAGATTCAGGACACGAGGCTATAGGAAGAAACCAAATGGAAGCGAGTCATAAATAACATTAAATCTCTTTCGTAAAAATACTTTATTTTGTGTCATTCCTAGTTAAAAATTATCAGGATAAATTCATTTCACGTATAATCTCTTGAATCATAAATTATTCAAAAGAAATTTGATAGGCATCTAATGTGAGAGGGGACGTCCGACAAAATCATGCCCATCAATTAAGGCATTAGGGCATGGTATGGAAATAGTTTGGCAGAAGCAAAGTATCTGGTACAGCTAGGACAGAGTAGCACAGGACAAGTGGACAGCATTGGAACCATGTTGCCAATAAGATCCTAACCATACCTGAGACACAGAGACATGTGTTTGTTTTCAAATTTTACCCTCCAAATTTAAGATTGTACGCAAAACATCAAATAAAACCGCGTATTATGTTGCAATTATTATTTACCATCTATACAAGCATGTTGTAAAGGTTGAATGCGTGCCATAATTGTTTCAGATTGGTGAATTCTAGAAGTGCATATTATGATTAAGATAAGAAGCAGCTTATAAATTTGATTCTCATTTAGGCCTACAGCAGCAGCAACAACAACAAACAAACAAACAAACGCCAATTTGACAAAGCCATCAAATAACACGTCCTGGTAAACGTTTTGAGATCTTAAAAACTTGAGATCTTATAAAATTTAATGTGCAGTCCCTATTCATTTCATAAGAAAACGCTCTTACAGACACTTCCCACCGAGATAGAGTCCAGAATGATATCAGCGGGAGCTCCTTCAGAATTCCTCAGATTGTCCTTCAGTGCTCTGGTCACCCCTTCGATGAGATCAGTGCCATTCCCATCGGAAAAACTAGCCTGGTAGTCAACGATCATGCTGCCATTGCGGGTGTTGATGATAGTTGGTACGTCAAACCCACGTGAGCCGAAACTACCACCGACGAGCAATTGTGAGAGGACCGGATCCGCAAAGAGGGCATTGCGAATCTGTAAATAATAAATTAAGTCTTATTTACCCATGGTTGCCACATCAGTATCAATACTGCTCTTCCCGAGGGTTCTGCAATTATTATTACTCCCAACATTGCCAGGTACCCATTTACACCAGGGTGGAGAGTGGATTAATAATGTATCATAAAATGGTGTTAGTGCCGGACTGGGATTCAAACCCTCAACCTTTGGATTGAGAGTCAAATGAATGAACCTTTATACCAAGACCCCTTCATATGACAAATCATACGATCATACAAGTTAAAAGTCTGACTTGATATATAACGTGAGTTATATAGAAATATATACATCATGACCATATAGACTTTCCAGAAATCAACTCGATGGCAATTCATATTCGGATCACGTAATACGTTATTGTAAAGTTTGCGCATATCTAAACGTGACGGACAAGAATATACCTCTTATTTTCGAAGGTCTCTTCGATTGTAAACATAATTTGATTTTGAGCAAGTGCCAATTGATAATGATCCAGAATCATTACAATATCCCTCGGACAGATATGAAATCCTTAAGCTCCATGGCATGGTTGCATATCGACGAGCATACTAATAGCTTTCTTAGCAGTCAGGTAAATGAACATCATCATCATGATCATCATCATCATCATCACCGCCATCATCATCATACAACTTATATTGATGTCCTACTCACAGGAGATTGGAATTCAAATTCAAATTCTCGGAAGAGCGGATCAGCGAAGTCAACATAGGGACGATCAAAGGTGATTGAGAATCCTAAGGTCGTGACATCTGTAGATTTGGAGAGAAGAAAAAAAATCAGCTTACTCATTTTTTCTTCAAGCAGTACATTCAACTTTTGGTTCACATCTCTTGTGTGAACCATATAAAATTGGAGACAGTAACACACATTCGTTACAAAGGGCGGTGTCGGTGATTTGCTAGTAAGTACGGATCTCCAAAGTCTGACAACAAAAATCACAATATGAACCCCAAACAATACCCCCCAAAAGCAAACAGACGGTTTCTCTATGTCGTCTTAATGCTATTTCATTCATTCTTCCTTGCATTATTCTGCAAATACAAACGTGTTAATGGCAATTTTTATTCTTAATGTCCGAAGTAGTTTCTTTCATAGTTAGTTTATCTTTGAATGAGAAAGTTAATTACCTTTAAATGCGAGCAATACGGGTTCTGTCGCTAACGTCTCATTATCATTACCAACTCCTTTGCAGTAGTAGTAACCTTGATTTTGTGAGTTGAACATTTCAAAACCTAGAATGAAGGAAGGCTTGATGAAGGGCAAAACATCCTCTCGACTCGTCTTCTTCATCCAGTGAGATTGAATGCTTCCCGCGATGGGACAACGGAGTGTAAAGTTGTCATAAAGTTTCACTTCAGGAATAGTGAGCGGAAATTCTCTTAGAGCTGAAATAAGAGTAAGATATACGAAATGAATTCAAACTTTTTTTTTGCCAAATCCTTGTACAAAACTAATGTAACTATAATGACTATTGCACACACACACGCACACACACGCACACACACACACACAAAACAAAAATGGTGGCGGACGGAAGGAAACAAACGACACATTTGTTGTTAGACTTATATAGTAACATAACCGTCATTCATTGATTCTATTATTTGCAAAATTAAAAGGAAAACAGTAATGCGTTTTGATCACGACCTCACTGGTCTAAGTTCATCTTCTTTGTTTTATCTCTTCTCATCTTTGGGATATCTTGTATAATAACTATGGTATGTTCCATTATACTATACACTAATAAGGAGAAACACGCAGACAGGTCAATTCAACATGCAGAAGAGGTCTGATACTATTGATTGCAATGGATCCAAGTTTGATGCTTGTCAAACTACGCCTTCGAAATCTAGGACACGTTCTGCAGACAGATATACCAAGGAGGAATCCCTGAAAACACATAACGATGGTTGTACCAGATCGAGGATTATGACAGACTGTACTACTTACCTTCATCTGCTATCCCCAAGCAGTTCTGGTAAAGGTCGAAGAGTGGAGAAGTTCTTCTCGCGCACCCCAACTCCATCAATTCATCTTCCATCCCATGCCACTGATCATAGATCCTGTAACAGTCAACATTTTGGACTCTGTCCATCACTTCTGGGCATTTTAGGTAACTCAGAATGACTGGTCCATCCGGGGAAAATATCCTCAGACTGCTTTCAAGACTCGTTAAGCTAATATAGACATATTCAAATGCAGTGACGTTAACAGGAGCCCGGAAATGAATCGTGTAAACACTAGTGTTTCTATTTTCCGCGATACTAAAGAAATCCCTCCGTTGGAGTACGGGAACTACGTCTCGACGTCTTCGTGAGGGCTTGCCTACAAAGTCGTCAACGGTAACCGATACACGAAGAGCCGCTATGGTGTTGCCATACGTAAAGGAGAAGATGTAAGAAGGCAGACTAAGAGCATAGAGCAACCCACTGGAAGAAGGGCGATAGACAAGTGCTCTTTCCTGGAATGAGTAAAACTCTTGCCGGGTTTCTTGTACAGTGGGACAAGACTGGTTTAGATCAGTTGCTGCTAGGAAGCGGTCTCGTTCCCCGAGCTTCTCAACACACAATTCATCTGAATGCCAAACACATTAAGACAAAAGTTTATGAAGTATCTGAAACATGCAATGTTATTTTAAGTAAGCCATTTGTTTGTAGGAAATCCGGATGTAGCAGAAATGCATGATTATAATTGAATATAAAAGTTTGTTTGGCTGCCAAGTCCGTTGAAAAAAGACTACTCAGATGTTTAAGTTTTGAAGACTACGGTTTCACTTATATTCTCCATGAATGATTGATTCAACACACCAACTCCCCATCCCGTTTATATCAGTGGGAAAAAATGAGATATAAGCATATCGGCCAATCATGACTTACCTAAAATTGTGATAATATTTATAGCTCTCGCCTCACCCACATAGCTTTCTGCAACACATTCTAACCTGATGATGAAATCACATAAAAGGCTTTATTTTAACTTTGAAAATACAAATTAAAAAGTTTGATCAAAAGGTTATAGAAAGCATGTTTTGTAATGTCTTTAACATTACATATCCCTTCATAGACTCCACTTACGATTCAAGGTTATAGACATCATTGTACAAATAGAAGTCTTTTTCCAATGAAAATACGCATTATATCATTTTTTTCTCCTTTACGATTTGGTCTTCTCTTTAAAGGATTTTTTTAAGTCTCCTTTTATTTATAGAGAAAGGTAATGAATAATTATGTTGCAGGTCTCATAACGATTTTTGCCAATGAGACTCCAGAGCCTATTCCTTAGGTGCTTCCTTCCCTATACCCGTCCATTTAAACTTCATGAAAAGATTTAGAGAACGGTTTATACATGTAGTTACAGTTTTTCATTATCTGTCTAATCGAAACAGCCCTCAATCGTCATTTTCTTTCCTCGAAAGTTCGTATTTCCAAAGGTTCATAATTCTGAAAAATTCCCATACCAGGGAGACAATAGTTCATAATTCCCAACTGAAGGTTCGTTATTCCAAAATGAGATTCATAAATCCGAAAATGAAACGGAGGTTTATTGCATTTTTGGAATTATGAAGCTTATTTCATTTTCGGAATTATCAACCTTTGAAATATTGAACCCTTGGAGAAAACTGAAATGTGACTATGGGACCGTCCCTAAATGACCTACAATTCTAGAAAAAATATTAGAGTAAGAACATTTGAAGGATGTTACCTATATAGCATGGCTGTGTTACTGGTAAAGGTAATCCCAGCTGCGCCTGTAGTCATTGTCTGGGTAAACTCAGAGGCTACCTCCAGGGTCTCTGGAACGACCCACCGGACTGTAGGAACAGGAGTACCCCTTGCTGCACAAATAAGGGACACTTCCTGACCGGGGATCACCGTGTAGTTTCTGGATATTTGTACTATGGTAGGCGCATCTGGGAGATGATAAATTATACGAATGGGTTTTATTTTCACTTAAATATGCTTCTTTAAACGCATAGGAAAGACCTCGAAAAACCATAATCATGATTTCTTTCTACACTCCAAAATCAGTTGGGTAAAAAGGAAACGTAAATGTTTGTTGTGTTTAATCCTAAAAATGAACTTGGTAAATGAAATTGTGTTAAATTTAGTTGGACCTGACAATTCTAGTTTTATTAAGTTACTATAACAATGTTGTGCAACGGATGACCGACCTTGAGCATCACCATATAAAAGACGTGACTTAGTTTCGAATTGGAGTCCGTCAGAGTCAGTTTGTAGGCGAAGACTGAGATCTAGACTGTACCGCTAGACCAAATCCTATCTCCTTTACATTAGCTTACATCCATATTAAGCATGGTCCAAACATTTCGAATATGACGAGAAGTTCTATAGAAAGTATTTCAAGATGTGAAACTATTTCATGACACCTACCAAAGCAGTCACTATACATGTTTAAAATGAATTGAGTGCGTTCTGCCGGTAGACATGTAAGTCCCATGGAAGACGCCCTCATAGCGGCTTTCCGGAAGTCCCACGCTGCTCGGAGACATTCGCTGTTCCCAGTTGACGCGCTATCATCGGGAACTGTGGCACATCCATCCTGGTACTGGACAAAGTTCATGCGGAGGCCTCCACTGCCCACCACTGCGTCCACGTATGGATTGCGGGGACTTGGTGGGATGGCTTCAGGCGTTCGTAGAATGTAAACTCCGATGCGGTCAGTCTCAGAAAAGGTTAACGGGAGTGGAGCACGAAGCGGGAAATTGTGCGTAATCGATCCTTCAAACTACGAATAATATAACAGGCAAATATAAAAGAGATATAAAGGGTAAATATTGATATCTATCCATACGATTTGTTTTTTATAATTTGAGCATGGACCCTTATATAAGCTCAACCAGTCAGTCATCTTTTAATATATAGTATGCTTAATTTCAAAGTTGTAAGCAAATCAAGAACAGATAAAACAGTTTTAGAAATAAAATAAAGTATGATCAAACAGGTCGTGAGACATCTGACTTAAAGTTGTTTGAGGCTGTTTGCACCTATAGGACTACCCCTCATGCTGACGTGAGGCCAATACTGATGCGAAATCGGAATTGAAACCTCCGTATTTCAGAGTGAGCAGCTAAAGATCGACAGTTCTAAAATAGATGTACTCACCGTGACACGAAACTCAGTGGTCAAGATTGTATTGTTGACAACGTTTCCTCTCTGATCTGTGGTGGTAATGTTGAACATGGCATAAAGGTCCCCTTCCAAGTTAGGGGCAAAGGCAGGGGTGTTGATAGTAATCTTAACGAAAAAACACAGAATAATTTAAATCATCGCAGTTTATAAACTTTACATTTTCATGCTCAAAATAACGTAAGAATGGATCGACTAATGGACTCATTGTTTCTATTCTTTTCTCCATCAATTCATTATTCATAAGACTGATTTAGAATTGACTATGGACACATATAAGCTCAATGTTAAACGTATGATCTAACACGAACTAACCATGTTCATTGTTAGATTTCATGACTATCAATTTGCCTATATTGAATTTTATGCTACAACATGTACCTTTATTTAAACATATTTGTGGCTTACACCCAGTAAATAAGATCGATTGATCGATCTGTATTGAAAAACAAGTCAGAAAAAATCTTGGAACCAGCGGGACATGTACCTTGCACAGTTTCTATGTATACCGGGGTTTTCTCATTGGATCTGTTTGGATTCAATGTTGTCGGTGTATAATGTAATGATCATATAGTATGGATCGGATTGTGAGTAATTGACCAACTATCAGTAAGTGAATGAGTGTTCACTGCGAAATATCTATTGTGGTATTCGATCACTGGTATTGTCCTGGATTAGATAAGTGACCTTGACTTACAGCTACAGGATGTGTATGTCATTAGAAGAACATTAGAAGAACGATACACTTTTTTAACTTGACTATTTGAAATAGATTGCAATTATGATAATACAAAATAATAGATGAATGATTTCCCCAAAACCCTCTCTCTCTCTTTCTCGATCTCCCTGTCTCTATCTAGATCTATCTCTTACCGAATCAATGTACGATCGTGGGGTCTCTGGCGCTGGGAAGAGATAGACACGCCCTGTAATATCATCCGAGATGAGAGGTCCACTAGAAGGCATGGCTGTGATGCAGTGGGTGTTGAAGAGAGTGGCGTTCTGCTTTACCTCTTGACAAACTGTTCCTTCTTCGTCGGTTAAAGAGCAACTAGACTCATCGAAGCCCGTTCCGCAGTCGTCGTATGAGTCACAGACATGAGCCCTGTCGTAACAGCCAAAGCTGACAGGACAGACAGGTTTTCCTTGGTCACAAGGCGCTGCCAAATTAAACGTAACCGGATAACTTATTAGGATAACCCGAAGCTCTATACGTTACTATTAAACTTAAGCGAACGTACCTATACTTTCTTTTCTATCTAGATCTCCGATACGGGTTTCCGTTTTGAAAGAAACTGATCGGAATCGATGCCGACTGAACCTGATTTTTATACCAATGACAATTTCATTTTGGCAATTGTATCTTTGCGAGTAGGACATGAGATTGATTTCGACCAATCACGGCTCTTTATAAAACGGGGTTACGGGGATTTTGTAAAAGAATGTTATACAATGTTATTTAGAAATAAATCATTATCATTTGTTCAAAATGCTTTAACCCCCATGGTCTTGATTATGTCAATCAAATACGTCTAAGGCTTGTACAAAGTACAGCTTGATTTTATACAATAATTCTGGATTCCCCATCCACTGTGGGTGAGGTCTCCAAAGGCATTTTTCTCTCGGATTATTAGAGTAACATGAACAGTACTTCTACCTTCCATGTTGTTGTTGTTTTTTTTTTTTTTGTAATGGCAATCAGTCAAGACCTGACTATTATCACCAACGCCTTTCTTTTTAATATTAATTTCTTTCTTTCTCTTTTAAAAAAAAATAAGAGTATCAAAAATATAATTTAAATATAGGCTTCTCTCTTTTTTTCTTTTTCCTTTCTTTTTCCCCCTTAAAATGAAATGAAAGAGAAAATAGATGAAGAAAAAAAAACAAAAAAAAAAAAAAACGACAAAATGTAGATTTTTGTATCCTGTAGGTTACCGCGTAGTCCTGTCCGTTCTAAGACACCGTCCAGACACCGTCCTGTCTCTCGGGTGTAGACAGGGGGCTCCCTTTGGATACACCGGGCAACCTCTATTAGGTTTTCCAATATTCACCCGGATGATAGGTGCACCGGTTTTATTATTAAGAAGAAGAAGAAAAAGAAGAAGAGGAGGAAAAAGAAGTAGAAGATGAAAAAAGATATTCTATATTGAACCTCTCCGAAATTTTAGGTTGGATATGCATTTTCTTCAAACTAGACTTTTCCTCGTTTTATACTGATTGAGATGGCGGCAAGCTAAGTTTAAATTCATACTCACCCACATTCACATCAATCATTGGTGATGAGGTGCTTGATGAGGTGCTTGATGCGGTGCTTGATGCGGTGCTTGATGCGGTGCTCGATGCGGTGCTTGATGAGGGCACAGTCGTCGAATTGGTGCTTGATGCGTTGCTTGATGAGGGCACCGTCGTCGAATTGGTCGCAGTCTGGCTGATGACATAATTCATGTCCACAGTGAAAAATAGTAAGAGACACAACATGGCGCATCTTCGAGCAGACATTGCAACTTTAGGTATTATATTTATTTTCGATTGATGAATTCCAAGCGATTTGACAACAACGTTTCTATCCAAGTTGAAACGTACTATCACACACTGGGTAACACTACATCAATCATCACGCCTGAATGTTGTTCTTGCTCAGTACTCTGGCTCTTTACCAATAAAAGCATGTCGTCGAGCCTAGTCAGACGTCCTGGCAGCGTTTATCCTCTAAACGTATCTTCAATATAAAATCCGATGTGTTTTTTTTAAAGAAGCTTCAATCCTTTTGAACAAATTGTGTGCTGTATACGCATGTAATGCTTATTGTTTAATGTACGAGACTTCCGTAAAACAGCTTCTGAAAACGAGTGCCCTGTTTATGGCGAACTTACGTAACACGTATCTTTCTTTTACTTTTGTTCATTTGCTGTCTGCTTGAGCGATCACATAGATCCAATTCTATTGGTGACGTACGCAACCTTTACGAACATGACAAAAAGACTTTTGTTGAACACCAAAAATAGAACCATTAAATCTTGCCAAAGAATATTGAAGTGACGAGGCTGTCTCATTGCCACGCCCTGTATACTGTCATATCTATAACAAATGCATGGTAAAAGCTAATTTCCTATAATCTTAATAGTATGCCAAATTATACTCAAAGTAAATGTTTTTAGTAAGAAAATAGTAGTGTGTTTGGTTGGATGGGGTTATTTGATTTATGTTACAACTGATTTCATTTTTGTTTTCATCAACCGGACAATCTATGTAATGAAAATGTATTGTATTCATGTCAAGGAAAAACAACTGTATTTTATTTCTAAGATTGATTTGTATCGTTTGGGATCAATAACAAAAAACTATTGAAAAACAAAGTGGGACTGTGGATGTGTGGGGTGAGAGAGAGAGAGGGGGGGGGGGTCGCCGACTGTACTGCAATCATAGACACAACTGACATCGAACCTTCCATTTTCATTTCATTGATATGATATGGAAGATTATTTTTACCTGGTACAGGGGTAGCTCCACAACCGTCACATAGCCTAATGGATTATATTTATTCAGGGAACTATCATTAGAAAACTAGAAATCGAAAAAGTATACTGTAAAGCGGATCTAGGGTGTAGAGAGGGCGTTAATTCGATAAGATCATCAAAGACCATAGCTGGAAATGATTTTCTTTTTCGTTTTTAATACTCTAAAACATTATCATAATTTTTACATGGGTTTATTAGCCACAAACTTTATGTTCACAGAGTTACAGAACACATTTATGCAACTGTCTATAATATTGGCATCGTGTGTATCATGCCTTTTAATTTTTTTTTTAATAGAAAATAGAAGTTACTGAAATGTCCTGACTTTTATCTCCAAGCCAGCATAACATGCATGGACAAATTCTTTATAGTCCTTCTATTTAGTGACTGCTTGATCAACATGTTTGCAAACACTCTCAAGAAATCAATACCAAATACCATATTGTACCCTCCTACAGACATGATTACGTCACATTATACAGATATTGACTGGCAGGGGGTGTAATATAACATTCGAGAACATATGGTCACGAGGGAAATATAACTCCCTTCAGGTCCGAAGAATGTTATATACCCCCTGCCAGTCAATATTTGTTCTATTAGATAGCTTTGGTTTGAAAATTTACGGGGGGGGGGGGTCCATTTTTTTTGAGAAATAAAAATTCTTAGAAAAACAATTTAGGAGGGGAAACAAAATTTCAAGGGGAAACAAAATTTCAAGGGGAAAAAAAGTATTGTTACATCACGAGCTCTGGACCAATCACATTTCGGTATCTGTCTAAGCTATCTAATATATTTTTGTAATTTTGGCATATTTCCAAAGGCAATCGGTATTGTGAAAAGTTGTTAACATCATCCTGTGAAATCATGCTGAATGATTAAAATGTCATAACAAGGTGTAAACGATGTCTTCACTTTGTGGGAATGTGGTTGTCATGCCAACAGTGATGCAAACGGCGCTTTGAAAAGGACTGTACTTGGAACACAGTTTACTAATGAGTCCTCATCGTTCGGGTTCTCATGTAAGGTCTTACGAGATCAATGATGCATTGTATGTTAGTGATTGGACCAATACTTTATAACCGAAAAGAAAAAGGAAGCAAAGAGGAAGAAGAAGATGATGAAAAAGAAGAAGAAGAAGAAAAAAAAAAAAAAAATGCTCGCAACATTTAGGCAGGGGCGGATCTACGGGGGGGGGGGGGTAGGGGGTTTAACCCCCCTCCCTTTGGGCGGGCGCAAAAAAAAGAAAGAAAAAAAGACATTACAAAAAAAATTGTGTTCACTACAACCCCCCCCCCCCTAAGCAACAGAGCGAAATATTGGTGGAGGTGATTATTACATTTAGCCCCCCCCCCCCCCTCTTGGAAAATCCTGGATTCGCCACTGGATCAACTCCCCCCCCCCCCCCCCCCCCCTTGTCAGGAATGACGAAGCAAGAAACGGTCTTTAAGAAGCCATACATGATCCAGTTTCCTTCTACAGTTATTGCGTCTGTCACGTACTTTCTTGAGGTGTGAGGAATGACAAAACTAGACTTTTGAATATTCGCCAGCTCAAGACAATAAAAATGGATGCATATCTGTGTAAGTTTAATTTTAGGTGGATTTTAAAGATATCATGATGGGGCCAAAAGGTTAGGATTAGGATGATTTGAAATTGATGACAATTGATCCCATGTACTTTTTATCCGTTTGTTTTTCTGAATTATTATCACATTCTTTCTCTTTTCACACCCCTCTCTCTGTTTCTCTCTCCACCTCCTCTCTCCCCCTCTCTCTCTATCTCTCTCTCTGCCTGTCTCTGTCTGTCTGTCTGTCTCTCTCTCTCTGTCTCTCTCTGTCTCTCTCTGTCTCTCTCTGTCTGTCTGTCTCTCTCTCTCGTTTTGGCTTCCTTTCTCATTCCAATTAGTAATTACATTGTTACTACTGTCGTAATAACCAGTGGAATGTTTGAATAATTATGCAATTCAACCGTACGTCTGCAAATAGACTTAAAGAAAATTATCATCATTTTTATTACACTAGATAGGCCTCAATTGGACAGATTTTATGAGTACTAGTAAGATTATAATTATGTGAGCGGATCCGGATCCTTCACATTATCCTCGTTCCATATGCCCGGAAGCTTTAGGGAATATTTTTACCTCGCTGATTTATCCTTGCTTTCAATGAAATCAAATCACCAGGGTGAGATGGATTAGATCAAGGTGTTAATTCCCTAATTACATCCTTCATGTTGATGTGAATAATAAACATTTGAGATGCAGTCTGCGCTGATGGAGGTTGTTTGTAACAAAATGTAAAAAATAACAAAAAATATAAAAAATAAAACAATATATATTTAAAAAAAGAAGAGATGGAGAGTGCTCATGAAAGTTTTGTAATCATAATTCAATAATTTTTCAACTCTGAATCAATAAGTACACAAATAAAACAAAATCTTGTTCATATTTGGAAAAGGTTATTAATGAAGCAATTCCATCACTTTTAGCTTATGGTCAGGATTTTTTTGTTCTCAAATGCACGAAGTAAGACCTTACTATGTTTTAAAGATCTGTGAATATTCGGGGTCATTTGCACCATGTGCCGATTAAAGGATGAATTGATCTATTGCTGCGTAATCGTAATCAAGCATTCATGTTCAGGCAGATCTAAAATTGTCAAAAGGTATGATTGTGTGTGTATGTCTGCGTGGGAGGGGTTCTGGAATTTGATTTCCAAAAATGCCATTAGCTTTTCCTGACGGGGGCAATGGTGTATATTATCGAAGCAATATTTTCCAAGATGATTCCCTGTTATCTCTCAAAAAATACGTTGTTTTGTCAAAATATTCGTTTCATATCAAATTGATTGCATTCTCATACACCCTCCATACCTAGACACATAACCACTTAATATCAACAGAAGTAAAGAAATTGAACTTCGAAAAATATACCTTGTTTTGATAATGTCGTTATTTTATTATAAATATATATATATATAATTCGTTTTTTTCAGTCAGTTGGAATAAACACATGACATACATCAGAAAACTCAATTGAATATCTACCTCACATAGAACGGTGCAGAAGAGTTATCATACAATATTTAATGACATGTATGATAAAATGAAAATTGTTCGGTGATAAACAAACGAAAACAGTTGGTACACCTCCCCCCCCCCCCCCTCAGGTTTGACTGAACTTTATCTTCATGAGGAAATCAAATCATTTATTTAATTTAAGAATTCTTTTCAAACAGTGCAAATAGGACTCCAAAGCAGGTTCTGATTCAATTTTTGTTCTCATTTAAAGACCAATTTTCAATAAATATGTATACAGGGGTCAAGTCTTGTCAGGTGGACTGACGTCTCGCTCCTGAATATTTTCAGTTTCTATTTTTTAAGCATTGATGATTATAATGACAATGTATTTTGTCACCAAAATACTGAAAAATATGTAATGTAAAAGTACAGGTAGATAACCTCGCTGCTTAAATAAGAAAATACCACCCCCGAATGTGAGGTTGCAGTTCTCCGAATATGAGTAATTTCGAAATTATCTCAACATTAATTAGTAACAATCAGTAGTCATCATCATAACTCTATTCATTCTAAATCTGGAGGCCATTACAATATATCTGCTTTCCTTTCAAGTCAAATGGACCAGCCACACTTTTTGTGAAAAATATTAAAGTATGAAAAGTATGAAAATAAATAATCAATTAAACTGAGCTTTATGAAAGCAAACGAATCCTGTTCCAAACATATTTTCACTGAATGAAAATGCTATTTCCAATAAATTAAATGTAACTAAGTTGTTCTAAGCATTCTTGTATCTCCCCTCCCTTCTACATCTGTCTCTCGCTGTCTCTTTCCAAAGAGATACGAGCAATTTTATCTGTCTCTGTCTGTGAATGTGTGTGTGTGTGTGTGCGTGCGTGTGGGTGTGTGTGTGTGTGTGTGTCTCTCTCTCTCTCTGTCTCGCTCTGTATACATGTATATATTATGTAAAGTAGAAAATGCATCAATTCACAACGCGAGAGGCCATTCCATCTAGCGTTTTTAATTGATATATTTTCAACTATTTTCATTCTGCCTAGTTTCCTTCTGCATCACGTTGGACATTGTTCCTCTTTAGGATTTGTATATATTCCCTATTCATGTTCAATACTTCTTACGAAAGTGTACAAGAGATCCATAATCTATTAATATATATGTATCTATATAGACATAATATACATACATATATAAACACACACACACATATCTGTCTGTCCGAATGTCTTTTTCGTTCTGTGTCTTTCTGTCTTATGTACTGCTACCCCTATGTTTATACACACTAGTGCAGACCTGGGTCCTAGGGTAACTATACGTCCCTCCATCCAGGCCATATATTGATGATAATATATTCCTCGAACCAAACTGCTTTCCAGATGTGCACAGATTTGTTACAACATCTATATTAGTCCAAGGAGTTCAGTCTCACCGTTGTACGGCCAAAACGAAGTGAACACTATAATATTCAAGATTCTTAAGACATCCTGCAAGAGTTGGAGGTCTATTCAGTATGTTTTCCTTCGTTCTTCAACGGTGTTTTGATCCAGGCTTTTAGCTGGGATCTTTTCATTCGATATCGTCCTCGTCCATTTCCTTTGTGATTTCTGCAGATGTGAGATCCAGGTTTGCTGTAGGTAAAATAGATAAATTACCAAATTAAATGTACGATAATAAAGCTTTCCTTCCAAATTGTTTATCTGCATGGCAGTATGACTTCAGTCAGCTAATTCTTTAGCAGGATGTCTGAGTTGGGGGAATCAAAACTGCGTTCAAATTTTTCCAATTAAAATACACATAATCATGGTAATCGCTAATGAATAGAATCGTTGCATAATACTGTCATAGCGTTCTAATTAATTTCGTTACTCCTGAATAACGGGACTCTATTAACCACGCCCTCAGATCTCCTGGTTCTGCCATTGGTAGAAATAATGAAAGGGTTAGGAGAGTATTGCCTATGTCGAATCTGAAGGGTGCTCAGTTTGCTCCGGGCCTTATAATTAATTTCGTCAACAGATTAGGGCAAGGGTTAGGGTTCCTAGTGTGTAAGGTGATTTCTATGGTTAGGGGTCAGGTATAATGTAAGGCCAAGAGGTTAAGTTAGGAAATTCAGTTAGTGTTCGATGAATAGTGACCGCGAGGCAATTGTCGCAGGATCAAGATGTTGACTTACCTTGGTGTTATCTGTAATGCAATCGAACGTATACGCTTCGGATACATGCCCAGCTTTGCTCGGTTTTAGTAGTAACATGGTGTGCTGTATGTCGTGAGCTGTAAACAAAAATAATTACATTTATAGCCACTATCAATCCGGCACCGTCATACACTATAGTGACTATCTACAGGGTAGGAATTGAAGATGGCTACCTTGCCCAGTCCATGGAAGCGTGGTCCTCCAATGGTATCGGACCCGGGAACTCCTGGCTTCAAGGACACTGCTTTAACAGCCAATCCAGAACTTTATTTACAGAGCATCAGACCATAAAGTTCATACATACCATTATCAATTTTTTATTTTTTCGTATTCTTGGAGACAAAATGGCAACATCGATCACCATGACTCCTTCTACAACTGATTGTGAAATCTACGACTACACTACAACACTTGAAGAGAAGTGCCATAGGCTCTTAGTATACATCGGTCGAAGCTCACCTTCAAGTCACAGACCACCCGTTTAATTTACGGCCTATCATGGGGTCTGTTCTATGGATAAGATAATTAGTTCCACTGGCTCTTAGTACACAAATGACATGCTCCCTTGCGTTTGAAACTTCCATTTAACGTGTTATCTTTGGGTCTAATTACCTATGATTAAGACAACGTGCCACAGGCTTTTAGTATAAATAATGCGTGACTCCATCTCCTGACATGGACCCCATCCCAATTTAACGCCATATCCTAGGGTCTATTCGTCTATTGACCTATTCTCACCTGCACATTGGTTCTGGTCGACTTCTGTCCGTTGAAGCTGGTCCAGCATGATTGGGGGTTTGCACACCACGAAGAATACCCCATCCTTTGGGCGAGGTAATGACTGGTACTTCTGATCGGGAACACTGGGGAAACCCGTAAATGATCGTCGGGTCACCAACTTGCGTCGTCTTCTTGTGATCAGAAGCATGTCGTCGAAGAGGAATACGTAGACGTCAAGAGTTTTTCCGTGTTCTGAGGGAAAAGAGAAGAACGGGAATACTAATGCTTCGAAGGAGCGCTTGGTGGAAGGGATACCGAGAAATCACTGAGGATAGTTTCATTATTTTGGCCCAAATTATTTTAATCTGAAAAGTATACAGTGCTTAACGTTTCTCGTGTTACCTCGAATTTTTTCTGGATTACAAATGATTATTGCTCAAGTTTAAGGTAATTTGAAGCTCATTATATCAAACGTGGCCAGCAGTCAGAAGGGATAGAGCAACGTCGATCTGGCGCTGCTCAGTGGCTGCCGGGCTCACGATCAATTGGGCAAAAAGAATTTTCATTTCGGTTTAATAACATTTGGAGTGGACTAAAAGATTATTATTATCATCAATAATAATCAAATTGTAAGAATATGGTAAGAAAGAGAGAAATAGTTGCCATACTAAATAAAAATTTAAGAGATTAACAAAACCAGACATTAAACATATAAAGGTAGATAAAAAAAAAAAGGGACAATCATTGCACTAGCTTAAAAATATAAGAATAGCCTTAAAACTGACAAAAAATATCTATGATGAGGACACTAGCACTATGTCAGAAAGCTAACATCCATCCCTTATGGTATAAATAACAGAACCATTCAAATTCCATTAAGTAAACTGATCAAATGAGGTAACGGGCCGGTTTGAAGAATCGGTGATAGGTAAGAACCTGACATAATTATATTGTAGTTTCCTTTTTAGGGAGGAAGCCAGATCCGGCAAACAGGGCGATTTGGTAAAGATTTCGCGAACTTTCTACTAGGATGGATATGTTGCACATTATTTGCTCTACAACCTGAAGGGCACTCACCGATCATTCGCAGCGGTCCTTCGTGGACGAGTGTTCTCTGAGAGCTCACCAGAAGGCTGTTCTCCGTCGATTCATCGTTCGAATGTCGACACTATGGATGATAAGAAGTAAGTTACATTGGTTGCGGTGTGACCACGGCTTTATATTGGAAACATGAAATATTTATTTTCGTTAACACAGGAGAGAAAATGTATAAGTTGAAAGAAATCTTGCCTGCTTTCACTATTTTTGTTACCAGTAATGCCGTTGCACTGACCCACTGTTTTTTCTCCAATTTTGTAATTCCTTCTTGTTGCTGTTTTCGAGGTTTAATATCGTGCTGATGCAATGCTAATGTCTCTGCATGTAAGTTCTAAAATTATGTCATTTCTAGTAATCAATTCAGGGATTCTAGCTTTTCTTTTTTCGAAAGAACATATATATATATATATATATATATATATATATATATCATGTAGGCCTATATGAATTCAATTTAGTACAGATATTTCACGTGTTCGTATAGAGAAATCAGCCTATGGACCCCAAGAATGCCAAACACATCTACAGGCACTTCATCATGTTCTGCACGGGTTATTCCTGTGGACATACCCTGGACGAGTCTAGTTCCTCTTGATCAGCAGGCCATGTAAGCATCTGCTGGATCTCTCTGAGCCGCTCAAAGCTGGAGAGCCATTTCACCTTGCCTTCTAGATCATCTATAAGAAATACAAGCAAGGTGTGAAAACTTGTACCATACTTTCATATAATCCTCTCTCTCTCAAAGTATTACGACCCTCTTTAAATATTGGACACAAGCATATCAGGGCGATTGATCCAGATAGATCACTAGTCCTACAATCAACCGCAAACTTAGCATCCCTTGAGAGTTGGGATTAATATCACATTACGATTGATTTGAATCAATTGAAGTTCCCCTTTATCGACTTTATTTGTTAAAGCAAAGTTTCCCGTTTCGATCAAGGGTTTCGTGAAAAAACACTTACTCAAGGAGAGGGGCAGGTAACGTGTTAAGAAAAGGATGTCATGCCCTCCCACATACCCGATAGCTTTTTTTCAGTCACATTTCATCTTACGAACGTCACTAACCCATGGAAGCAATGCCCCCTCAACGCCCCGACACACATTGTATACTCACCCATGGATCGTTCGACGTTGAGTAAGGTCGCATCAATCTCGGCTTGATCTTGAGCGTCCGAGGTGCAGTCTCTGATGTCTCGAAGAAACAAGGAATACTTGGTGATTCGCTGGATGGGAGTGATGAGTAAATCTACCAGCTTCAGTCGTTTGCATCGTTTGTCCTGCTCACAGAGCTATTTCACAAGGGAAAATGGGAGGGAGGTACATGTAGATAATCTTACAATATGAAAGCATAGTGTTATCATCATCACAATCCAATGGCATCTCTATTAGATTAAATGTATCCATTTCGTCCACTCGTATCATGAGCAACCTCTAATTATTTTTACGTTCCAGACAGATACATTCCTTGTCAGATGCAATCAATTGTGACAAGATTCGCCATGAAAACAGATCCTTACAATTATCAGATTATTTTTTTCTCTTCAAAAGGGCATGATTGTGTGCGGTATGAACACGCATTTGTTCCAATTACTGATCATAATTCTTGTAGCATTCGATCAGGTTTAACTTCAAGGACCGGTCGGATGTTTGTCACTAAGATCAGGCCTTTTCTCAGAAGACTGAAAAACAACCAACGCACTACACCAACGCGGAATCCTCGCATAAGAAGAGTACTGCTGCGTCTAACGGCGAAACCTTTACGGAAGTTTAAAATTGCCAACGATATGATGAGGTAAATTAGCACAAGAACACGAGAAAACGAGAAAGTCAACTTGTATATGACGAGAAGACAAGTTGACTTGTCATCACATCTTCTCGTCCCAAACAAATTGATTTAAGATTTCCAATAACTCTCTTGTCTTCTCGCCTTAAATCATCTCGTCATTTTGTCGGCACTTTAAATTTTAAAGCTGCCGTAAAAACCTCTAAAAAGCCACGGTTCATCGACACCCCACTGCAACACGTGCTATCAAATCAACACGAGTTTCAGTGGAATGGCGATGTAAATCATACCTTGGTGAATTCTAAGAAATCCTCTTGCTTCTTCAGAGCGTGTAGATACTGCAAAGCACCCGCGTAGTTCATACAATAACGAGGGTAGGCAGGACATACATGACTTAAGAACTGGGGAAGAAAATTAAAATAAAATAATGAGTAAAATTTGGTCAAGATAATATACATGCATGTATATCTATCTATGTTCATTCATAATGTCCATTCTTTGGTGTAAGAAAAGGGAGAAGATGGTACTGCATTAGATGTATTCTCCATGAATGTTATACCATGAAAACAGACCAACCAATCAATCAACCAGAACACAAATTCTACTAAGATCTAAAGCTCAAGTTTATATGAATTCAACGTACTAGGATGGCACATTGATGATAGATGATGGATGTGTGCCTTTAAATTAGTTACCAGCGAATATCGGGTGCTAACTCCGTATGCTACATAAGGCGTTATTAGATACAGACATTATACACAAAGCACCAAGTGTGACTGAAACACTTCTTTCTATGTATAATCGATTCTGGTTTTCTCTTTGAATTTTATGTCATATCTTGGAGCAAACGATAAAATACAGAACACCTACGTTTGCGAATGCTGCGACGACTGCTTGCGTACCGCCGAACTCGCTACTGCCATCAACACAAGTAAAGTTCCGAAAGAGCTCCCGACAAAACTCTGTACTGACCTAATTAAAAAAGAAGAGTTCAGTTGATACGGACAAAGATGCATTTCTAAAAGGTTACTCTTGTTCTATTTATGTGCCCCGCTCGTTAACAATAAATTAAATGATATTTTCCTTTTACAAATCCATAATGACCTTGTTTTTCTTATTATATTTTGATCAGGATTATTTTGTTTTTTGTATTTCTCCAGATCCAGTGGCGTAGCAGGGTCGAGGTATTGAGTGACATTGCCATTGACACGGAAGGCAGGGATGGGGGGGGGGCAGCCTTATCACTGCAAATTCTTTGTGTAATGATTTCATACAACATTAGGTGGTTCACTCCTTACACAGGGGTTGTGTTAAGTTGTATAAAAAAGAATGACTCATCTTCACACAACGAATTTGCAGTGTAAAGTTGTGTATTTTTTTTACACAACTTAACACAACCCCTGTGTAAGGAGTGAACCCTCCAATGGTGTGTAAAGTCGTTACACAACGTTACACAACAAATTTGCAGTGAAAATGAGAAATAAAAAGGCCATCAATATTATTAGGGGGTGGGCAGGAGCACTGTCATCATCATTTCACATATTCCCTTTTCCCTCCCTTTTTTTCTCAACTTCTTCTATTTCTTTTGATATTTTAATCTGTGCACGGAGGACGGGGGCAGTACTCCCATTGTCCCCTGTACACACGGCATTTTCTTTGAAGGGATTCCTAAACTCCTTAAAGTAGATATTCATTGATTTTAAAAACTAACTTTATTTTCATTATTGCAAAGTTGAAACTTTGATTCGACAAGGTTATCAAAATTCAATGCTTGGAAACTTTCGAAGTAATGATTATTATAAATTACAAAACACTTAAATACAGCCCCGGCATAGCACCTGAAAAGCTCTCCGAACGCTGCTGAGATGTGTGAGATCACAGTATGGACATGACTTGCACAAGCAGACGATGTCCCATGATTATCTCACACATTTTCAGTGCCTGTGTTTTCATCTTGAGTTCTTTCTCTTCACTACCGTCAGGCTAAATTTATAATCTATTGCCTCACTCTAAACCCCGCGCATGGTTTTATTTTGATGACAAATGCAGCGATACAAAAATAAAGGAATCTGTCGCTTGTAAACAAAATAAGACGCCATTGTATATTCAGCTGCACACACCGGGGTATGTTCGGCGTTTCAAGAGGGAACAAATGCCGTCCTTAATATCATTCCGGGGGTTTTTCAATTTGAAAGTCTGGTTTCTTTGATTGTTAATTAACCCATATCCTGTGTATTTACAAGCAAAAGATTTTAGTTATCAGAATCGGGTCATATCCTCTTTTGAATGGTTTCACATGCCATTACATTTATATACACTAAACTCATTATAATTTGAGAAATAATAGCTTTGCAATTATGTTCATTCTCTAAGGGATGTCGTCTGCTTGGGCAGTGTTGGTCCATATAGTGACGTCATTAAAACATCGTTATTTTTCCTGCGAATCTCTCGTATATCCCAGCTGCTATGGGGGTGGTTGTATTTGTATTTTTATAAATCACCCGATATGTAGTTGACCTTAAACTTGTCCGATGGCCATCTGTTAGCTTACCAGTTTCTAGTGATACATTAGTTGACATATTTGTGATTTTCTTTGAATTTCTCCTTTACATTGGATGGTTTCTATACGAAGCCAAAATTTTAAAGTAATATATATCTCAGTGACAAACCGACCCCACACCGTCTTTAAACAGACAGACTATCGGCCATTCAGAAATATTGTCGTTTTTATTTGGTCTTTTGTCGGTCTGGTGCCGGTCTGGTGTCGGTCTTCTGTCGGCCAGGTGTCGGTCTGGTGTCGGTCTGGTGTCAGTCTGGTGTCGGTCTTCTGTCGGTCAGGTGTCGGTCTGGTGTCGGTCTGGTGTCGGTCTTCAGTCGGTCAGGTGTCGTTCTGGTGTCGGTCTGGTGTCGGTCTTCTGTCGGTCAGGTGTCGGTCTGGTGTTGGTCTGGTGTCGGTCTTCTGTCGGTCAGGTGTCGGTCTGGTGTCGGTCTAGTTCGTGTGACTGAGGTATTACACTACAGTGTATTATGATAATGCTTTTCATCTTTTCAAATGGGTGAAGATCGTGAAGAAGGATATGTTTTTATGATAATAATGATAGTCACATTTGGATAGCGCATTACTACGTTTCTAAGCGATTTGCATTATTGTTACCATGGTCATTGAATTCAGTTGCTAAATTACTAATTGTAGGGCAAACGCTCTGTTCTCTGGCGAGTATTCCGGCCAGGCGCCATTTTACTAGAAGGCGCCATTTCACAAACGGGTGTAACACAGTTGTTAAGGTTTATAGGTAAAGATATTTGAAACGTTTTAGATATATGTAAAAAAGAAAGTTCATGATAAATGCCCAGAAGGAAAATGGGGTACGAAAGGAAGGAAGAAAGAAACAAATACAAAAATGCTAAAGAACAAAACAAAAATCTGCTAGCACAACTATTCAGGATATAAGTGATTTTTAACAGTTTGTTATTAATGATTTTTTTTTAAATTATTCGTTTTCAATCCACATTATGTCTGGGACTTACCGCACACAATTCGTCCAGATTTGCGAAAAGTTTGGCCACCTCAATATGCATCAGATGACCCTCGCACTGCAACCACCGAAGTCGTTCTTGAAAAATCTAATTTGGAGCAAAGAGATTTTACAACAAAATATAAATATACAATTAAGACACTAACAAAATGTATTGGTATATGGTTAAGAGGGGTAAGAAAATACATATAAAACAAAACCCGGATCATTAAGCTATTATTATCATGTACATCCACATTATTATCACTGATAATGTCTTTACCATTGTTATTATTGTTGTTACCATTATTATCATTACTGTTTGAAGCCAAAAGGAAGTTAACTCTTCGTGAGCTGATACGAGTAAAAGCCCCTCTGGCTCCTAACAGACCAACATCATAACCACTTTCGTTGTTTTCACAGTATCTTGTTAGATATATTAAACACTATTGGAACAATCCTTCGATGGCGTCTAGCTCTTACCTCTTTGAGAACGAGTATGTGATCGATGAGGTAGACGCACTCGCTTCTAAACAGCTCCCATACCTTGTCACATCGTTTGATCTCATTTTTGTCGACGGATTCATGGTTGATCGGCTCAGGTCGTTCCATACTCCACTCAATGAAGTCTCTCCAGTGTTTGTCCTGCCAATCAAGAAATTAATGAGTGAACAAATGTATTAATATACATAAATAAATAAATTGATTAATCAATAATAAATACAAATTGAACAACGAATATATAAATAAATAAATGAATAAATGAATAAATAAATGAATGAATATACAAATAGATACATAATTAAAAATATGATTCTCACCGTCATAAAAATGTTTTGTGTTTGTTTTACTTTATCATGTCTATGGCTTCATTCGACTTGACAATGTGTTTGTGAAAAATGTACTCTTAATTAAGTCGAACTTTCCAGTGTATATAGTTGACGGTCGCAGTGTGTGTACATTTGCCTGTAATTAAGATAGGCATCGCTGACGATACAAACAATAAAGCTATTTTATATTTAGAAGAAGAGAATAATTAGTAGTGATCGACGAATTCATGAAACCTGGTATAGAATTCTACCTAAATTAGCAAGAGTGGAAATAGGTTGTAGGGGTCATATTTCGGATCATCATGATCACCTCGTTTTTGGAGTGAAAAATCCACGCTCAAACTAGAGTGAATTCCAGTTGATTTACAACTCCTAAACGAGTGGATATTTATTACAACTCTTATGCATTCTGATAGTATATATCATACCTTATAGACAGCGAAATCTAGCTTCTCTTTGTCGTGAATCTTGAATTTAGAAAATAGTGATGTGATATTATCTGCGGTAGAGCTGTCTTGTTTACCCTACAAAAACACAAGATATATGGAGAGAGCGAGAGAGTGAGAGTGAAAGATATATATATATATAGAGAGAGAGAGAGAGAGAGAGATTGAGAGAGAGAGAGAGAGAGAGAGAGAGAAGTGAAATAAAGGGACAAAAGTGACCGGGTATTAGAAAATGTTCATCTTCATGCCCATGTACTAGGCCAGGGGTTCAAAATTGAACTAAACGTAACAATAATCCATTATACAGCAAAGCGTTACTGTTCGTTCGGAAACACCGAATAAATGTTGCTCGAATATACTGTCCATCCCCCATTTGTGGTTTCGTGTTTTTTGTGCCCATTGCCTCACTTAATACACTGAATCCATCAAACTTAGAATATGTCTGTAATCATTCTCTTATTTGATAAAGCCATGAAGTAAGATGTGACACATAACACTTTCTTCCTCGACCTCATTATAATTCTTAAAAACACTTAGAAAGAATACATAGAAGATCTACTGTAAGGTCTTACCAGGGTTCTCTTGATTTTGGCCGAGATTGATTTTCGTAGCACGGCGCCGAATTTCTTCTTCGTGTCTAAAAAAAACAAAACAATAGTGTTATAATAGACAAGGCCTAAACATAATGGGTGGTATTCTCTTAAGTTAAGCCGGGACTAAGTCCAGACTAAACAAGAATTTTAGTTCGCACTTCTATGGAATGCTAGGTTTCATCTTCCTCCTTCAATATTCATGACAAAGATAATCTACCAAGGACTTTGTTGAAATTTAGTGTATACTCATATTATCTTTTTCTTCCTATTTCAGTGCAAAATTAATTTTTTGACACTTTTCATTGAAGGATTAAAATAATCTGTTCAGGGTAAATTAGTTCACAACAGGCACTCCATAAAAGTGTGAACTAACTAAGCACGCGCTAACTTAGTACGCGCTACCGGAATACCACCCCATAATACAGCGATATTTCCATATTGTTTCATTTTATTGAAAATTTAGGGATTTGTTTTTAGTATGACTATGAGTCCTAAAAGACAAACGTACATGTACAAAATAATAAAAGGATTTAGTGATAATTGGGCCTGTATTGCATTGTCTGGAAAAAAAAGTATAAACAGCTGAAATTTATTTCATTAAACTTTCGATCTGTGTCTCATTTTAATTTGACTGTAACCTGACCAACATGCACAGTAATTTGTTATTTTGGAACGTATGCGAGTAACTTTTCTTTTTTCATGGGTGATAAGTACACTTTGTTTTCGAGAATTCTCGCTCCAAGCATCTATTCTTTAAAGTTTTTAGCTTAAGAATACCATGTCCCTTTCGGAGCCAACATCAAACTCTGTAGAACTTTGTAGGAATTATGAATATGTCATGTATGTCATATCTGTGAAATTTAAACGTTAGCAGTGTCCTAGTATTGTGCAAGGAAACCCGTTCATAAAAAAAACATAAAATGAGCTGTAACAGGTACATGATCATTTTGTCTACATCAATAACCCACTACTTGTAATGGACAAAATTATACTAATTGAATCTTTGTGCAGCACAAAACGTACGACCATTCGGTACAAGGGTCTGAAAATAAGACTATTACTTCGGTTATTGCAATCACTTATGTCGATTCGACAACTAATGGTCGTTACATTCCCACAAAAAGCCATTTTCAAACCCTTTTGTTTTGAAGGAAGTTCTAAATAAGTATTGTCTTTCAAATGCCGTTAGAATTCAACCTTTTGTCGTTGTTCTTTTATTCCAAAAGAATCGTTGCCAGCATGAGCTCTAATTGAGAGCAATCAATTAATGTTGGTGCATGAAAATTATTAAACCTCAATTAACGTGACACCGAAGTGTAGGAAACTTGAAAGATATATAAGCAATTTGTTACCTTGTTCACTTGTAGAATCGGTATCAAGCCCCTGAGCACTAGCCTCTATGAAATCTTTTGGAAACAATGCCATTATAAAGAAAAATCGTCACTTTTATAAAAAAAATACTTGACCGTATTTGATGTGTAAAAATGTAAAGAAAAAGAAACAAAAAGCTATATTCATTCACATTTAGTACGTGGCTTATACTGAGTTATACAAATACGTGACTGAAGTAACATGCCCATGATCTCCGCTTCCAGTCATGATAAATATTACTTCAGAAAATTTATGAATTAGTTAGCGGGATTTCTAAATTTTTAGTGACTTTCAATACTCGCCATTGTCGATATTTATTACTTTTTATATTACTTAAAGGGATTAAGTATCTTTGTCTCAGATTCTAAAAGAAAATCCTGGATTTAGCTCATGCTGCAATTATATATTCAGGAATCCCATGACTTTTACAAGCCGATCGCCTGTCTGATTATTAAGATATTTATGATTGGAATTAGAAATTAAAAAAAAAAAAAAAACGTTTTCCAAACGGTTTTATATCACTACAGTCTATTAGGGAAATGAGTACGGTAAAACCGGTCGCTCAAAGATGTTTACTTTAGTGAAGCACTTCATGATACTTTTGAAGCGCATTTTCTTTTAGGGCTTCAATATTACACCATATCACAGACACTGATAACACGTAGGGCCATGCATCTCAAATAGGTAAAACTGGAAATATTGTTAAACAATGTCTTTAATGATCATTATTCATTTATTTTTTCATTTATTATCTGTTTATTAAATATATTACCTTGAAGGTGCACGGCAGCAAAGGCTATAGAAGGAGAAAAAAAAAGGAAATTAAATAAAACGATAAAATATCACCATTTTCGTTATCCTCTCTTAATTGAGTCGTTAATAGCTCATTGATATGAACATCTACATATGGTAAAACAGACATCTTTAAGAAACATGAACTATATTTACAATTTTTTTTCCCATTCCTGGGAGTACATCATCCCAGCCAGTCATAAATTACTAACAATATACAACGTAGACATTTTTACTCTAATTAAATACAATGGATGAAGATCGAACTCATTGATCAATATCAATACAAACAATCTGGTTGTATCAATATCAGTAAGAAAAAAAATCCGATTGTCTGATTTGTTAGGCCCAATATCATTTCTATGATTGTATCAAATAATACTGCAAGCAATTCAGTTGGTTATGGTATGGTTATTCCACAAGAGTAAACATTATCATTATCATCATTGTTCACATATTGTTTATTTATTTTCATTCCAGTTTTTTTATTTTTTTCTTCTCATGTAATACCAATATATTCAGCATTTTATGAATACATCCCATTACAAAATAAACGTTTCATAAATACTAACACATTTATAAAACTCACATGCTAGCGTAGGGCCAACCTCGGACACGCTATGAAAGTGATTACTCATGTCTGCTTCGTGTGCTGACTTCGGTCTCCTTGGGTTGATTAGTGTCATCTGAGGTGAACATGGAGCTGAGGTTGTCACCATCTCAGTCACCTTCGATGTGCAGTCTTGGTGATCACTGATAATGATAGTAATAGAAATGATAATAATAATGATAAGAATGGTTGCTTGTATATGTTTCGTATGCTGAATTCGGTCTCCTTGGGTTGATTAGTGTCATCTGACGTTAACATGGAGCTGAGGTTGTCACCATCTCGGTCACCTTCGATTTACAGTCTTGGTGATCACTAGGTGTAATGATAATGATAATAATTAGGATAATGATAATAACCATAATAAGAACAATACTAATAAGAATGGTAAAGAAATGAAGATGATGTTAATGGCACTACTACTACTACTACTACTACTACTTCTACTACTATTACTACTATACTACTACTACTACTACTACTACTACGACTACTACTACTACTACTACTACTACTACTACTACTACTACTACTACTAATATTACTACTACTACTACTACTTCTACTACTATTACTAACACTACTACTACTACTACTACTACTACTACTACTACTACTACTACTACTACTACTACTACTACTACTATTAATACTACTACTACTACCACCACCACCACTAGTACTACTACTACTACTACTACTACTACTACTACTATTACAACTACTACTACTACTTCTACTTCTACTACTACTACTACTACTACTACTACTACTATACTACTACTATTACTGCTACTACTACTACTACTACTACTACTACTTCTACTACTATTACTGCTACTACTACTACTACTACTACTACTACTACTACTACTACTACTACTACTACTACTACTACCACCACCACCACTACTACTACTACTACTACTACTACTACTACTACTACTACTACTATTACTACTATTACTAATAGTAGCAGTAATAATAATAATAATAATAAGTATCATCATCACTGTAATAATCTGGAAACACAAATCGTTCATAAAAATCTACAAGAATCGAGTTGAAGATTTAATATTTAACACCCATAATCAGGAATGGGAGGGGGTGCGTGAGTGTCTCGTAATGAACAGGAAAATGGTTGTAAAGTGAGGGAAGGGGTAACTGGGTCTCCCTCCTGAAGGAGAACATCTTCCAGTAGCGTAACAAAAGCCCAGACTCGGAGAAGGGGGGGGGGGGCATTGGCATCATAGGGCACAGTTCTTGAAATGCAAGAACCGGTGGATGACATGCAAATTAACAAGGATATTGAACGGGGGAAAGACTTTACCTTTCCCCTTTATGATGTAGGGACCCATCTCAAAACGAACAAAATCAACAATAACAGTAATATTAAACACACCAACAAACAAAACACATGACTATAATAAAGTATTCAAACAAGTCCTCAGGCAATGTTACTTCCTGTACGATGGCATTGGAAGTTCATTCCCTGTACCTAATGAGAGCCAAGGTTGCTTCGTTAATTATTTTTCCTCCTGATTTTTTTTCCTACTCTCCTTGCCATTTCATATTTCTGATATGACCGTTCTTGGAAAGGATTACGGCCCACCTGATTGTTATCACATCGTATTGAAAAAAGATGGTCCCTCCATTCTTTCCTCTTACTCAAATATTTCTTTTCTATTTCTATAATTATTCTTACATTCACGCCATGTTATCTCGAGCTGTCCAGCTTTCCTTTTCTCCGCACCACTATGCCGCTATGGACGTCTTTTTAAACAAAAACGTAAGAGTGAATGATGGATCTATTATATAATGATAATACAAGTAATAATGGTGGCATCTTATATACCATACATGTTTGCTGGTGAATGAATAGTGCTCTTTATCATCATGATAAATTGCATGGATATGTGATCTCTAAAAGAAGTTAATAAAAGAAAAAACATAAAATCACATCGAATCGAATAAAAAGAATAAAAACAAATTGACTTCACGGAAGTACTTTGTGTACAATAATAACGTGCGCCGGAATCTGACAAATAAATATTGCAGATTTGATCACTGTTCCCAAGAGGAAATAAACAAAACATGAACAATTTTACTACCTTTGTTAGTTACCAGTCATGAAAATAGAAACGTACACCACAACATTATCATGTTATTTCCTATGATCCTGTTTTGTGGACTTTACTGTTTGTTGATACAGGATGTTCATCGTCATGGCAATGTCATTATTATACTTGCACAAATAAAGAGAAAGAGAAAGAGAAAGAGAGAGAGAGAGAGAGAGAGAGAGAGAGAGAGCAAGATACAAAGACAGATAGAGAAAGAGTGAGACAGAAAAGGATAGCGAGAGAAAGGGTAACAAGCAAACTAACAAACAAACGGATAAGCGAATAACATCAAACGTGTCAAATATTGATTTCCCTATCCGAAGTACTTTGTGAGTCTCCGGAATGTTACCACATCATTCTGTTGATGTGGATACTGGTGTACTGTGATTGAGTATGTGTGTATGTTAATGTGTTCATTATGTACGTATACAAGTGTTTGAGCGGTGTATGAGATTTACTCATCAGTGACAGATGATACGGAATAATTAATATTCAAAATATTTATTCCAAATTTGGAATGATCGAGTTCAACTCCATACCATCTGTTAAAAAGAATTCAGTGTGCCTCGCAGGCTGGCAGATTCATAATGATTAACAACGTATAGAACATAAGTAAGATCGAATGTAAACAAGCTAAAAGATCAAAATCGTTCTCGCATATACAATCCAACCTTTGACTTTTCATGGCACTTTAGGTTTTTATGGTATTTTAACAGGTGTTATATCAATAATGCTGTTAACCGTAAGGTGGTATTGCTAATTTATTTGATTTTTAAGCTTTGATCTGTGGTTAAAAGCGCTTTGTTTTATAACTATGACATTCGTCGTGTAATTAACCATGGAGCAGTTTCCGACGCCCCGACAATCGGATTTGCCAATTTCCCTTTCCTTTCTGTTTATGTCTATTTGTTTTGTTACTTTGAACAACCTTCTGCCTCCATAAATTGTTTCCGCTTACGTCGCGTTACCCGCCCTTTTATGGACACAAGCCCTTTTATTCACGAAATATTGGGGTAATGTTTGTAAAATAAACCCCTCTCATCTATTATGGTCTGATCCAATTTACCCGACACTTCGCGAAAACCGTACGGCAAATCGAGGTTGCGTCATCTTCCGTTTTGTAACCCATCACCCGACCGGACCCAACGGCCCGATGATTCGAAGTCAGCCCTTTTTTGGTGGGGGGGGGGGGGGGGGGGGGACTAACGTTTTGGGGGAAAACATTTCTGGTAAAATATATTCCAACAACATCATTCTACTGACCGCTACTCATGTAGCATAGTTTGATAACTAAAAAGTGTCGGAATTCGATTAAGATACGGAAACATTTAGTGGAACCGTGTATTGACACAAGTGATGTCATTACAGCCTATTAGTCTTATAAATATGACAATCGCAAATGATATTGAATAATCCGTATATAAAATAAACAGCATTTTATCATATGATGCTAATTTTACATTCGAAACATCGAAATAGTTTCAATAAAAAAATTTAAAAAAAGAATTTAACGCAAAAGTTTGAAAGGAGAGAGAGAGAGGTGGAGGCTGAGTGGGCGAGGGAGGGAAAACGAGAGAGAGAGAGATAAAGAAAGAAAGACTGAGAGCTGAGCGAAAGGGAGAGGGAGAGAGAGAAAGAGAGAAGGGGGAAAACGGGGCAGGGGTGGGGGGGGGGGGTGGAGTGGTTGAGTTCGAATTCTCATGAAAAATTCCAAACGCGCGTTCACCAAGGAGGTAACGTTCGAACTACGGACCAAACCACAAATCATGTACCCTACATGCTCGAACCGTATTAAAATAGGGTCAAAGTCATTTGCATCGAATATCATTTATGATTTTGATTTATTATTGATGGCCCCTTTCTTAATCCGAAAAGAACCAAGAAGAAGGGAATAACTTCACGCAAACCCATCAATTCGATGTGAACAAATGCGGCATTCTTGTTACTTGAAATGTCAAATTATCAAGAGCGGTGGTGTTGATATATATTCTACAGTCAATCATGAGTTGTGCAGAGGTGTAAATAAGTATTGGCTTCATGATTTATAAGCAGACAGACATATTTGTAGTCGTCCACTATTCCCAAACACACCTGTCAACATGTATGTCTGATATTAACTTGATTTTAATGAGTCTGGCCTTACTGTCATATACTTAACAAGGCAGAGCAACAGACACCAATATCAACATCATCATTATTTATAATATGATACTTAGCACTAGTAGTCCAATCGATCAAGGGGGAAGTTTGTGTGTGTGTGTGGGGGGGGGGGAGGGACTGTAACCCACCACGACTTAGTTATTGCTCCATATACAATGCCTCTACGAAAAGGTCCCAAAGCACAATACAAAAAACTGTTGATTTTCCTTATAAGAACATTTTGGAGAATTCTTTCCCGAAAAAATAACGAAAAATAAACAAAACAAAACAGTAATAAAGGGTGGCAAAATACAAGGATTTGGGAAACGACGAAGATTATTAGTACTTTGTACTTTTTAGATTTGTCTGTCGATGATGAGGTTTATGTGTGGCTTTTAGATTAATTCACACTGCTTATATAAGTATGATAAGTTCATGAGTAGGTTAACAATGCGTATATCGTGCATACATAAAACATTGATATTCACATTTTTTGAAATATAGAATAAGAATCAGGGGACAGCCAAAATGAATCACGATTTGCTAATCAACATCTTCAAACCTAGAATCGTGGTGAAACCATATACCAACGACAGAAGAAAATTCCATACATGCCAATACTTCTTTTAAACCTACACAACAAATGATAGCCTTATCAATGTACGCACAAATTGATGTACAGGCTCATATCTCGACATCATAAGTGGGAGGGGGGGGGGGGGGGGCTCGTTGGGCATTTTCAAGATCCAAGAAACCGGGCCTCTTCAAACTGTTGTGTTAACCCTGTTGGCCATGATCTTTACCCATACCATTACGCAAACGACAAGCAGAAGTTCAACTTTTGACTTACTGGCTCTCTTCGACAGATGTATCGCTTGAAGCTGGAGATAGGTCGGAGGTTACGGCCCCTCTCCGGGACTTGATGCGGTAACTCTGGGGATGGGAGGATGGCTTCCCTTCCGTATCGAAGCTGGAGGATCGCATCTGAGGGGGGGAAACAAAGGCAGAGTTTGAAAAATTAAAAAGCAAAATTTATCCTGTTTTCTAGTATTTAACCGTCTTTTATGATAACTTCCATTCAAATCCATTAAATCAATATTTATTACCTTCATTAGATCATATAATAATAATAATAATAATAGTGGGTTCTTGTATAGCGCTCATGTTTGTCAGACTTGACACTCCTGGCACTCCCGATTATTGTCATGAAATGGGAAAATATGTATTTAGAATGTAAGAAGGAGACGAGAAGTGCCTACTCCCCCCTTCGAAAAACAGGTCAGATTACATACGTGCAACCTTATACTTGTTTATTTATTTACAGGATGACTGAAGAATGACGTCGAAAATCCGGGTCCGTATAGTTCATAATTTGTCGACAGTTTGCCAGAGAATTGGGCCCCCAGGCGAGGAAATATTGCGAGAAAGCGACGGAGAGACGCAAATCATCATTATTGGAAGTCAAGTTGAGCGAGATAGCAGATTGCAAAGCAGGGGGGGGGGGGGGGAGGGGGCACTCACAGTATACAACACAAACAATCCAAACCAATACAAATTAAAACAATCAAATGCCTAAAAAGAAATCAATGATGTGAAATCCCCCAAAACAGAAAATAATTGTAATGATTTCTTTGCAATCATAAAATGATCAACCCTTATAAATATTTTTACTAACCGGTTGTTGATTCCTCATGACAATATTCCTTCGATTTAATTTTGAAAAGCAGCCACGAAACAGCCCATCGCTGTATTTCGTCGATTCCGTTCTCTTCACTAAGGGACTCGAAGACGAACTGCTCTCCAAGCTCAGCGGCAGGGAAGTATTGCAGTATTGACGATCAAAACTCCTGGCCGTGTTCAACGATCTCCGTTTTGGGAATGTTCGGCATATCACGGTGTCGTCCGTCGTGATTCCATGAGCACTTCGTGGCAAGGTATGTGATATGATCTCCATGTCGAGCGGCGAGTGGCTTGTTGAAAATCTACAGATGTGTTTCTTATGATGCCTTCGATACCCCCACCGTAATAAATTGGCTCTCCTACCGAGATACAAGCGCTATTATACAGAGATGGAACGATTAGGTAGTTAAATCTTAGCTATCTCTGAAAGGTGAGATCGCACGTTCGCTGCAAGTTGGTTTCTGATAATGACTTCTTGACTTGTTGCGTCTCAGGAATGCGCGCTCTCGTCAGAGTCAGACATTACCATTATGGCTTCTCTCAGCGTGTGGAAGCTACCTAGCTAGGCTCAGAGTGATTACCTTCTCTCTCCTCTCCGCCTGTGCATCCAACTAATTTATTCCCTTGATGTTCTCAATCTGACGTGCACGCGTCAAATCATTCCGTCTTGAAAGTTTAATTAGTTAATTAGGCATGCCTTGTTGAGGTCGTGGAAGATCGTAAACCAAACTACTGATAATATAGTAGGAAGACTGTTTGCTTCGAATGCAAATCAACATCATCATCAACCCTGGTATGGTCAGGGAGCATTATGGTTAGAATAAGCATGATGCCGATTGCGTTTTATTGTTTTTTTCCTGCGTGGCATTTGAGAATAGATGAGTCGGAATGACAAGTATGATATAGTAAACATATGGTGTTGGCTTCTCTTTTTGTGGCTTCGGAGAATTAAAGGGCTTGGGCTCTCCTAATGACGGAAAATGAATTCCCATAATATCAAACAAAACGTTCGCTGAATGTTCAAGAATACAACAACCAATGATGAGAACACTTGATACAGGTAATTGAAATTTCTTTGGGGCAATCCCCCGTGCAGCATTGGTTGTTGTTCTTGTAATCTGTTATTCTTATTATCATTATCATTATTTTTATTATTTTTGTAATTCTTTTTATTATTATTATTACTATTATTATTATTTCATTATTATTATTATTATTATTCTTTTTATTATTATTATTACTATTATTATTATTATCATTATTATTATTATTATTATTATTATTATTATTATTATTATTATTATTATTATTATTATTATTATTATTATTATTATTATTATTATTATTATTATTATTATTATTATTATTATTATTATTATTATTATTATTATTATTATTATTATTATAGTTATTATTATCATCATTATAATTTATATATGCTACAGTTTGATGATATAGTAAATACTGCATGCAAAATGATTAGGATAGAGACACTTAAACACTCTTGTTAGTAACGTATTTCAGTCAACGAAATTTCCAGCAAGTTTTCGTTTAGTTGAAATTTGTTTCGCTGATCCAATCAACCTTACATAAAAAAACAATACCAAATATTATTGATCTGCGCCATACGATTGCAATCTCATTACCAGAAGACAGGCTTTGCTTTAAACTAAAAGCGTTTCATTCGGGAACCGGATGTTACGCTAATAATAACTAAAATCCACGCATTTTTACCTTGAACTTCAAAAGTCACCGGCTCTACCAAAAAAAAAAACCTAACAAAATAAAACAAAACAATATAACCACAAACATACAGAGAATCAACAACATTGATGTGAAATGATTTTAGCTCACATTCACCACAGACTGCATGCCGTTGTGTATATTATATATATTTTTACTTTGGAAAAGTTAATAAGTGTTTTGCGTTTACATTAAGTTCGTTAGTTTGCTGTGTGTAGTAGTTGATTACGTTACTTTTGTTCTTCTTCATCTCTTGAGTTTTATTAAGGGGCAAATTCAGGATTTTCCAAAAGTGGGGGGGGGGGGGGGGGGGGGAGGGGTGAAATGTACAACATTGCGAGCGCGAAGCATTCACGGCGTGAATTGGTGTTTGATGAACAGGAAGTAAAATAAAAGTAAGATTAAAACAGCACTGGTCTTCCACAAGGGCTCTGCATGAAACATATATGAATGTACACCGGTATATCACAAATACACACTGTCTTGTTTAACTCTGCAAACTGTTTTTTACACGTTTTCAAAGATAGGCTGTAAATAATGAAAAAAGGGAGAAAATAATAACAAGAGGGTGGAGAGAGAGAGAGAGAGAGAGAGAGAAAGAGTAATGTGATAGTAGAGGGAGATAAGCGAAAATGAAGAGGTGGAGGGAAACAGAGAGATAAGATGGGAAAGAGAGAGAGAGAGAGAGAGAGAGAGAGAGAGAGAGAGAGGGAGAGAGATGAGGAAAGAGAGAGAAAGGGGGGGGGGGGGGAGGGCGAGGCATTGATATAGGCATATGTTGAAAAGATTTATGAAATGGTGTTAATTTAACATCTAAATATAGGAATTGTTATATCCATCGTTAATTTAAAAAAAAATTGCCGGGGCGGCTCGTTTTTGTTCGTTCGTTTTGTCGACTGGAACACGATCGCAAAGAATTTCCAGAAATCAATTTAAGGTGAATTTCAAAACCTTACTGTATTTGATTTAAAGAGGTGACGCACAAGGCTATAACAATTGGATTTGGCAGATGTTGTCGAAAGCCTTTGCGAGCATGTTTGTATGTAGTAGAACGGTGCTGTAATGGCAGAGCTGAGCAGGCGACTCGTTCAACATTATTTTGTCATGTTATCAAGTATGTTATTAATCTTATTTTCAAAATTAAATAAAACAAGACAACAACACGTCCATTCGTTCGTTTGGTTGATTACTAATGCGTTTTAACTAGTCATGTGGGAACGGAACCTGACTTAAGTTGGTTTTCATTTGCTGCCCGATGTGATCAGGGAGGGGAGACTCACCTCCCTGGTGTGATGGAGTTACGTAAGAGAGTGTGAAAGCTTGCCTAGGATGCATCCCAGGTCAACCCCTGACACAGTCCACATCACCTCATCCAATCAAGTGATGATTAGGGGCATGGGTCGGAGAGAAGGTGGTGTGCATGGTAGAGATATCTATTCAGGCGACAAAATGATGGAATTTGGAGAACACCAATGATATGCCTGGAAGGTAAATCAAGGGAGACTGACGTAAATACGTACGATACGAATCACAGAGCGGTTCATAAACCCTGAAGAAAAAGAACAAGATATATGTAAAGAATGAGAAAACTGATTGACAGGACAATAACAGCGTTGATGATGTCGATGCTATGAAGTACACCTCGGTCTTTAAACCTGGCAAAAATATTTCCTAGAATGAGATAACCTTTGGAAATCATTGAACCAATCATTACGCATAAAGATGATCAATATGACGATGATAACGTCGATGGTGACGATGATGATTTTAACCAAAACTCGTTTCATAGACGTACGGGCACAATTTCGACGGGGAGGCGGGGAGAATATCAACTTTCCAGTTTAGACTTTAGACTTAAATTTTGACACTTTGAGGAGTGAATCAAAACATATACTGGATAAGGCAATCTTACTCTATTGTCCGAATATTGGAATTTTAACGCCTCCTCAGAAAAAATGAAACATGCAAACAATAAAATAACAATGAGGAAATTTACAACACACTATTAAGGTTCTTAAGTGCTATAAATTATTGTAGAAGATCCCAAAACCGGTATTGCAATCGCAAAGATTCTCAAAGTCGCCCCCGTCCGTAACAAGATATCGCAGCACCTGAGTATTAATATATGATTTAAAATGCAATTCGGTCCATAAAGTTATGGAAGTTAAACTTACTCTTTCATCCTTATTTTGTATTAGTAGTCCCTTTTCATAGTAGGCCAAAAGCTACGCTTATTACAGTTTATTACAGAACCAGCTTTTCCGGAGAGGCTCGAACCAAGTTTGGTCCTCACGCCCTCCTGGCAGCAACCTTCTCAAGAACCGTCTGTGATCAGGTGGAGGCCGCTTTGCAGTAAGCATGAAGCTCTGGTCTCAAAGACTCAGAGCTGTATCCATATGGTCATATTCAGACTGTTGAGTAGGTTCTGAATGATTGTGCTGTAGCAGGACATGTCCCCTCACTGTTATTGACAACCCACAGCTGGAGTAATATTTACTCAATTGTCAGTTTGAATAGCTTTGGTTGATATACGAAATAATAGTATAAACAATTTTATTTATTTTGAGGTATTTCTTTAATATGATAAGATATTAATTGTCTATTGATGTATGCTTGTGTTTTAAGTCAGGGTATAATAAAAGAGCACGTTTTAAATAAAAGAAAAGTATTGTCTGTTAATATATGAATTACGGAATATATAAACATAGGAAAAATGCATAAACTACGAGCTCTCCTTTCCCCCTTAATTGTTTGCATGCGTCATCGATTGTGCGCCCGACTTGAGCACGTGATTGTGATTAATTGCTCACACTTCTTTACGATTGCAGTGCTCTTCTTGGATGAGATAGGGACCTATTCCGTTGCCATGGCATTTTCACCCAATCAGTCTGGAGAAAGAATGTAATCTACTAGAATCGCTAAATTATTAGCAACAAGGCTTCGTGAAATGTGTAAGATATCAGTTCGTAAAAAATCATCAAAAATCATCAAAAATGTGATAATTGTGTTTTTGATTTTGGTTTGGTTCGGTTTCATTATATACAAAAAATATACACATGCATAATTGTCATGATAGATACTTAAAAATAATACGGATGGATCGCTCTATTCAGGCTCAGTTCTTCCTAGAGGTCTCATACTAGAGTAATACTTGCACGTAAAGCTTAGCCACGTTACGCTATTGCCTCGGTCACAAATGCCATTACGAACTGCTACGAACACCGTACGAACGAGTTTCAGACAATGGAAATTCGGGAAGACAATAGAAAAACAGGGATCATATGGAATGTTACGGCGCCAAAGTTTAATATTGATAATTCGTGTTGCACAAAACTGTATACGTGAATGTGTTAGTACAGTATAACTGGTCGTTAGGATGATTTAAAGATCAAATTTACATTTTTAATCAAAAGAGGATTAATTGGGCTAAGACTTTTTAATAATTCTAATTGAACAATAACTTTATTAAATCGCTCAGTTTCTAACATAGAATAATAATAATAGTACACAACATTAATTTATTAGGCGCTTAATACGGATGTTTCTAAGCGCACCATTAACTGACTAAAAATTACTAACCAAAACTTATAATAAACACACAACAATACATCTGTTCTTTAATCGTTTATGCATATATATATATATATATATATATATATATACATATATTTCTGGTAAGCTCTTTACCTCGAGCGCTTAAAATTTATGTTTCTGTTTCCTCCGATTTAAAAAACAACAACATCTTATTAAGAAAAATGGTATGCTGGTCTCGCGTCTCCTCTTTCTAAAAAGACACTTCTGGTTAGAACCATATCATTAATCACATGTGTAGATAACCTTAGATAGATTAGACATGGGAGAGGGGCCCTTTCCAGAAGGCAGGAGGTTACACCCCGTTCGAAATGCCTGTCTGCAATTATCCCTTCCATTATTATATTTGTAAATTGGGGGATTTCATTTTACCCTTGTCGGCATTATCAGATGTAACAACCGAATTCAAATACTGGATGTACTGGGTTTTATTCCTTCATTCTACAGCAGGGCTTTATTTCATAGCCATAGTTGTAAGTTCCTCACAACTATGTCATGTCCGTAGTCATTCATAGTACTATACGATCACTACCATCAACTTTTAATTTTGTATCTTATATAATATTGTGATTTGAATATGCGTACGTTTTATTCTTTCAGAACAAGAAAGATAAAGAGATGAGTATTTAACACTTTGTTTTAGAAGGGTAAACTCCACGACGAGGGTTTTTTGTGCCCCTGTCTCTCACTGACACCCACTTTATAATATTGTCATATCCTTTGATTAGGATGAAAACATTCCTTTAGATTAGAAACAACATTTTAGTTGCCTCCGATAGAAACAATACAAGGATGAAAGGGATTCACCTAATGAGAAATCGAACAAATAATGGGACTGATGGTATAAACCCACTGACGTCTCATTAACAAACATAAGAAAGTTCGCGGGCTCACTGATAAGTGATAACTACTACTACTACTGATACTAGTGCTGCTACTGCTACTACTACTACAACTACTACTACTACTACTACTACTACTACTACTACTACTACTACTACTACTACTACTAATTGGCTCAAGCGCGTAGCCAGGATTTCATTTTAGGGGGGGGGGGGCGGTAGTGCGAATCACTGTTCCGTTGTTCCGTTCTCGACTCTTAATCCTTAATTTGAACTCAGTTTCCCCCTTTCCACGCGAAGCGCGGAAGCTTTGACGTTTCATTAAATTATTAGAGAAACAAGACGATTCGTTGTACCGTTCTCGACTCCTTTTCCGTTTTTCTTCCTACGTCCTCTTACTTTTTTTTCTTCTCTTTCTCTCTTTTTTTGGCCGGCGTTTTTTTTTTTTTTTTTTTTTTTTTTTGGGGGGGGGGGGGGGGGTGACCGCCCCCACCGCCCCCTGGCTACGCGTCTGAATGGGCTCTCGTGGCCCTCCGCAGCAATACCCTGACTTTCAGCATTAATAAGAAATTGCTGTGGCAAATTATGTCTCACCAAAGGACATTAATGTTGGGGCAGGAATTCGAACACCGTCCGTATCTTGTGGTTCACGGTATGGAGACTTATACACGAGACTTCATTGTGTAAAAGTGCTCTATACGGCGAACTGTGTAATACAATTATTTTTCGCATTTGGTCGCTGCACTCCTTACACTATAGATGCAATATGTTTTTTTTAATATGACATTGTTTACTCCACTAGACAGTTTTGTCAGTGGGTCTTTAAACAAGATGAATGCTCCTATTTCCATATCCCAATACACTGTAACTGCTTTCTAAGATGATGTCAGACTCACTGTAGGCACTCCATATAGCACAGAGGGCTCGAGACAGTATCGCAATCTACTCATTAACATACCATCCAATGCCTAATTTTCTTCTAAATTTTTCTTTGCCTACTGTACTTTTACAAAGATTTTTCTTTAGATGCAAGAAACAAATTTATATATTGTACTTTCAGTAACTTGTATTTATTTGAAACGGGCGTTCCTAAAGCAAGCCTTCAAAATTAAAATTCTACAATTCAGTGAATGTTCTTTGTTTCATCTTACAATGTTGTCTTTCAATCATGTATGTGATCCGCATAATCGTTAATTGCTTGAATTTCAAGCGATGCACTTTTCTTTCATTTTTATATTTCAAATAATTGGAAACATTGATAGAGTTTTAGAACACACAAAATAGTGTATTTAAGATGATTGCTGCCTATGAATGTGGAAATGCATTTTTTCCTCGAAATTACTTTTTTAAATACTTAAAAAAAAAAAAATCTAAATTACTTTTTAATAATTCGATTCCTTTGAAATGCATTTCCGCTAACTTGGATAAAATAACTCTTTTCAATGACATTTTTAATTTGTATCATGTACTACCAGCTCTATGTTGGTGTTCCCCTCTCTCTCTCTCTCTCTCTCTCTCTCTCTTTCACCCTCCCTCTCACTCTTTCTTATTCTCTCTCCCTCTCTCTCTCTCTCTTTCTCTCTACCACTCTCTCTCCACTCTCTCCCCCTTATCTCTCCTTCTCCCCTCTCTCTCCCTCCCTCAACGTTCCTTCCCTTTCTCCTCATTGTTTTGCTTCCACTTTCCCTTTACTTCTTCCTTCACTTTCTGCGTTTTAATTTTGTCTGTACTGGTATTCATTAATTTGTTTTCATATCTACATGCTCCTAATATTTATAAAGGGATAGTTGAGTTATTAGTTGAAATATTAGATAATATGAAACCAGCCGTTGAAAATTTTGTTGTTATTTTTTAGTCAAATCCATTAATGCTATAGATGAAGGCCTTTTAAAGTAACACAAGGATTTGAAGTAAGGAAAAACGAGGAACTGAGAAGAGTGAACATAATCATTTTTCTGATTTCACCATTATTTGATTTGCTTTTTATACATCTGTCAGTGACGCAATTTTTTGTCAGCATGAAGATGGCGCTCTTGTATGGATGACTGTCTGTGCCATTCAACTCTCCGAGTGATCTGTAAAATATATTATAATGAACACTTCTCATTATACCCAAATACTAATTTGGTATTTCACAACAATTATTGGGGGCCACATTTGTGGTTTTTACATTAACAAAAATGCAGGCTCCCGCAATGAAGTCAGTATTTTCACATTTGGTAAAAGAGGTATATGCCATATGATTCGAGGTCGGGATTTGAAATTATCAAGACGAAGAGGGGAAGGGATCGAGCGAGTATCTCAAACGAGGACCAATAATGGACGAAAAATGCACAGCCTCGTCAGCATGCTCGTTATAGGTCTGCAGAGGAATAGTCAGTTAATGTGTCCATCATGATCCGCCCAGATCGAAGTTGTTATAATGCTTCAAAGACCTAGAGTATAGGGATTTTAATCTAGTCTACAGATATTTAACAAAAATACAATCAAATTCTAAAGAAATTATTTCAAAATATTTTAGGGAGTTTTTGATTTTCTGTTCCTTTCAGGCCAATCAAAATTTTTCTTTGATTAGATAAACAGCGTTTTCAGTATGAATTGCATTTGATTGAGGTTTGGAAATGCAATCGAACCCTCCGTCACAGTGTGTATTTTCGATATACCCCAACGAATAAAGTGAGAGTCTCTTAGGACCTAGTTATTTTCTATTTTTGGGAAAAATATACCGTGTAGTTATGTCACTCTCAAAATCAAAATACCTCGATCGGGCAACTTGAAGTTGCAAGTACTAGTTTGTACCGGAGGCATTCATAAAATGAAAACAAAATATTTTCACTTGCATGGGGAGACATTTTGAGAGGGCACATCTCAATAATTTATTGGTACGCTCTGTAAACAGAGTAGGACAATCCCTTGGCTTCGCTGTTCCTACCTGAACCCTATTCCTGAATATAAGAATATTTTGAATTAACAGATGTATCTTTCGAACAAGAAAATTAGGGAAGAAGATTGTTATAACATTACGATACAAATTTGTGATAAAATAATCTTTTGACTGGTGAGGTTGCAAAACAGAAAAAACAAAACATATCCCGACAGATACCGACAGATGGCGCGCGCGATTTTGCTTTGCCACCAATTTGTGAAGAAATCTGTACCGTACATTGATCTACTCTATGTATAGCATTACGTCTATCACCACCACCTGCTTACACCAAGACCAGGCGAGGCTCGCGGCTAGCTAGCTGCATATATAGTAAATATTGCGTTGTGTGGCTTCGTTGCAACCAGGATGTTACCGGACGCCTGCAATACCTGGTGAAAAATGGAAAAAAATGTTGCTTGGTTGTAGTAGTGGAAGATTGTGAGAAGCAGTGAATTTTAACTGAGGAATATTTCATGACAGACTTGTACAAAAATGGAAGTGTTCGAGGCCAAGTTCGATTATGTGAAGCAACGAAAAGACGTTCTAAGTTTCAAGAAAGGAGACAAGTTTTACGTTATTGACAAACCGAATGATGAGTGGTGGAGTGCGAGAAAAGTTGAGGACAACGCGTTTGGATACGTGCCCTCAATGTATTTAGAGGTAATTAGCATGTATTCCTCGTAGAATCGTAGGCTGGAAATTTGAATGACGTTCTGTTCTGTGCGAGTAAATGTTATCCATTACAGAATTGAAACATTGTTGAATATGTTGGTTTTCTACATTGGAATGAGTCTAGCTAGGGGGTGGGGTGGGGAAGAGCTATGTAGGCTTAGTCATGTTAGGGGGGGGGGGGGGGCTGGGTCATGTTCAGCCAAAGCTTTTTAAAATAAGTAGTGGGCCTGGCCCAAGACATTGCCCCCCACTAAATAAACATGGCTAGATGTCCAATTCATATTAGATTTAATTAACCAATACAATATTTTATATGTATATTTATTTCAATTTGTCAGCTTATTTTCCAATGGCGCGGCCTTGGCTCCAAACCCGCGGCCCCACAGAAATTAGAAAGTACATGTATGTCTTGGTCACTTTCAAATTTTCATTTGTGCTGCCTGCTTAACCATGAGCTTTTGGGACCACGAACCAAATTGGTGAATTGCTTACTACTGTCATTTTCTGAACAAGATATTGGGAAGGGGTATAAAATGCTGGGGTGGTACCGGTACTTTTAAGTTTTATGATGCAAATGTCATATTAGGTATTCATCCAGAACATCAGATTTTAATGAATACTGTGGATGGCACTGCTTTTACATGTGTATGGTAAACAAAATAGCAAGGAAACAACACAGTTTGTCATGCAAGTCATGCTATATATCAATATGACATTGCTCTATTTCTCATTTATTGTGCAGAAAAGCAAAGAGCAATTTATTGGAAGATTGGTACCAGAGGGAAGGAGAAACACGGTAAGGTTATTTTGCGTTACATTTATTTCTAATAAATTATTTTAAGTTTGATTGATATCTTTACTTTGAGGGCAGTTAACCAAGAAAATGAGGCATAACAAACAATGCAACCCCTCACAGTTAGAAAATGGAAATACACGTGCTGTATCACAATCTATCTGACATGTCAGCATTTTTCTTATTTCATAGTACATATGGATAATTTGTTCAAGATTTGTTTTCTTAAAGTGTTTGTGAGAAGCAAATGTTTACAATTTCTTTAACATCTTTCCTTCTACTTATACTTTTTGGAAGTTTTGCATTAAAAAAGTTATTGATGTGATTATTAGGCGATGGAGTAATAGAGCTCTAATGAATCATTTGTATGAGATGGATCTGTTGAACACAGAATGAAAGCAATGAGCAGAACTAATAGTAATACGTGTACATGTACAGGCTATTTATTGTGCATGTGAGACCATATATTTTCTACTTGGCCGAGACAACTGCTGCCTTGATTTTTTAATCATTCTTTGCTTCTATTACCCCTATTTTACATTTCCTACCAAGTTTGTTACTTATATCATTCATTAATATACTATAGTCTTTATTTATTTTTGTCTGTAAGAATTTGTTGTGAGAATAAGCCACTTTGAACAAAACTGTAAAACTCGATGAGACAATTGATGTAATCATTATTCAATTATGCACCGATGGTATATTCCATGATACAAAGGTGGAACTAGTCTTTTCAAGAGGGCAAACAAAAGGCATAAAAACATTTGCATCATTTAGTTGGCAGTGATTAATGCACAAAGTGGGACTTCTCCATGTAAACTTCAAAGATCTGTAGATATTTGGGGGTCATTTGGACGTAAGTGCAATCTTCAAACTGGTCATAAAGATGCTATTAGTAATCAAGATTAACTTTAATTATGTTGAGTAATCTAACAGAGAGGGAGATTGCCTTTTAGCTATCAGCCATTTGAACAGATGCTCCAGGCTTGCTCTAGTGGACTCTGAATATCAGAAATAGAATGCTTCATTATGCTTTTATGCCTACATCATAAATTATTCAACCTCGCTCTGTCAGTTTGCAAAAGGGTGTAGGCGATAATTTGGAAAGAGTGTACAGTGTAGAGGTGACAATTTAGATGAATTAGTAATGACCATCTTTATGACTGGAATAAACATGATGGCGATGAAGTTGGCATCAGATGTTTTAGTGAACTTTGAAAAGATACATGGATATTATATGCAAAATGAGTAGAACTTTCAATTTCATGCCATGTTTATATCTTGAAAGCAATTGAAACTGGAGAGTATTATATCTGTTGGCAGAATTATTGGTCCTGTACAGCTACTTTCATAGGTACATACACGAGACAAATCTAGTTGTGTCTTAATCTTGTCATATTCTTATACAGAATTTTGTTTATGAAAGAGATTAAGAGTGAGAGATTAAGAGTGAGAGATAAAATGTAAATCCATGCTTTCAGCTATTCACTGGGAGCTTTGGGAGGTACCCTAATCTCTGTTCTTCTTCTGAAATCTCTCCCAGACTTTATTATTTAGATTCGATGATGTCACCTTCTATTCTGCAGATTATTCAGAAGTTTTGTTTTTTGTGCTTACTGAAGCCTGTGTACAAATCTCCATTCTTTATGTACAGGAGCTATTGCAAACTGTATGTAGGGTAGTTCTATTCAAAGATTCCTTAGTGGATATGGTTCAGTAGACCTGTTCAATTACACCCACCGTAAATGTACATGCTTATGGGACCTTGACGGATACATGTAGAGTATCTTGTCCATTAGGGGCTGTACAGCAGACCCTTCCATTGCATACAATACATGTGTGTATGTGTATATATATATATACCTCCTTTGTATTTGTAGTATTTACTCTGTAAGCAACATTGCCAAGAGATACAACTACATGTGACATGGCTGCAGATCAACAGTTTGTTTGCATTTAAAATGTCCGCACATTCCTCTGCAGTTGTAAAGGATTGAAAATGGAGGGATTATTTTATTGCTCATAATGATTTAAGCTTTAACATGTCACATTCTCAAGAAACATAAATCAGGGCAAATCAATTTTTCATATACTTTAAGAAATACAAAACTTGGTAAGGGTATGAATAATCTTTTTGTTAATTGTACCAGACTTCATGTAGGTTAGCCTCTATATGTAGACCTTAGTTTAGTGTGAGGCCTACATGTAGTATGTGGGAATGTAACAGACTAGAGTAGATTGATCAGATTAAGAAAAGCAATGAAACCTGCTTCTTACTGTATGTAATATTTGTCACTGAAATTAACTGCAAATTTAGAATACTCACATGTACACTAGCTTACTACATTTATTCCTGACATTGCACAATATCCTATTTTTAAATCTTCATCCGAGTACAGGCAGTGATGTGTATAAGTGGTAATGATTCAATTTGACTATTTGCCTTCATTGTTACTTTGCATACCAAAAGCCGGAGCCTTGGGTTTACCAGTATGTATCATACGATCCCTGTTATTACTATGGGAATCAACTCACTCAACCCACACAGGCATGTTGTGCCAGTGAAGTTAATGGAGTAAGGATGTAATCCTGGTATAAGTGTTGTTTGTAACCCCCTGTATAGAAAGACCACCTGTCCATAAACCTCTGCAGATTTGTAATCCATGAATAGTGTATCCTATCTGAACCCGTTTGAAAGTCATCTGTGATATATACACCTGTCCGTAAAGACCAACATTTGTTTTTCCCTTGGAAAGTGTTCTCACGTTGGAACTCTTTTGAAAGTGACCTGTACATAAAGAAACATATATATGGAAAATAGTATTTTAAATACTTCATTGCTTCATATCTCTGTTGAGTGATAATATGTTTTACAAAGCCAGGACCAACTACACTAGGCCAATACAGAACTAGTAACTTATTCCTGATCACACTTCTGTCTGGATGCTGCTTGTCTTCCAGAAACGTTTGCCAATAGATAATGGACTAATGGAATTATTATTCAGTTGTTCAATTTAAACCTGATTTATGGTCAGTCAGGCATGCAATGCAGCTTGATTAAAAACTGAGTTGAAGGTACAGGTTTGGTTATATGTTTCTACTAGCTCTAGATTGGTTCCCTTGGTGAAAAGAAAAATTCAATTTACCCCATGACCCCCCTTTTCCTGATGAGTTTATCCTTTATTGTGTTGTACACAGTTAGCCCTTTTGCAATTTATATATTGTAATATTGTGATGATACTTGCAGTTATTATGCAACGCACGTCATATGAATTTGATTTCATCTTGGATGTTGAATCTAATCTAATTCAGCAGTTCAGTATATTTTACATCAAACTCAAAGACGATTGAATAAGGTCACATGCACATGATGTACCAGTGTTAAAAAAATAATATATGATACTTTTGAAAGCTACATTTAACAGATATTTTTTGATGGAAATGTGATATTATTGTGATGTAGAATTACAATTAGTATTGTAATGTTATGTAGTGTACATGTAGATAATCATCAGAACTCCATAGGACTAATTGAACTGTATAATTTGTATCAACACAATTGTTTAGCCTTCATGTAATTTGTGAATCTCCTACCTGCTTCTTTGCATGAGGTAAAGATGTTATAGCATTTATTTCCCATTATTAACATCAGTCTTTAGACATTTAGTCCAGATTCATGTACTCATGTCAAATCTATATTGTATTCCATATTTAAGATGAATTTTCATTTTCATTTTATGTCACGTTTCCTTGTTCAACTCGTAGTCCTATATGATTGAATGATTTCTTCCTCATACATTTGATGCTAAATTCTATTGATCGTAAATTCCAAGCTAAAGAGTCATAACTATACGTACACAAATCTTACGATGTGTACATGTACACGTAGTACTTAATTGGCCTGCATGCACTTGGGTCATTTAAAGGTATAGACCAGTTCTGGTCATGCGATTACATTGTGAAAGAAACGTTGTAGAATTGATCAGAAAAGGTTGATCATCTAGCTAATAATACACTTGGATATTCAGCTTTTTTTGTACTGCAAGGTTCTGGAATCATCAAAATGATAAGAAATTTGGCCCAGTCTTGGTAAAGTTACAAGCACTGTACACAGATGTATATGGACTATGCGATATCTATCCAGGATGGATCGATATGATCAATTAGTAGGTGGTTTCCAGGCAAAATTTGTATCATCACGTATTACTATTAGTAAAAACATATTCTTTCACATGATTGGTAATAATAGCTTCCATTTCATTGTTTGAGTGGGGGGCGTTTCAAAAACTGGTCTATACCTTTAAGTTACAAACATTAATTACTCTTGTCAACAAACTTGTCTCATTTGAAATTGTCTGTTGCCATTTCTCACATTATTCCATGTATGTCAAGCAGTCAGGAGCCAATATGCCAAAGGTAAGCACATTCCATTCACCCCATAGTAACCTACCAGGCCTCGTCATAATTGTCATTGTAACTATTGCATTCCTCACATTCCATACCTCACCTATAAACCATTTATTACATAGCACCATTTAGTGATCATGTGAGTGATCCATTACTTATTCATTTATTGATTAATACGTCAGTCCAGAAGTGTCAACATTGGGGAATGTTGATTGTAGATGAGAATGGAAGTATTTAGAGTAGAACATAGTTCGACGTCTTTAGGCTTATTATAATCTGTAATCATGTAAATGTTCGTCTAAGATCAAGGTATTGATGCTCCAAAAGAAATAGGTCACATCGTTTAATTGTAAGGTTACAAGAAGAGAGAATGAGGGAGATAGAGGGAGAGAGAGGGGGAGAGAGGGGGAGAGAGAGAGGGATAGAAATAGAGGAATGATATCAAGATGTAAGTGAGAAGGGGAGGTGAGGGGGGGGGGGGTGAAGGATGATAGGAGGAAAGGGTGTTGATAGAGGTTATGCACTAGATTGATAAATTATTTGTTCTTTTGAATATAGTGGAATTGAATCAAATTGAATGGTTTATTAAATATACTTAAAATAGCAGCCATTGAGCTGAATTACATTCAGTTTTATATACAAACACAGGAAATAAATAGCAATGATAAAACAATTATCACATTTATAAAGCTTACAAGTATACATTCAAAGATACAATTAATAATATTAGGGTCTACAAATATAATCATCACTCTTGCCCACTTTAATTCCAATTAGAAGACATTTACAGCATTTATGTGTTTAAAGTTGATGAATTCATTGTGAATATAAAAATCTAGGTTTCTGAAATGTCTGTGTCAGGCACGTACTGTACATGTAGTAAGAGCTGTCAAGAATGAGAGTGCATCGGTATTAAGGATATATTGATAGCTATTATTTCCCTTTTGGATAAGGAAGGATGCTTGTTAATAGCACAATATAATAGGCTGTACTAATAGGGTATTTCCCTTAACAAAGATAGAGGTTGGAGACGTACAGCTTTACAAATAAATTTATAGTCAGCAAAATTACAATGTAAGTTGAATGTTCTTATGTTTGATAGACCCTCAAAATAGAAATGGCATGTTCCTGCATGTGCTTGTTATACTTGTGTGCATTCAGTCTTTGTTATGATAAATTTTGGATTTAGTGGTCTTCTGTACTAATTTAATATGATTGGTGTTTAATTGTATTTTATGCATGTGGAATATATATACTGACCTAGTGCATGTTAACCTAGGTATGTGAAGTGTCAATTTAATTTTCCAGAGTAGGACAAAAAATAACAGTAACTATTGAGGAAGTAACAGCAGAGGAACCAGAGGATGATTTGATATGCCAGTATACAAGTATTTTGAAACAATTACATCTAGGGGCGGGGGAGGGCAAAAAGGGAAAGAAAAGAGAGAAGGATCTTTAATAAAAAGAAGTAAGTTGAAATGTTTAACTGCAACCAAATTTCAAAACAAATTATACCAAGGGATATATTTGTGTAGAAGAAATGTCAAGGCAATCTTCACTCATTTTACAAATCAGTATCCCCCTACTGTAATATTCAAGTACGGTAGTGGAGACAGAAGAGCATAATTGGTGCTCCACATTAATGGGTGGGGGTGGGGGGGGGGGGGTGGGGGAAATGTAATGAGTAAACTGTTAAACATTGATATTCCGGGGGCTCTGTAAGAGTACGAATTTATGATTAAAGGTACAGTAGGTGTCTCCAAGAACTGTTTAAAGGCAAGTCCACCCTGCAACGAAATACATTGAGAAACAGATGACTGAAAGTTTGTGCAAAATCTGATAAAATTTAAGGAAGTTATGAAGTTCTAATCAATTAAACACAAATTAGAAACCTTGTGAGGTATCATGGTAGGCCTTCTGTTATCAGCTCTGTCCAAAAAAATTACCACAAAATTTTTATTTTCTCCAAAGAAAATATTTGACCATACACCATACACGTCCCTTTAAGATATAATATTGCACATATGCTTAACTAATAAATACTACACAACCCCTTTTTGGAAAAATATCCCTCCATTATCAAATAAGACTATGGAAATATATGAAAATGTCTGCACAGAGCAAATGGGAGAGGACTTTGTATGACATGTCAAAGATTGGCCAACTTGAAAGATTTTAACTCAGAAATTCATAATTGTGTTATTGATGTCAGATTTTGCTCAAACCTTGATATTTGTCTACTTTGATTAAAACCCACCGAATGTCAGGATGGACTTCCCCTTTACATGTAACAGTGTTTATCAGACCAAAGAGATCGTTCAGACCTGGTGTAACATCAATTAAGGATTTGTCCTCTTATGACATCTTCCACTGATGACAGTTACCATGGTGATTTGAGATGTTCCATCTGTGCCGAGTTGGCTGGTGTTTTCATCCAAATGATTAGATTATTACTTGCTTTTGAACCCCATATGGGATCTTACTTAAAATTACAAGCGAGTTCAGCCAACAGCTTTTGTGCGACTTCAAGAAATGAGTTACCCAGAGGGTAAAGTTTATGGGAACAAAAATATTTATGTGTGTATGTTTTCTCTATAGTCTAGAATGATAATTAACCAAACAACATTCTAAAGAACCTACAGTATGATTGACTTTAAAAAAATTAAATAGCAAGATTATTTTGAGTTTTCTTTATATGTCCTGTGTAGAGAGTAAAAAAAGAAAGGTCCATACCTTGAATTTCACAGTTTCATTATTGTTCATTGTCTGTTAACAAATCATTTGTGTCATTTTGGAAATTCACCAATGCTCCATTCTTATTCCTTTTACTGTTTTCAGTATTCACGATTTCATAATAATGCATGTGTCATTCTATAATGTTTTATGTCTCATATCATTCCTTGTGAAACTTGAAATAGTAGACCATAGTGCATGTTTATATGTATTGTTGTGGATACTGGATCTTGTATAGTAAACTAACCCAAATACTATAGGGTCTTACTGCTAATACTAGATACCTTCATCACCCAACCTTTGTGTGAGAGAAAAATAAGAGAAACAGAATGGCACATGTTTGAAACAATCCTGACAAATGATAGAAACCTTTCCTTGGTTTGTCATTAACTAAAATATCATTGATTTTTGTCTTCTCCTTAGCTCTTTCTCTTGTTCTCCAAAAAGTAAAACTACTCCCTGAGTAATGAATATTTAATAATTAAAAACAGTTAAGTCATTTTGTGTGTTGGGTGTTGGGGAAAATGGAGAAAGTTGTCCAGCACTAAATCATAGTGACATTACCAATTTAGCCAGTTTGTAATTCCCATACGTAAAATGATTACAAATTTTAAAGCTTTATAACTTTCATATTGTTTGTGCGATTTTGTTCAAATTTTTGGTGATTCCACTACCTGTAATCCTGGTTTTTCTTCTTCCCTTTCATAGAAAAATGCTATCAGTGTTGGATCTTTCCCATTTAATTAGCCAATCAGCACGATAGGATCCATTTTAAGAGGTTGTGCTTGATTTGTTTGCCTATTTTGAACATTTTGTATTCAGTAACTGTTATGCAGTAGAGCCCTAATTACTAACAATAGAATTGTATTAATCACCAAGTTGCTCAACCTCCTGATACATATATAGTGGATGGTTGTATTGTCTTGAACTTGAGATGAATATATGCTCAAATAGGTGGACGTTCACAACTTTAAAAATTGTTCCAGAGCACTTTTGTGAATGAGCAATTAAACCTAAATTCAGACATTTATGACGTTCAGGCAAACCTGTCATATCATCAGTTTGGAGACAGAAGAGTGTCAACGGATACTAAACCATGATGTCAACTGACTGTCTACAGACTATGTAACTTGTTGACAGCTAGACTAGTAAAGGTTTCATGAATGTGGGCCAAGGTCTGTGTCCAGGATTATAAATGGGTCTCAGAATGTCTGTTAACACCTCTACAGAGTGATTAATAGAACTCCCTTTCATGTATATGGACTATGTAATGTTTTTGCCATCCAAATCAAGAATCTCTTTGTCTTCCTGCTTTAAAAAAAGTTGTGATAGATGGTGATGTTGATTACACTTGACTTGTATGCATACCATTGCATGTTTCAAATGAATTTTTGATTTGATATATCCGATACATAATGTGCTTAAAGAAAGACTTGCAAAGGAATTAAGTGTATCATATAATACACTTGATATTCAGCTTTCTTGTATTGATGATAGAGATTAAATCACAAATCTATCAACTTCAGTTTTTATAACCGTTAATAATACATTCCTCGTTACAATGGAACTTCCAGAGCTAAAGTTATGAAGCATAAGAACAGCGTTTTTCAACCATTTTTTTGTTATTACTGCAGATTCTTTCCAATTTATTACACTTCATCAAGAAGTTCATAGAGAGATTATGACACTTCAGTAATTCAGGTTCCTTATCAACATAAATTCCAACACCTTTAATGTCTTTGCGTATTATTGTATGTCGTAAATGAAAGGTATGTGGTGCACTTGAAATACTTGGAATTTTAGAAGACAGTGTGAATTTTCTAATTCTATTAATAATTGTGGGGCTTATACATGTATCACTTCCTGGATTATTCCTTACTTTTTTCATGCAGTGAAATATTTCCAATACTTCCATTTTTTATATGACGTTTGTGTACTATTCAAGCTGAATGGAATACAAGGCACAGTTTCAGGAAACCATCATGAATACAAGTCCGCCAACATCCTATTTAACATGTGACATTCATTTCAAGGTGATGTTGATGAACTTGTAGTTATGATGGTTTGTGAAACAATGCCCAGCTCTTGAAATAAAATAAACCAGAAACAATACATTTTCAGCCTGTTAAGACAATGAGAAATTTATAGAAAACTCTTATAAAGAAATCTAGAAATGTCTATTGAATCATCGTAAAGCGAATGGAGCGTACAGACTAGGAAAGAACATCATTTTGAGAAATGTTGTATAAAGAAACTAATTTTGAGGAGGTCTGTTAATATGACCTCGCCCAGCCCAGTTATATGATTTTCATAGGATATTACATTCAGGCTGGAGTGAGACCCTGATTCTTTATCGAGTTTTGAAACGATGCTCAACAGGCATTTTGCTATTTTTTTATGATGATGACATTTCTTTATACAACGTTCAGAGAAGACAACATTTAATTACTTATCGTATAGCTAGACGCATTATTTAGCTAGACGCATTATATAGTATAGCTAGACGCACATAGCTATATGATAAATGTTGATAGTCTGAACGCTGGCAGGGTATGTCTGTTGAAATCCAGAATGGTGACAACTCTCTGTAAAGAAAGAGATCTGAGTTAATGCCCTTCTGGCACTCAGCAGACAATGTTGTAATGGCAATCTCATTTACAATTATGTAATTCAATACCACTTGATAAGTTGATAATCAATCTTAACTATCATGTTTCAGAAAGCAAAACTATAATATCTCTCCTCAAATTAGTTATAGAAACTGATCTAGAGAGTAAAACCTGACTAATGTGACGGACAACCCTGGATGTTATTATAAATCTTGTCAATTACTTTTTCTAAATTGTAGAGGGAGCATGACATTCATCTGCAAGCCTTGTCCGAACTTCATCAACGTGTCAAACCATTACCAGGTAAATATCCATAATTTGTTTCTGTTTAGAGCGGAAAGGGCATTGCTCTCTTCATGGAGCTTATGCCATTCTGCTTTTTCAATGGACAATTTATACCCAACTATCAAGTCTTAATCTCTCATAAACTAGAGTATGCTCCATTAGTTTCATTGAATTTCCTTTTTATATCCCAAATTTGTATGTTATTATGATTGTAAAATGCCCTACCCATTCTTTCTAATAATGGAAAATATGACCACTTTTCCTGTGGTATGATTAATGATCAAACCATTTAATCTTTGTTGATTGGTTGCTGATTAGATACCTTGATATCATTAGTTTTATGATCATTTTCAGTGTGCTTCATTAATTTCATTTCAATTTCTTTTCTTTTCTGAACCAAGTCCAAATATGGTACATATATATTCTGATATGAAAGTAATATGACATTTCTCTTTATATGAATGATGACTCCATCTAACCATTTGTTGATTGGTTTAATAATATGTACTCTAATACCTTATTCTTATCTTTCAATGTTACGATTATTGTCATTGGAATACACTACACTTCATGAAGTGACGGTAGTGAGGAAAATCGTAACGCAAAGTGAATGCAATTTTTTTCTCACTACCGTCACTTCGTGAAAACAGCGACAATATGAGGATTGATTTTGTTTAACTGACGGAGTCGGCAGAAACTAAAATTAATTCTTTCTTTTCCTTCTTAATATAACCTGTTTGAAAACTTATTTTAAGAAAAAGAATTTGATTGGATGTGGTTGTTTTTTCTCTGATTTTCAAACTCCCTTCTTTGCTCTCTAATTCTTAATCCCTAGCTCTTTCCTCTCTCTTAGTTAGAATCTGAAAAATGGAAATTTGTTTGTTTCTGTGTTAGGAATGGTCTGGTACTGAAATGGTAATGCATTGTCATATAATGTCTATTTTTATTGATAAAAAAAAAACACCTGGACTTGTCAGTACACACCTCCTATACCTATACATACATATATATACATACATACATACATACATACATACATACATACATGCATACATACATTTACATGTTGGTAATGTTATGGGACAGTGGGACACAGTAGGCCTATAATTCAAAATCAGTAATGATACAAATGCAATAACAGTCGTTTTTAGAATGATGTTTTGTCCTTAATTTTCAGCTTTCTTATTTGATTTTTTTTCTGCTTCTATTAAAACCACCTTCATGTCAGGGTGAATTTCACCTTGAAAATCACATTCTTCTAAACAACCTTACAATAGTCTGATGGGTGCAGCTACTATTGTATTCAATTTCTTTGTTCATCTGGGGCGGGGGGGGGGGGGGGGGGGCACATTCAAATGCAAATAACGAAGATTGAAAAATGTACATTTTTTTATCTCTGTAAAATATTTTTTTCATGTCAGTTCATCTTAGCCATGAAGGTATCAATTTATTAAACAAAACAATTTAAATTTGCTCTATTCAAAGAGCAATTTTTAGAATTATTCATAACACTGAGATTCAAAGGGTGTATATTTATCTTGGCGTACAATAACAATATAGTTAGTTGATATATATAATGGTTGTTGTATTTGTTAAAAAATATCAATCAATTTGAAATAACGTAAATTTTCATTGCTAGATAAAGATAATGTGTAATAGTACACTGTATAAATTAAAAATGGCACCTGATTCTTCATTAAGGTTTTGTAGACCCTGTGTTGATGCTCAAACCTCTGATTCGCTATGCAAAGTTTGTTATTCAACAGTTTGCTAAACAATATTCAAACTGAAAAAAGATATTCATTTACTTTGGTATAGCTAAACAACTTTTGTTTAGTATCACTATTTAATTTACTATTAACTTTGCTAGTGTGACCACTACAAATGCTATGGCTCCCATGACTTTGAAATAATCACAAAGTTAGATGTAATAAAAACACCAAATAATGAGACATACAGTGAATCAAATACTGTAGTTACCAGCTAAATATCTTTCTATCTATAAATATCTTTCAGAATTCCATGAGGTATTCAAAAGCCTTGCAGGAAGCTAGCTAGCTCCCCATATCACATGATTGCATTATTACTACTCTAATACCTTTATGTGTACAGTGTAACCCAGCATGGTCAGTCAACCATGAATCCATTTCTAAAGAAGGAGAAATAACAGTGCAATGAAATAAACAAAACAAAAAAGCTTCTTTTTTGGTAGTCTTCTGCCATTGTTTGCTCTGCCATGCTTGATGTACACCAATAGAAATGAAGCAAACAGTTGCCCTCTTCCAAAATTTGGTCGGTCTGAACACCAATGCGAATGTACACTAAATAAATTGTTTTTCTTCCGGTGTCGGAAAGATGTGGGTTTAACCCATTCCTTCTAGAACGGGCTGGGTTCTGTATTAAGCCTATAGGAACGGGAAAACTCAATATATAGTTCATGGGTCAATTACAGTGTACTTTTCTGTTAGAAGAAACTCTTAAGATTTGGTGTGGTATATTATTGTTACATTATCAGAGCTTTTTTTCAGATTATCAGAGCTATTTGTAGCTTTTCAAGAGCTAATTCGCTCATGGCTCCTGAGTATTTTTTTCACTGGTTAACTGGATCTTAACTTTATAGGCCTGGCTGGGGTTATGATGAATCAAAGCATTGCTTGCTGGAGCCTCAAGATTTTAATCATTTTTCGAGGTATCAATTGTTCATTTTCTACCTTTGTAGTTACCGGTAATCCCAGATAGCTGCTTAAATCATTTTTTTCTTCATATTGTGAGTGTGCTTAACATTTATCTTAGGGTTAAAGTAAAGTTCTGATAGCTGCTGGAAAATCTCACATTAATTGAATTATGTGTAGAATCTCTGAAAGTGTATAGAAAATACATGTAAAACTTAATGTGTGTAATTCATCCTGAAAATGGAGAAGAATTGAGTATTTCATGATTAAGAAGGAGATACAATTACTTGCAGGATTACATTTTGTTGTTGTGTTACTTTTGGAACATGTGTTGGGGAAAAGAAATAATAATAGCAAGTACTATATTGAGGAAACTAGACTTACACAGTGGTAGGCCAAGAAACTGCAAATTGAATCTTACTTGTTTGAGAACACCCAGAATAAACACAAATTTGAGATCTTGATTCAAGTTTCATTTTTCTCATCAGAAGTAGGATGACAAATTTTAAAGCACATGCATTCAAACTTCAGTCATTTTGCCCATTTCGCATTGACCAAACTAGAGTATGCCATTGCAGCTTTCTTCAGAAATTTTACATGATGAGGTGACTAGACTGAGGTCAAACCTTTTTATCATACAAAATCATTTTTATTGGAAAGAGACCGCAAAGAAATTATTGATACAAGCTCCTCCCAGTCTGAAATCCCCATTGAACTGAATTTAGATGATCATGAAGTACATGTAAATGTGTCTGTAGATTATAGCCAACATCCATGCTGTGGAATCGTTTGTGTAGCTTATACTTCAGATGTTTACCCTTGATCTTTTTCAACGATTGACATGAGAAACTAATCTTAATAAACGTCAACACAGTTTATATAAGTATTGGATAAACAAACAAAATATTTTCATTGAAATTACCAGCAAACTGGTAGAGGGCCTACCTCACTGTCTTGAAATGAAACTAGCAGGTTAATTGTTTGGACAGGAGCATAAGTGGTTGCGAGATTGAATATAACGGATCAATAGATTTAAAAATTGTGCCTCACTGAGGAATATTATTTATGAAAAGAGTGAGCACAATGGACATTCATTTCTGCTGCGTTCTCAATCTGATTTAAATGCATTGAATCGTAAATTGGTTTAATGGAATTGGCTTTTAATGGAATTTAATGGAAATACCTAGAGTTCAATGGATATCACTGAAATAGAACATTACATTCATGTGGGAGTACAAAATTACTCTTATTAAATCTGGATGGAACATCTGATATACATGTAGAAGGTATTTCCTTGTGGAGTTTACTCTCTGCAAATCTTTGTTAACGTAGTTTTTAGCAAGTTAGTACAAATTATTATTAAAACCTAAAAACCTGTGTATCACAGTTATATGTTTTGTCAAATACAAAGTTGAACATTAGATTACTCACAAATATTTGTATAAAAGAAACGAACACAATTTCTTAAATGGCTGAAATTTAATGGGAAAAGGAATGAAAAACATCAAAAATGAAACAAATGCAGTATACATCTATTTATGAAAACAACTGTGATGAATTTATGGAATTGATTTGATGAATTGCATGTTTGTCGTAGCATTGACCCTCTTTATTATTCTCAAACTTCAGAAGAACAAAAAACTTAAACAATATTACTATACAAGTAAATTTTGTTAATGTTTGACCATAGCAGCTATTTGAATGGACTTTTATTTTCTCTCTCCTTGACCTATTGGTGTATAACATACCTTTTCTACCAACTGAGTGGACACAGAATAATATTAGTTTAATGAATGGAGCATTGAAAGCAACAGCAGACTGGGGTGGGGGAGGTTGCAAAACCAACCCTTGCACCATTTGCTTTCATAACCAATGTAGATTACTGTTACTATACAAGCTTGAAAATGTGCCCCTCCCCCTTTTAAAAATTGTTACCCCAAAAGGCACTTTCCTTACGCTCATCGAGGAAAATATTTTACCAAGACCTAAATTTTTGTTTGTCAGAAACTTCATTGTCAGAATTGTGCCCTACCCCCCCCCCCCCCATTAAAAAATACTGGACTGCCCCTGATTAAAGGTACAGTTTATTTTAATTCAGGCTGTGTTTTCTTCACAGATTACAACAGTGTTCGAAATGTTGAAATATTCAGAGTCATGCAAAAGCTTTTAAATCATCAATCCGGTTTGGGTGAGAATTCTCTCACGTTTTACAACCTCTCTCTGAGCAAATATAATTTCCTATGTCAATAAAATGGGTGGGACCATTCGCATTATTTTCATTTCATTGAAAAATGAAGAAATAGTGAAAGAAATCATTGGGAGACCAGTCAGCCCATACTGTATATGTCCTCTCCTTATATTCGTACATGCCAAGATGTATGATATAAGCACATCATAATATGTGTTAAACAGGTTCTGTTAATCAGTACTTGTGTGGTAATTATAGTATCATTATTTTTCTTACAGAGCTGAATGTAAGCCTATATCATTATTATCTGTGAAAACTTATTTTAATACATAACCTACATTGATAACTCAAAGGAGAGAAAATATTATGCTGTAGTAGGCATTTGACATAAGGACTGAAGACTTATTCTGAAGGACTCTTATTGATGTGTCGAGTGGAATTTTAAATTCAAATGCATATTTACTATTTCTAGCTTTCTAAATGTAATGCATTGAGTCCGTATAATTCAAATGGGTTTAATATATTTTTACCCTTTTTTTCACATCAAAAAAAGTATTCATGTACCCTTTACTTTGAGCAAAGAACAGAATCCTAAAATTGGTCTGTAATGCCTTGGAATATTGAGAAATAATGTTTTTAGTATTGATATTTCGGATTTATCCTTCATTGATGATTTGATTGTGTTACAGTAGATAAACTCAATTAAGTTCTGTAGATAAGGTTTGGATAATTCTTTAAATAAACACTAAATGTGAATGCCCATAGGGGAACCCTTTATTTAAAGGAGAACTCTGTATTTATAGATAAAAACATATTTGTCTGATCAGAGAGAGACTTCACATGTGTACAGCTTTCCACAATGTTTGAAAGTAGTTGATTATCTTTTTTTTTGTCTGAGATCATTTAGATTAACCAAGTAAAAGATATTTTCACCAAATAGTTAACCAAGTAAAAAGAAATTGTCACTAAATAGTTGGTAACATTCTATTACCTTTAACTTGTGAGGGTGTACCCAAAAAACTGAATTATATGCATTCATTCACATTGAAATACTGATTTTATATTGGTTGTCAGATATGTATGTAAAGCCCTGTACTCTGTTATTTACATGTACATATGAGGTTTACATGGAACTATTTTGCTTGTGCTGATTGCATGTAGTTAAATAGTTTACATGTAGTTACATAACAAACCTTACGTAATGTTCGGTACCTTAAGGAAAGAAATGTTTAAACTCATGGCAAAAATCAACAGAACAAATCTCATGTTTCTGGGAAGCAGAAGAATGCCTTTGACAGTAATTAAAGATCATTATCTAAACACAAACGATAGAGGAAGCTTGAATACATGTACACATGATAGGAGGAGTGCCATCTCAAAGAGGAATGGCTAACTACATTTATTTAGGCATCATCATCGGTGGTCATAATAAACGGTATTGCAAAAGTGTCAAAGCATAGGGTACCATAATATTGGACAATCTTTAACTGCTTACAAATTTATGAATATGTATGCAATTCAAGGCCCTCTGTTTTTAGAGGTATCCAGCACACTCTTTAAGATAAGCACTGCATGTGTGTCCTTTTTCAAAAACAGTGTTTCATATTCTTTTTCATTTAATATACAATATTTTACAAACACAAAATGTTAAATTTTGTAGAGAAAGGGTATACTTGTACTCTTCCCCATACACATACACGTACATATACAGTATAATTGTGATGTGTATAGGTCCCATGAAAAGACTATGACAGGTGACACTTGTGAACACTGTCTTTTGAGAGTCAGAAGGAGCTTTGTCATATAGAACGTCCTTTTGGCTCTAAGCAGTCACATACGCTCACATTGTAGATAGACCTGTATTTCAGCTGTCACCCATACTATGCATACATCTATGTGATGTGTACTTCAATATACAAACTGTACTTATAATGTAACATACATCAGTGCATGTATTTGATGTTGCAAAGGTTCTATGAGACAATGAAGACACCATTACATTGATTTGACCTTAAAATTCATTGATCTAGGTTTGGAGTGGGGAACAACAGAATGTACCACCACCTAACAGAAGGGATGGGTCTCACCACTACTAGAGCACTACCTGCTCTCTTTTGTGTAGACCTATCATCATTTCCATATATAGGAGCTCATGTGTATAGATCCATGGACCTTGGGGCCAGGGTGTCTGCATCTAGCTCCCATCCACCGTGCAGTCAGATAATCCGGGATGCACAACTGGGAGGCACATCTTAGAGATCGTTCCTTTTTTAGGGGCACAGTCATGTCTAAATTTAATCGATTGGCCAAAAGAATACTTCTAAACCTTCCGTTTATTAGTTATTTCTTAATACTAGTATTAAATAATCTGTTTTTGTTTATAGCTTTTGTCAGAAACTGATCATTGAATTTTTCGTCATCACAAGAACAAATCTGATTTCATTCATTCTGCTTTCACAGGTTTGTTCCTCAAAAATTATCAATAACTGATCACCATCTGCCATGAATAGACAACTCCATGGTCGGTATTCCGCTAAAATGTACTGACACCGGTAGCTGGGTTTAGACTTTGAACCAAATCAGGTTCAACAAAGGGATTGAGGTAGTCTGAGGTCCAGGCTTTCCTATTTGTTAAACATGATTTGAGAACAAAGGTCAGATTTTACATACTGAATTAGTAGAATATGGACTACCGGGAATAATGTTTTAAATAAATGATATGTTCTTTTATTTCTAGAATGTACGACTTGAAGAAGAGGGTGTGTCTAATATATTCCTTTCAGTTGTGATGACTCCCTGATTCTTTTCTAATTCTTTGAAATGACTGCTGACTAATGAAAATCTTCCTTGATCTTTTTTCCCATTTATTTAAGGACTAACACTATCTCAGAGCTGTCCAGGTACTGTAAAGTTTCTCTTTTATTCTTTTGAACTTTTTTTGGTGTGGCTCTTTCTGTAATAAACCATTTAATACTCAGCATGCTGCATGACTTCTTCTGTATTTCATTACTCTCGCATGTTTGAAAACTTGTTGCATTTTTGATAGTTTTTTGCTGCATGATGTGAAATATAATTAAGCTTTGTGTTAATATGGTTGCAATATTGATTTGCACTGGGTTTTCTTCAGCAGGAGTTCATCTCTGTATAAAGTGAAGCGTACTTTCCAAGTCATCAATGTAGAAAAGAGTTACATATACATGCACATGGTTGGGACTTTTAGAGATTAGAGTCATCTTTAATCTCACTCTGAACCATCATAAGGAAATAGTTCTTCATTTACATGTACAATGTTCATATCTTAATGAGGCACAATGTGTAGTTATGTTAGCCCACATGACTAATAGTCAGAAGGCACTATCATTGTTCAATTTAACAATAAAACCAACAAAAATGTACCAACATTACAACTTGAGACCAGGTTACATAGTACCAGTATACATATATTGTTATTAAAATCCAAGTCTTATATTCTTTTGTCGACTGAAGATTTTAATTTTACAGCATTAACATCAAGAAATCTCTCCAAATGGATATTGTTTTCTTTGATAAGTATTAGAAGTAATGCTGATATAAAGAACTGCAATCAAGGGTACTTTAAGCGATTGAAGAATGAGATATATGGGTAATAAGTAATTTTGTGTTTATTTACTACCGTATTCCATTTTGCTATGTTGAATTGAGTTTAGTCTGTTTGCCTTTAAAAAAAGGTGATCCTTTGATATTTATTTTGATTTAAGAAATAAGCGAGTTTATACATGAATATAAGCAGGAAAGAGATAGGTTCCTCAGTGAAAGCTGTTGTATATCAGGTAATGGATTTCAGCAGTTCATCTGTTGAGAGCCAGAAGGGCAGTAATACTTTTATATAGAGTTAATGCCTTTCTTGCTCTCAATGGACAATATCATATTTTCATAAACTTCACATTCATATTTTGGGGTTATTGGCCTATCTTTTTAATATCTAGATTACCATTTCACATTTCTGGCTATGAACAAAAAATCATGTTGTGGTAACTTTGATATAATGATGAAAACAAAACACCTAATGAAATACTTCTTTAAAGGAATTGGTAGGTTATTCTTGATTTTCTATTAAAGTTTTTAAAAGCACTTGAAACCAAGAAAAGGAAAGAGACAAACTGCTCTTTAAACGCCAGTTAACTTTGATATGTTGACTAAATCTTACCACTTTCATTTTTACAAATTCATGCACAATTTTGCATCTTGGTTCTCACACAAATGATATTAATTAGTACCTTTAATACCAGAAAAGACTATTGTTATGCTGTGGTGTTGAAAGGGTCAGATATATAAGAAAACATCATTGGGTACAAGACGCTTTGCATACATTGTGGCAGTTTTTTGCTTGGTTTCTTTGGTGTGTGTTTTTTTTTTGGTTGATTTATTGATTCATTTTTGCAGTGCATGATGTACTTTTGGTAGAGATTCATATATTACTACTTGCAAAATGTAATATTTAATCAGACAGATTCATATGATTATTTTTTTTTATGGGGGGGGGGGGGGGGGGGGAGACTATGTATCATTATTGGCATATCTGAAAATTGGGCAGATTTTTTCTTCTTGGGGAGATGTGAATTCATGCGAATAGGCCCTTAAAGATTTTGTCCTTGCCTCATTTATTTTTGGCAAAGCAATATTTTCAGTGGTGACAGACTCTGAATGCTTCAATGAATGAGTAAGCGAAAAGACATTTGTTGTGCTAGAATGAATACACTGTTAATTTTCAAAAGTGCAGGGTTCATAGTCTGTCGAGCCAGCCAGCATACAACTTTCCTGCAAAAGGCATATATTTTCTTTATACAGGTGGAGAAGTGACCCGTATTCAAATGTATTCATATTTCTAGACCGCAGTTTTCCAAAGTGACCAGTGGTAAACATTTACATTTTGACTGATTATGAGTTCAAGTGCATTCAGAATGTATGACACTAGATAGTTGGTTGTAGTAATAACCGGTCAATTTCAGACATTTAGGTCAGTTGACCAGAGCGATTGGTGGAGGTCCATTTCAAGTAAAGGTTATATAGTTGCAGGATGATGTGATGCTGTTATAACATTTCTGTAAAATGACACCAGTAAGGAATAAAACTGTCATAAATTCCACTTGATGTCTTGATGATAATTTTTTTTCTCTGTATAAATGAATACATAATCTATTTCTGTAGATGGAAGAGTATACATTATTTTATGAAGTAGTAGTAATTTCCCAAATTCTGAATCATATAATAATGCATAATTCTACTATTCTAGAAAATTCTGAATATGAATTGGTTATATGAAACAATAACATTAGTCATGTTCCCATCATAATTATCATCTAATCCAGATCAGCGTTGTCCAATAATGCAGAAATTATTCTCTCAGTCTGAAACAAATTTCAACTGTTTACATAGTTCTTTGATTAATAATTTCATCCCGGCCATTTTGGGAGGTACTTGGATAATCACTCATTAGCCCTTGTACTTGTACATTACCGATAGATTCTTAACCAAATCTAAGAGGAATACAATGTCAATTTAGCTTTCCACAAATGCATTGTATCGACTGCTGAGAGAAACAAGGATATTTGTTTCATAGAGTTAGCAGGTCATGCTGTGTATAATGCATTAATGGGTTCAAAATCATCTGAAGTACGTGCTTTCAGAGTGTTCTATTTTAAGTGCATGTTATTGAGTACCGGTATTCAATGCACTTCCACTGGACAGGGATTGCAGTGGTATCTGGTATTAATGATTTTATTATGGATTTTCACCCTCAATTTGCATTGACATCATCACACTGTTAATAGCCGATAATATTGAATGCACTTCTCTTAAATCAGTCATGCTGTTATTAACTTGGGTTGAGCGTGTCTTTGTGTATGTTGTTTTTTCTGCGGGTTTTAGGATAGAATTACAAAAGTAAATGTATTTTGTTTGAAAGATTGTTTGACAAGATATTATTTATAGATGTAATTAATTGATGTAATTTCATCATGATTTAAAAATGTTCTTCTCCAATTACAAATTGAGGTCATTTCAACAGCCCCAGTTCAATTTGTTGACTATCTTTCATGTTTATATGCATTGTACTAAAACTACTTATATGAGCAATTTGAGAAGAAAAAAATGGATTGTCATGAAATAATTTTGTAACCATTGCTTGATAAATTTACTTAAAGATAAAGTTGAGTTCTGGTCATGCAATTGCATTGTGAAAAGGTTGATCATCTAGCATATAAGTATTGGTGCTTACTGCAAGGTTCTGGAATCATCAAAATGATAAGAAATTTGACCCAGTCTTCATAAAAGCACTGTACACAGAAAGATGTAATATGATGTATAGGGGGCTACACAAACATGTGGCATAAAAATCTGTCCTGATTGTTATGTTGTTACATGCCATATTTAGAATATGAAAGCATTTGAAGAGCCATGCTTTTCAACCGGGCGCATTTGCTTTCTCTGATGTTCTTCCACGCTTGCATAATTAACAATGATTACACTCACAAATTATTGTTCACCTCTTCCCAGAACTCAACCTTCTCTTTAAATGTCATTTTGTAAATGATTTTTTTTTTCCGGCCGCATGCATGAACATGTATAACAGTTCGAAACAATCCTTAATAGCAGATGTGTAAAACTGTGGTTTCCTATTTTTTAATGTTTGAATTCACATGTTTGTGCTAATTAATGAAAATCTACAAAAAGCTTGAAGTCTGTTTCTTTGTAGCGTTTATTTGTCTAATGTTCCAAGCTACTATTGTTTTTAATGTGCATGTTTGTTTTGCTTTTCTTCAGTATGTCTTTTTATTCAATGCTAATATGTTTGAATGTGATACGATTAAAAAAATATCTCAAAAGATGTTGTTACGCACCATGTTTTGATGAATTTCAAAATGGAATTTCATGCAGCAATACCTTGTAGGCTCTTTAAAGAAAAAAAAAATCAATTGTAATTGTTGCCTTGTTGCGTTGTACATACAGAAATGAACAAATATCCCCAAAGACTTCATCAAACATGCAAATGTGTGTTTAATTTCAAGATTTCTGCACTTTACCAAATCAAAATTTTTAGCAGACTGTGTTTCGTGCAAAATGCATCAAAATTTCACTTCATAGTAGGATGATCTTCTTTTCTCAAGTTATTTAAGTTTTATAATAGTGTTGGTTCTGACAAACCCCTCATTTTCTTTGGTATGGAAACAGAAATTCAGGTATACCGATTGGCATGCATCATGATTTACAATAGTTCTTTTCCATCAAATAGCAAGTAAAAAATCAACTACATGTACAAATGCTGACCATTCATTAATCATTTTCCACATTTCTTTTGTATTCTATTCATGTCTGTTCCTCACCATTGCCTCACCTCATTATGAATCATCCTGTGATTGCTACATCGGTACAGCCCATGTATTGGGCCAAGCTCTCGGAGTGGACGTCCCCAAGGAGCCCCCACCCCCAGCCCCTCAGCACATTACAAATCAGCAACGTCAGAAAAGTAAGTCATGTCATTGGCCTAGAAGCGTTAGTTCTTAAAAAAACAATTATCCTAATTTATTTCTCTGAAAAAATGATGATTGATACTTTATCTTATGTTTTACTTCCACAACATTTTAAGCATGGAGAACAACATATGAGAAAGAGGCATTTGTTTCCACAAATTCTATTTTTATTTAAGCTTTTGTGTATTCTTGTGTTGATTGCATGAAAAATTCATTTGATTTTAATTTGGCTTTGAAGTTTGAATTTGAAATCATAACCATGAAGCATGACAAAAGAAATCATGAAATGCATATTTGTGCTTATTTTATTGTAACGTGGCACAGCAGTAAGTAAACTGAGGATCCCAGTTTACAGACTTTTGCATGATTCAAGGCACGGTCACATTTTTTGTTCCAGGCTCTACAGATATAATATACAGAATGTATGGGGCTTCAATATATCTTGGTCTCTTCAGCCTTACTGAATCAAACCGACTGAGCTCAGTTAAAGTGGTCCAAGCAATAACCTTTTCCCCCCAATTTCAGTCTTGATATCAGACTTTGAGGTGGATGAGCCTGAGCCAATCAGTGAGAGACTCCGCAGCCCTGCACCCCCTCTCACATCACCCTCCTCCAGATCTCCCCGAAATAGCTTTGAGGGTGGTATCCACTCCTCCAGGGGCAGGAGCCCTTCCCCTCAACCCTTCCCCAGACCCAAATCTAAGAACGGGTCGTTCAGACACGAGGATGATTCCCTCCCTTACCATCACAAATGTAAGTAGACAGAGAGTGATATCACTTCTCGTCTTCCAATCACACCTCTTTTGCTGTGCTGGGGACTCTGCTGCCTCATCTAACATGGGAACGTGTAACCAGTCTCTGTAACATTTCAATCAATGTACTAATCATATCTTTATATCTTTCTGATATCTCTACCAGACTTCTTTGGTATGATCCAAATACAATCTGTGGAATTGCATCATCTCATTTCATGCTCAGCTGGACATTGCTTTATGAAGAACTCTGAAAAACCTAGCTGTAATGCCCTTTTAGCTGTTTTAAAAATAATTATTTCTAAAATTCTTTTCTTCAGTTGGTCTGCTGAGAGTGAGAAGAGCATTCGCTGAATGTCCTTCTGTCTCTCAGTAGATGATACATTGAAGTGTGAAGGTGATGGGTTTCTTTCTGTTTCTAAACATTAATCTTGAAGCGGTCTTCACCTTTCAAAATGTGCTTTCAGTTGCTGTTCGTATCATGGGTCAAATGTAACTTGACATTCTTTCAATTCTAACAGGATGGTTGTGCATGTGTATAAACCTAAGTAACAGTACTTGAGTACGCCTAGACTGCACATTTCTTTAATATCTTGGATAAATTTCTTCATGGTGATGGCTACTACACTCTATCATATGTGAGCAAGAAGGGCATTAACTGTATTTAAGATTATACTATTTTTTGTCCTTGAATAATTTCTTCCCACCTCCATATTCATTTCAATGTGCCAATTATCTATACATTTATATCAGACACTGCTGCAGCCTGCAGATATATATGCTGATATGAAAGTCAAGTTGACAATATAATTTCTTTCATTTGTACAAGCTTCAAGAGCCTATTAAGGAAAACAAAAATGAGTAGTTTATCTATATGAGAAGAGAAGGTGGAGAAAGAAATTTCACAGCCGCATATTGCTATATAAGGGTCATGTTATGAGATATATATATATATATATATATATATATATATATATATATATATATATATATATATATATATATAATATATATCTTGTATTGCTCTATTCGATTAATCATAATCTTTCTCCATTTTCAATGTAAAATCACTAAAATGTATCTTTTATAGTGGTATGTTTAACAAATGTTTACATAATCATTATCATCTTTAAGTTCACTATTTGCTGTGTATAATGTATTGCTTTGTTTTATAAATAAAAATTGCAATTATATAGTATTACCTTCATGCCACCATCGCATACACTTTCACTCTGAACCTGTGAATCTATTATTTTGTGAGCTCTAAAGTATATACTTTTTGGAGCTACATCTATGCATAGCAGTTGGAATAATAACTTGTATCAATCCGGTGTATCGCAACACATGGGGACAGCTGCTAATTTTGCTTTGCCTCATTTCGAAGAAGAAATGTCCTAATGAGATACACTGTAGGCACAATCAACCAAATTACTCAGCAGATGATTTCAAATGTTTAAAAAACCGCTTGGCTGGCAAGATTTAAAGGAAGAGATTCTCTGTTATAGATGTTGCATGAACGGATATATCTTCCACAATTACTTCCTAGAATTCATCTTCTGTGTGTACATCTGTTCTTGATTTGAAGGAGAAGTGCACTAACATGCCTCTCATGTCAATGGCTGATCCCTAGGCCACATTCACATGAGTGAAAACAGCCCGTTGTCATGGTTACATGTGTAAACATGCTCTCCATGGGAACCATTTGCAGATCTGTGCAAGGTTTTGTGTAGGATTGACTTGTGATCTTTTGCTCTACTGAAACACTGAGGGCAGAAGGAGGAGCGATGAAGGGGGTGGTATGGTGACAGGGGAAGAAGGAGATGATCCAACATACTTCTGGAATCTCATTAGGATATATTGTAGTTTCATATCTTTTTAAAAATACCTGTACAGATATGTTTATAGCTGATGAGAAGAGCATTCTTAACTCTGCTTTGTATGACTGATGAAGTAAACGGTGGATTGCCACAGTCACACGTACAGTGTATGTTTACTGTATCTTCCAAACAGTGCTTTACAAATGGGTTTTGAAAGTAATTTTAAGATATTTTGAATCTATACATTCAGTACATATCTTCTTTTGCTTTCTGTTGGGATGACATGAATTTGTTGTACTTAAAAGTTGGCTGTAAAATGATGCGTGAGATGCATTATCTTTGTATTTGTTAGCGAAATAATTAGAAGCAAGTCATTTTCTTATTAAAAAGAAAAAGAAAAGTAGTTTGACATCTCCAAAGCTGTGATAGGAAACATTCTGAGTGACAAACTCTGAACCTTTTGATTGTCTAGAGTGAAAGAGATCCTTTGAGAGGTGAAGAAGTGTCAGGCTATAATAACTCAATCGTATCTTTCAATGTATCACATATCCCTGCAGGTGTATCTAATCATGTCGTCTAGGTAGTTCATTCAGGCGATATGCACAGGGAGGGAGGGGGGGGGGGGAGGAGGTTATTTTATGATTAATGGGATGTGCTGTAGTTATCCATTAGCTTTATACCCAGGCAAGTGCATAATATCATTTCTTTGTAGTACTCAGCAATGTAGCTTTCTAAATCAGAGTACATTTAGTTAATTGGAAAGAGGGAGTGGTGAGGATGAATCATCACAATGAATAAAGAACCCAAAATATCTATCGTAAGATATTCTCTTCTCAATAACTCCAGAATAATAGATCACATTGAATCTTGCTCGCTGTGGTTTAATGAGAATGCATGCATGGATGATGTTTGTAGAATGGATTTAATCACATGAGCCCCATGATCAGATTCTAAGAGATTCATCTGATAAAAGGAATGGGATCATTCTATTGATGTTGCACCAGTTAAATGTTGGGTTACGATAAAAATGTCCATGGATTGTGACATAGATGTGGACAACTTTCCCGCTTGTCGTGTCAAAAAATTCAAAACATGGAAAAAAGGTGTAACATGAGTTATCATCTCCTGTCATTGCATAGAATAACAGTATAATTATGTACACCTGTATACATCATCTGGTAACAGCCAAAAGGGCATTTACTCACACACAGAGTATACCAACATTCTTCGGACTCTCAACAGATGATGATACACTTTGATTTCAAGAATTTCCTGTGCTGTTGAGATATTTCAGGGAGATACATACCAACTTTACCCCAAAGCCTCTCTGTATATTAGTCCTTTTCTTGCTGTTAGTGATTTCTCTGTAAAATATTAACTAGCAAACATCCGTCACAACAAATGAGCACTTGACCTGCATTCGCCTTGTTATCTGAAAATATGACCAGTATTTGCAGAATTATTCCTAGTTTCTGTCTGATTATACATTGAAGTTAGGGGGGGGAGAGAGGGGTGCTTCATGCATCCAAAATGTACCCAGTTTAGAAAAAAAAACACTCAAACAAGTGGCAGTACCAGTTTACTTTAAAGATAGAGGGCTCAATCCGATTCAGGGTAATATACATGTTTATGGGTCTCTTTAGCCTTGAGACCATTTCCTTCAGAAGCATTGATCATTCCAATAATTATCTCAAGTTTGAGCCAAGTTGAGCTGATAGAGAAGCACCTGATGGGAAAGCTGTAGTTTTGTCAGACATGTTAACAAATAACTTCTTCCTCACTGAACTTCAGCAAAGCAAAAAGACAAAAATTAATGTAGGTCTGTTTTATAATTAGTATACAGAAAAATGTATACTGGAATACTTTGACCTTCATATTGATAAATAAATTCAAGTAAGATATCTTCTGTTGATAGCCTCAAGGGTGTTACTATTAACTCTTTGTGAAATGAAATGATTTGATAAACATATGAGATACTGGGACCAGGTAGATCCTGTGTTATGTCTATGGGACTGCAAGAGTTTAGTCGTCAATGGATGAATGTCTTTCTAGCTCTCACCCCATGCTCTGTTGAGCTACTTCCAGACCGGGTGTCCCCTTAGAATGGAAAAAAACTACGGCCAAAATGGAAAGGTTTACACTTGGGGATACCAGTACTTCTTGAGAGGACTTGAGATGTTTGCATTGTAGAAGTGTTTACTTTTCATTTTCATACTACATGGAGTTTGTACCTTCCTGTTCTCTGATATTTTACAATTTTGTTAAAAAAGAATGGTCCATAAGATCAGCATATGAATCAGGAACTAGAAAAGTAGGAATTATTATCATTAATCTTTCCACACAGGCAGTTGACATTATGGAATAACATCCTTGAAGGAATTCCCATTCGGAATTAGATTTTACATCACATCATGCGATTATATCAAACTTGCTTGAATTAAGATTGACCCTCTGCAGTATATGTTTAATTGTCACTTTCGGGTGTTTGAAGGAGAATAACAAATTCCTTTTTAGTTCAGCAAATTTCTCTTGTCAAATATTTGTGTAACAAAAATATTTTCTCGTGGAAAAATTTCTACATATGGCCATTGAAGCTATATAAATACTCCAGAATTTTATCAATTCTTATTTGATAAGAAAAAATACATTTCTAACTTGCATTGCATCCTGCTAAACACTTTACAATGCGTCTACAAGAAGCTTTTGTAACTTTTTATTTGAGATTTCTGAGAGATCCTGCATTACCTATGTCAGTAGTTAGTATAAAGTTGTGTTGGCTTTATAAGCCTAACAGATATTTCCTGGTACAGTCCCAGTGTAAAACTAGATTAGCAAGATAAATGGGTGAATGACTGGGAATAGCTGTTTTTATGTTGTTAACCTATTAAATATACAAGTCATGAAAGTGAAACCATCTTTGATGGGTTACAGATAATGATTTGTTAGCATTTTCTGGCCTCAAAAGGAAAGGTTACCTTGTTTAAGTGGATTGAGCTCCAGAAAATTGCAATGCTTTTGGGTGAAGAACAAGAGCACTACCTACATTCTTAGGGATTTTAATGAATTTATGATTATTGTCTTGGTGGATGTACTAGTTTTCAATGCAATTTAATATTTGGTACTTTTTGCTTGATACCTCATTAAATTTAATTGAAACAAATATTAAGGTGAGGAAGTTCTCTAAATCATAAATGATTACTCATAATTATGCATTTAATCCTTCTTCAGCAATCAACAATAGTCCCTGATCCTAAAATGCTCTTAAAATTATTTTCCAGATATATATAACTTAGTTTCATATATATCATTGTGTATTCTAAGGTGATGTTTCTGCATTCTATCAATGGTATTTGGTCTGTTGGGAGTCAGAAATGTATTAAGACCTTGTTGCAGTTTATGAGTTAATGTCCTTCTGGTTCCCATCAGATGATTTATGCTATAATATGCTTTGAAGTGGGTTTCTTGCTCATGCTATCAACATGTCTTTCCTAAAACAATAATTATTAACACAAATGATAATGAAATTTACATTTATTGAGTACTGTTTATATAAAATTTGTCTAATCCATACAATAAGAAAGTATATAAAGATTTAATATTTGTTCTATTCAGTTGTATTTGTTTGTGGGTGCTATGTACTTTATTAAGCTATATGCAAATATGTGTATGCTCTATAGTTTATAAAGGTCAAGGTCATAAATATTGTGTTTTAAAGATGGGCGCTTTTGCTGCTTTATTTCTGGCAATTGGCTAAAATATGAATTTGCAAATGTTTTTTTTGTTTACTTTCAAACAAGACATGGTTAGATTCACAGCACTTATTTATACGTGGCATTAGGCCTTGTTTAAGATATATCCAACATAGCAACATATGCGTGCTACAGAGAATGGTTGATATTTACACAAAACTGTTTTGTTTGTATAATTTTGTAACTTTTTAAATGTAATGTTAGTATGTTACATGTGTATGACTATTTTATTCTGCTGAGAGCTAGAAGGGTGTTAACTCACATAAAACCACATGGTTAATGCCCTTCAGACTCTCAACAGATGTTCTGTTTTGTATACATTACCCTGTTTGTGTTATTTGTTTTATGTTTGTTTCTACCGGGTGAATGTCTCTGCAACTATGCTTCATATGACTTTTAAAGCCAAATCTACACCAGCAAAAAAAGATAAAGAGTCACGTTAATCAGTTGACAATTTGAGAAATTGTTTTAAAAAAACATGCATCCAAATACAAGAATGCTTAGATTTGTAAGGCAATGTTTACATGATACCAAATGTAAAGAAAAACAATATTCATACTTGCATATGCCAAAATGGCTTTGACTTGACCACATTTCTTTTATTTTTCACATCTGATGAATAATATCTCCTAAATTTACCCTGTCTTTATGAAATAAATATATGTTATACCATACATGCTGTCATTTCCATGAAAGGCAGGCATGAAAGTGACTAGATTATGTGATCTTTCTTGGTTGGTTGATATGGATTTAAGTCATTGTAATCAGGTATTTCTGGATGTCATTTTGAAGTGGATGGATCAAAAGATATGTTTGCATAGAAAATACACAACAGGATAGAACATTTTTTTCTGTACATTTGATTATCACAAATGGGTTTTAAAAAATCAACAAAACAAAAACAGTGCATATGAAAAAAACAAATATATAATAACAATAATTGATATCATTGTATCACAAGATAAAAAGCATGAAATATTACAAATGGGGCAGTACTATTTTTTAAAATCACTTTAATGCCTAAATGTAGTAGCCTTGTTTGAAGGTACAGAACACACAAACTTACTATACTGCCGGGGGTGGGGAGGGCGGTGCTGAATGATTAGGTACAACAAAATCTATATTTCAAGCATTTATTAAAAAGTTTGTTGTTTCAAAGATTTCTTAATTCAACTATTAATCATTTCAAGCCTTTGGAAACAGGGATTAGTAGAATGGTGAAAATTAATATACATGTATATTTAGAACAATCATCAATGTATATCTGAATCCCCTGTATTCTGGCGATCCATCCACTGTCAAAATGCAAACAAAATGGAGCAAAAGCATTGTATTCTATGGGTTAAAAGAAAGGACTGTTCTTTGTGCATTTAGGTAATGCTGCGGTAGAGCCGAAAGTTGAAGACGACGAAGATGAACTTCCCCCACACCTGCGTACGAGTGAGTTTGGAAAAGAGAAACTTTGGCTTCAGCTATTACCAACTACATTAATGCCATCTTGAGTTTCTGTTTAATCTCTAACATCTATTTAATCTCTAACAGCTATAGTTGCTAATTATTGTATTGTCATATAATATAAAGTGTTAATGTTTGGATGATTATTCATCTAGTTTGATAACAGCTGTAGAAAGGGTGTGATTTAACATATATTCAGTGGCTTGCATATTTGATGATGCAGTGTGTTTCTTCAAAATAAATAGACGAGACTGTTTGGAATTTTCCAATCAATTACTATGAAAATGTAATTAGAAAGTTGCATGTTTGTTGTGTCTTAATTGATGATATTATTGATATTGTTATCAAATTTATCATCACATTTTATACCATATTCGCTATGATTTTGTCATGCATGATTGAAAAATCGTTTTAAATGAGTAAGCTTGCATGTAGTTTGCACACATAAGCCACAGATATTGTCATGGTGTTCCAAGTACAATGTAATCAAACACAACAACAACAAAACACTACATAAATTTTTCAAAAATAATTGGTTATTCATAATTTGTTTACACCTGTATTCATGATTAAACATGTTTGCAATCTTGAAATTAAATAAAAGTATATAGTTGGCTCTTTGGGGATTGAAAGATCAAAACGAAATGAAAGCAGAGATGACAGGGATGTTCACTAAATGATCATTTATCTTGGGATCACACTCTCATGTGTACTTCAAGCTGGACATGGCTGGGTTAAAGTTGTGATAGTTCTATGACTTTCAAGCTTCATCATCATAAATGTGGTGTCATATAAAAGAAGAAGATATTCTCCAAAGCTTTATGTGTGTTAATTTGATGAGGTGACACTGGAGAAAGTATGGTTTCATCTACATCTAGGATGCACACTTTAGATTACTTTGAGATGTCCAAACCTTTGCTTTAGGACTGACATATATCCTGTGTTTTAAAGGGAAGAGCATTTGTGTATTAAATATATTATGTTTAATTGATTTTATCTGTTTACTGTTAAATAAACAAGTATGAAATAATGAATAAGCTGCTTCCAACAAAAAAAAAAATCAATGTTTGCTTTATTGATATTTTAAATCTGCATTTGCTGCTCAGCAATGATTTTAGCACCTTCACTGCAGTGTTCTTATTATATTAAACATTAAACATCCTTTTATAAAGTTATCATGTAATTGTGAATTGTTTATTAGTATTATACAGCTAATGAGGGCATCTATGCTGTGATACATGCTGTATGATATTAACCTTGAAATATTTGTCTTGCATATATTTTTTGCCATTGTCTTGCTCGATATATTGTTTTGTTTTATACAGCCAATGAGGGCATCTATGCTGTGATACATGCTGTATAATATTAACCTTGAAATATTTGTCTTGCATATATTTTTTGCCATTGCCTTGCTCGATATATTGTTTTGTTCTTTTACAGGTTGCTTTGCAGCTGTAATAATTTTATTCTGTATAAATAATAATAATAATAATAATACATATGATTTATAAGGCGCCAAATCCACTTGAAAGTCAAATGCTCAAGGCGCAGACAGTTGCTACATGTATGGAAAATAGCTGTAGACATGTCTTAGAAATTATTTAAAAAAAACTAATGAATAAAAGAAGAAGGAACATTGTTACTAATATATGATACTAATAGATGATACTAATAGATGACCTTTTCTTACTACATTATATGTGTTAAAATATGCTTATTGAAGAAGATGCCAAGGATAATGAATAATATAATTTTTTGAGTAATATATGTGGTTTAGCAATTTGCATCCAGGGTAGTGTATCGCTGTAATGAGTAAGGATCACCAACTGATAATGATTTGATTGTTTAAGATGTGATTAAAAACATTTAAAAAACAAAATGTGCTTCTCAGTACATGCAATGATGATGCCACTTAATTATGCACAGAAAAGAAAAGATCGCAAAACTTGCAATGTCAGTTTTGTTGGGTTGAAATCTATGACCAGTGGGGTGATGACAATCTCAGATTGACCAGCTCTACCATGGGTATGATAAAAGAAGATTGTTTTATCCATTACAAGATGATGTACACAAATAAGACCTTTTTATAGATGTTTGTGGATCCAATGGTTATGGGCTTATTTCACCCTGGAACAGTTCGAGGGTGTCCCAAGGATTTCAAGTCAAAAAAATTCCCTGTCAAAAAACAATATGCTAAAGGTATATATGTAGAGCCTGCACATTTGAGATATCTCAAAGCACATGAAATATAGTCTGGGACAGTTTAAGTTTCGGAAATATACTCATAGCCAGTGCAAAGTTCCCAGTACTTTGTAGTAATGGTCTGCAATCTTTCTATTATTACATTATGAATTTTTCCACATTAGTTTGGCATAATCAAATGCTGTCTTTTCAAAGTGCATGATATTAATTGATAGGCCAAATGACAGTGATTTAAATGTTATTTGATTATTGCTGTAGTTATGGACAAAGCTCATCTACTGCTGCTATACTGTGCACAAAAAAATCCAAAGCAATTTTGTTATCTCAAAATACCTGTAGTTCTGCTGTTATTTTATATGACTTATGAAATTAATATTATATGTTACTTATATTATGTTACTCAAACATTTGTAAAATAATTTATATTTCATGCTAATATTTTAATCTCATTTCAACACGCAGGCAGCTGCTGTCTGTCATTAAATTTTGCTTTTACTTACAATTTTAACCTCACATTATTTGCCTTGAGATTTTCTTCATATGATGTTATTTTTATATTAATTACAAACTAATTCTGCCTGCAATTTTTCAAGGAAAATGAGACATCTGATTTTGCACAGGAATTGTTGAAACACGCTTCATTAACCATAACCTTTATTTCTTCAGCGCAACATTTTATATTATGTATGTGTCCTTGATTACAATTAGTCGTCCAGGAAACTTTGACTGACTTTTTATTTGTTACTAACATTTTAATCCAATGGACTCATAACTCAATATTGATGTTTGCCTCAAATTTGTAGTTTAGAATTTAAGAATATGCTAACACATTGTAGGTTAAGTATTAAGCAAAGAAGAATAATATGAAATAGACTGCCAAAAGAGTGCTGCTATAATAAAACAGACCTACACAAAAAGGAGAGTTAAGGAGTGCACTGAAATTTGCTTGTACCTATAGCAAGTACAAGTAAAATCACTATAAATTAAAAAGTGTGTTCACAGTGCAGCTGCTAACTGTAATAATTATTTTATACTTGCCTACCTTTAAAAGGATTTGTGCCAAACTATTCTTATGTTGAAGATAATCCTGAAATGTCATTGTCACAAATCTAATTGAACAAGAGAAATCTAGATAATTTGCAAAAACATTACATAGTTTTCCCCAATGATATTCTGCATGTCTCTATTACTTCATTGAATCTTACTTTAATAGGTACCACCTGTTTATCAGACCAAATTATCCCTTGAATAGTGTTTCTCATTGATCCCTAGAAGTAGCCTATACATAAAGACAACCTGTCTCGTATCCCTTGAGTAGTATTTATGCACAGGTTTCTCTCTTATGTTATTAACGGTATATAATGACATATTGCAATTTTGTTTTAATGCTCCACAGCCCCTCCTCCTCCTGTATCCAGTCCACCCCCACCAGACTATGATTTTGACGACGATGAAGATGCACCAAATGGAGTGCCTTATCACCATAAACGTAAGAAAAGTGAAAACAGTATATGGAAAACCTGATTAAAAAAATCAAACCTTTCCAAATTATTGATCAGAGGATTTGCCATCGATTCAGATCAATGCAACTCTGTAAGAAAGAACCCTCTAATCAAAATCTATCCACTCTATTAGAGCTGATATTTTAGTAAAAAAATGTTTTATAACTTGTACCATAAACTTTCAAATCCTAAACTTTACAAACACCAGGAAAAATCTTGAAGATGAAATAGTGGCCTGACATTTTATCTTGGTAATATTTGCTTAAGGCTTATTTTGTCCTGTTATTAAAAATGCTCAATTTTGTTTTTAGGTGAGGTTTCGGGTTAGGTAAGGGCTAGGCATATTATTAGGTCAAGGGTTCAATCTAGATGGCGTAGCAATTGTCGCTGGAGGATGTGGCGTAGAAATGAAAAGTACCTCATTTAGTGGCAGCTGTCTTTTCACTCTAAAGCCATGTTCAGATATACAGTCATAAACCACTTCTTTTTAATGATGACATCAAATGTAATACACTTCACATTTCTGTATGTCATTACACAGACCTCAGTGAATATGCATAGGGCCTTTTTTGCATTTTTTAAAATTGTGGCAATATACTGTGTAATATCTGAATGAGCATTTACACATCATCCACAAGTATTACATCACCCATAAGCATGTTTTCATCTTCTGATTATTGTCCATTGATGATGCAGTGAACTTGTCTGGAAGGCAGGAAACTGGTCGCTTCATCGAGGTCATCGACGACCACCTGGACGGTCCGCCCAACATACCTCCTACCCTGATAGGACGCGTGGACGAGGATGGCCTTATCCAGCCCAAGCCTCTACTCAACCCTGTCATGGAATCACCCATGCATAAGAATCTTCACAGAGAGCTCAGGATAAGGTGAATATTTTCTGCTTAGAGCCAGAAAGACGTTACATATGGACCTAGAAGGGTATCACATCTCTGTTAATGTACATGACTTGTATATGGGTTAACGCCCTTCTTACCACAAATAGGCAATGTTTGGTATCATAGAGTTAATGCCTTTCTGGCTTTCAGCAATGAAATCTGTTGGCATCAAACTACATAGAAATAAATAACTCGTGTTTTAAGATTGATGTGAAAAGCAAAACCAAACTCCGTGCCAGATTCTACCATCTTCTGTTGATTTGACAAAATCCAAGATCCAGTATTCAGTGTAAGCTCTTGTCTGTTTTCACATGAATGTTATGTCATTATAAAATGAAAAATCTCTTGCTCTAATCTTTGAATGATAGTATAGTGCTACCAGATGGACCATTTATCACTCAAGAGAGTTTCAGTTTTGTTCTTGCTTTTATCTTCTCTTCTATTGCGTATTGTTTTCTTTCTCTTTCTCTATCTCTTTCTTTTTTCTTTTACTTCTACTAGGTGTTGTTTCCCTTCTTACTGTGCTCTTTTTTTTTCCAAATCGATTTGACTTTTAACACTTAAGACTAAACCTGATAGGAGCTTAGCTCAAATAATGTAAACATTGATTAATTCATCAATATAAATCTCTCAATACTTGCAGTAATACCGGTAACTGTGTGCAAATACTGATAAGTTGTTGTGTCAACTTCCGCGATAGAAATGGATCATTGTTCATAACTTTATACAGAAGAGGCATCATGGAAGCTTGATATAATTATTAGCAATCAGGGCAGCATTACACGAAAATCATAGTTAATAGTTCACCAGCAACCCAGATTTAATGAAATGATGCCCAGGATACACACAAAATGATAGCACAAAAACGCTATCAACAGCAGCCTGCAGCCAGTTATCAGAATTATGGTATGGTAAAAATCGCAGTATTTAACTGATTAATTACCATTGTTGAACATACAATGGAACTGAACTGAAGACTGGCTCTTGGGTCTTTGTGATGTCTCGACCATTTATGTCGGGTTATATCAATCAATATTGCAACCCAACTAGGGCCTCTATATTCAGTTCCACTACAAAATCTGACTAGAAATAATACCCCTTGCGAAGGACCGTGGGATGGATGCCAAGTAAAATGAGCGGTCTACTGCAAATGTTGTTATTGTGAGCACTAAAAGGTTTAAGAATGTTGATACTTTTAGGAGAATTCTGCATCCAAACTCTGTTTTCATATGGAATGAAGCTGGCTGAGGGCCAGAAGGGCATCAAATCATATCAATAACATAAATTTACTTCCTTTCGTTTGTTTTTCATCATGTAGTATCTTATGTGTTTGTTTATTGTATTTTGTTCCATCCAGCTTATCAGCATCAGACAATATATGTGCGGAGAGGTAGAAGGATATTACCTCATCTCCAGAGTTAATACCCTTCTAGCTTTAAAGCATATGATACATGTAATGTGTCCTGTATCATTATGTAATACTGAGCTATTCTATCCTATGATTGATGTGTACTCTCTCCATGTAGTTTGTGCTGCCCTCCAATATCTGTGTGAAGATTAGAGTAGTGAATTTCCCTTTTTATCCCTCCAAAGATCCCAATATCCTAGAAGGGAGAATACAGGATCGTTAGAAGCCAGGTGAGGAATTGGAAGCGGTTCATTTGGGGAAGAAAAAAAAATCTTCAGCAAATCTTTCGACCTTTCCGATCATTCTCCTCTTGTTTTGAATAACACACAATTTCCGTCTGTCTAGTATTCTCGCAAGATGTTGAGCTAGCTTTGAGCGTTCTGCCTTCTCTGCTAGCTTTGGACTTTAAGTCCACTAATCTTAATACCATTCTTCAATATACGTGTCTGCTATTAATATAAAATTTAATTTTGGGACAATTTAGTGTCCTTTTCCTGTTTAGTTTAAAATTACCTGGTAGGTTGAAAGCTCTTGTTATTAGTATCATTGAAGTAATGCTCTTATAAAAAAGGATGTTGGATATGTTTTAGATTTAAGCACAAATGACGATTCTTGGCTTATCTTTGATTGAGTTTTTTTCTAAGGTTGTTTCCTGGCTATTTTAATAATTCTCTCTGCTTTTCAACAGCTTCTACATTCTGCAACAAACTTTGTTTCAAAGGACAATATGTTTAATGTGAATTGTATTCATTCTTCTGAAGTTAAATAATTTTGATGCTTTAGACTTCCTTGTTTCCAAATGACTTCTCCATTTAGTAACAATTAAAGCGAGTGTTTCAAAATGTATTTTTGTGAGGCTATACCAATGGTACTGATTGATTTGGTATTGAGGTACTGCTAATGTTTTCATACCCATTTGAGAAATGTGTTACCTTCACATTCAAATTAATATGGACTCTCCGTCGTGAAACCAAATAAAGAAACAATTTTTGTTGTTGATACTATCTCCTCCCCTCTCTCTCTCTGACTGCCTTCAAATGCTTGAAGAAACGTTGATGTTTACATTGGTACTTTAAAAAATACAATAATTGCATTTTTGCATTGTCTTTTTTTTCTCTAACTTAGTTCTATCTTTTCCTTTTAACCTTAACCCCACTTTCTTGACTAACTTGTACCAGTTTGTTTCCTTCTCGCGTCTTGAACTGAATGGATCATTTTGATAATTCTACATGTCATTTTGAATTTATATTGTCATCATATATCTGAAATATTCAATTTGTAGTCCTTAAGAAAAAGAATGCTTACACATTAGTGCTTAGGTATGTTGCCACTCTCAAAGAAATATCATCAATGTGTGCCATACAATGCAAGAGTTATCAATACTCATGTACCTAAAAGTATGCAAGGTAGATATAGATGAGTAGTAAGTTGTACTTGTACCAAAAACAAATTCAGATTATATGCTCTCATCATCATTGTTTCATCACCAGCATTGCCTTTACTATAGCAAGTATTCCTTTCAATGGTTATTTTCTCCAGTACTTTATCCTCTTTACTTTCTTATTTCTGTATCAGATGTATTGATTCTTTGTTCTATGGCAAATTTTGTTACATGCACAGATTTTTTTAAGCATGATGTACAGTCAAACCTATCTTATACTTTGGTCAAACTGGCGAGACCAACACCAGACTATCAAGTGACTGAACCAAAAATAAAAATATAAATGGAGTCGCTGTGGCAGTCTTTGCTGAATAATTAAGTGGCCATTTGTCAGTAGTGGGAATACCTACATCGCATCCCATCAGAAATAAATTTATGATAATTGTAGAACCTGTCAGGAATGACCACTTATCTACAGTGGCCAATTGTTCAGTTTTCTGCAGGTCGCCTCAATTGACAGGTTTGACCGTATTTCAAAATGTATTTCATACTTAGCATTCATCTGTTTCATATTGTCTGTTTTTGGAGCCAAAAAGGCATGAACTACATTACAGACTTTAATGTTGTCCTTGTCCAAACATAATAGATATCCAGGTATTTCTGGGCTCATATTCATACAACATTACTGAGCCTAGCTGTCAACCAACTATGTGATTAGTTACCAGCTAGCTTAGTATTAAAGGTTTTATGAGTATGGGCCACCAGTGTCTATAACTTAGCGGCTCTCTTTGTGCCCCTTTTCTCTCTTTTCCTTGTAATGTCAGTTGGCTTTGCACAGATGAAATTGTGTGTTTCATAACAGATAAGGAGACACTTTCTCAAAGAAACAATAACAAAATAAGATCTTGTTTGTTGAGAGCCAGAAGGGTGTTTATTCTGTATTAAATGAGATGAGTTAATGCCCTTTTTGCTCTCATCAGATGAACCATGCTAGAACTTTTCCATTTTCATGGGAACAGCATCATCAGCATCATAAGCATCATCAGTGTCATTTCATTTCCATCAGTCAGTGCCACATATACCATTTCCATGATTCTTAATCTTGTCCCTGCACTTGCCAAGCATAAAATGTCAAATGCCAGAGGTAAAGGTTGAATAAGGATTAGGTTGTAAGGTCAGAGGCAACAGTTGAGGAAGGATTAGTTGTAAGGTCAGAGGTAAGGGTTGAAGAAGGATTAAGTTGTAAGGTCAAAGGTAAGGGTTGAAGAAGGATTAAGTTGTAAGGTCAAAGGTAACGGTTGAAGAAGGATTAGGTTGTAAGGTCAGAGGCAACAGTTGAGGAAGAATTAGTTGTAAGGTCAGAGGTAAGGGTTGAAGAAGGATTAAGTTGTAAGGTCAAGGGTAAGGGTTGAAGAAGGATTAAGTTGTAAGGTCAAAGGTAAAGGTTGAATAAGGATTAGGTTGTAAGGTCAGAGGCAACAGTTGAGGAAGGATTAGTTGTAAGGTCAGAGGTAAGGGTTGAATCATGATTGAAATCAGAGTCCTTGTGCATTTATCATTATAATATAATTTTTTTTCTTCTTCATATTATGAAGAAAAAAAAACTTGTTTAAAAAACAAATGTAATGGTTTTCAGTTGAATTGTATTGTTATTAAAAGGTTGATTAATCTAGTGTTGCTTTTCAAAATATGTTATAGATATATATGTGACAGCCTTGATTAAGTTTAGATTCAGATTTTATGAAAAAAGAAAGCTGCAAAGATGGTCTAATAATCTTTACAAACGTGAAAATATGGAAAGCTAATGTATAGCTAATGTTTTTATTTATCATTTGGTCTACTTGATCCTACAGTTTTATGGCATAATATTATACCAATTCCCTATTCTTTACATGGGCTCTGTTTGCAACATGATTGTCTCATTATAAGATTTACTCTTTGATGTAGCCTACATGCAAAGGTAATGTTTGTTTAAGACTACTGATAAGTGGAAAGTATAATTTTGAATTTAATTTTTAATGGATTGCTATGCTAATCGAATTCCTCTTGGCCAAGATGGTGTTCGGGAAAATGTGTGATGTCAGTGTGTGGTATGTTATCAGAACAAATTAAACTTAAGGGAACATCATTGGCTAATTGCTGTGTATAACTGGCCGAGCATGCATGCAGTTCAAACAGGCAATGGCAATAATAAGTGATTTTTGTACGAAATATTTTTTATGTTACAATAACCATACCTTTTAATAACCTAAAAGATAATATGTTCTCCAGAATACTACCACAGAGAGTCTGTTCCATCTCATGTGCAAACAAGAGCAACTAGACTCTTGGCCAATAAGAAATAAGGTTTTTTCATAATTCTGTAAAAGGTAGTTTTTGATTGGCTAAAGCTGCATTCATTAAGAATTTATGGTGCAGTTAAGATCAGCAAGACTGGCAAGTCTATTTCAAAATACCACATAATGTTTGTTTAATGGTCGTATTACATGCATTGAACATGATCAAGTGCAGCTAATACACCTTTTTTCTTCCCTCTTTCATGATATCATCTAGAAGGATAAAACACTAAAGAAAATTGTTAAAAAAGTTAAATGGAATAAAGATAGGGTTAAAGTATATATTCTGTGTTTAAAACTCAGAATACTTTACATCACAACGTACTGAAATTCTAACACATCTCCTTTGTCCTCGACCTTTATCCTTGCAATTAACAGCGGACGGTCGGTCCTGAAACAAGATGAGCTGAAGAAGGTGTTCCGTGACAGGAGTCACAAGCAATCCTTGAAGGTGATGGATGCCGAGAGGAACTCTAGGAGGACCAGTCTTGATGTCAAACTAGGAGAACGTCTCAAGTTGACGGTAATGATGTTGATAAACCTGGGTTCTTGTATAGCAGTCATGTCTGTCAAACTTAACACCCCTAGTGTATAATTATTATCTATAATTATTACACCAGCATTGGCATTCATTGCTGCAATAATGGAGCTCCTGCTTTTCAGGGAATTAATTTCTGGCAGTTACCCATTTACCTAACTTCAGTTGAATTTGGCAAATGTAGATTAATGTTTTTCCAAAGGATGTTAATGCTAGGCAGGGATTCAAACCCTATCCTTGTGGTTGACAGTCGGGTGAGTTATCCACCAGACCACAACCCCTCAAACATCTCTTATCAGATCATTAGACCTTGATGGTTATTTGATATTTCGATTTTTTGAAATATCTGTTGTAACAGAATTGTTTTGCAATTGGTACATAATCACTTGTGTAATGTACCTTTGAAAGACAATAATAATTATAATAAAAACGTTGCTTATGAATCACTTACCACCAAAGTCTGTCAGTGCTATAACAAACAAAATAAACTGATAAACAACTACGTATTACCAAAACAAAAAACTGCAAATAAACCTACAAATTACGATACTTATGAAATACACATCAATGTGAACAAAGCAATTTTGAATAAATGTGTCTTAAGAAAAGTTTTGAATTGGTTGACAGTTTGACAGTTTTTGACATTTAAAGGTAGTTTGTTCCAAAGTTCAGCAGAAGCTTTGCAAAAAGATTGATGACCAGATATTTGCCATTCCCCATCCAGTTGAAGTAAAAGGGTATATTGTAGTTTATCATGAACTTCACAATAATAGTAATGATAGTAAAAATGTGGTCATATTAACCCACGGTAGCTTCACCATTGTAAAATTGAACTTCCTGAGGGTCCTGCAACCATAACCAGGTGACAGAGTTCCCAAGCCCTTTAAAAAAGCCTGGAAAGTCAAGGGAAAATAAATATATCTTGAAAGTCACAGAAAAGGAAGGAAAAAAAAACCCTCCCTACTTCATGGAAAGTTGTGGAAATTGTGAAAAGAGGCAGAGGCAATCACAAACACGAAAACATATATATCACTGCATTGTATTCCAATGCCACTTGTATGCCGCAACCAATATCAAAGTGTACTAATCTCGTCGTGGAAAAAGGCAAAAATGGGTCACGGAAAGTCATGGAATTTGGCTATCGAATTGCTATGGGAACCCCTTAGATGATTTAAAAACATGTGCTTGGAATAGAAGGTTTATCTGTTGAGAGTCAGAAGGGTTAACTCTGGATTAATGTATGAATACTCTTCTGGCTCCAAATATGAATCAATTATTGGAATGACATATTTATGTATTAATCAATTAAGCTAATTACTGAATCTGGTTATATATTTTGTTTGTTTAGGAAGAAGAGGAGAGCTTCAAGGCCCTAGAAACATTGGAGAAAGCTGCGCTTCAGCCCGAATTCATGAATCTCACTCTCAAATCACGATCCGGTTCAGGAAAGTCGTGATGGACACCTCTTTATCTTCCATGTCAAATAGAAATAAACTTGAGAGATGAGTTGACGATTATTTATATAAATATATATATTTTTGAGCATATTAACTCCATTGAAGTGATGCAAATGTGAATATGAGAATATCTGATACTTGATCTGTAATGATCAATGTTACAGACCAGAGTCTTCATTTGTCTTGTATAGATTTGAAATTGATCCGGATTGATCGCAAGTCCTCCATTCAGTGGTGAACTTACAAACTCCTATCACATTAGTATGTGGTTGTGGTTGATCCGGATTGATTGCAAGTCCTCTATCAGTCTGGAACTTACAAACTCCTATCACATTAGTACATAGTTGTGGTTGATCCGGATTGATTGCAAGTCCTCTATTCAGTGGTGAACTTACAGACTCCTTTCACATTAGTATGTGGTTGTGGTTGATCCGGATTGATCGCAAGTCCTCTATTCAGTGGTGAACTTACAAACTCCTTTCACATTAGTACGTGGTTGTGGTTGATCCAGATTGATCGCAAGTCTTCTATCAGTCTGGAACTTACAAACTCCTATCACATTAGTACATAGTTGTGGTTGATCCAGATTGATCGCAAGTCCTCTATCAGTCTGGAACTTACAAACTCCTATCACATTAGTACATAGTTGTGGTTGATCCAGATTGATCGCAAGTCCTCTATTCAGTGGTAAACTTACAAACTCCTTTCACATTAGTACGTGGTTGTGGTTGATCCAGATTGATCGCAAGTCCTCTATTCAGTGGTGAACTTACAAACTCCTTTCACATTAGTACATAGTTGTGGTTGATCCGGATTGATCGCAAGTCCTCTATCAGTCTGGAACTTACAAACTCCTATCACATTAGTACATAGTTGTGGTTGATCCGGATTGATCGCAAGTCCTCTATCAGTCTGGAACTTACAAACTCCTATCACATTAGTACATAGTTGTGGTTGATCCGGATTGATCGCAAGTCCTCTATTCAGTGGTGAACTTACAAACTCCTTTCACATTAGTACATAGTTGTGGTTGATCCAGATTGATCGCAAGTCCTCTATCAGTCTGGAACTTACAAACTCCTGTCACATTAGTACATAGTTGTGGTTGATCTGGATTGATCGCAAGTCCTCTATCAGTCGGGAACTTACAAACTCCTATCACATTAGTGCAGAGTTGATTGATTTCAAGTTGCAATGAATTTGAATCAATCATACCTGTTTAACACAGGAGCCAGGTTGGATAGAGTATGATATAGGTTAAGTTGTGCACCACTATCTTTATTAAAGAAGGAAAATAATCTTCTGGAGAAACTGTAAAATTACCAGCTCTGAATTGCACAAACACATGTATGCAAATGAGGTATTAGCATTTAAGAACTAATAATCTTTAGACTTGAGTCAAAATAGTTGTATACTAAAAACTCTTTGCAGAGGATTGCTAGATCTGCATGTAGCCATAATAGATGCATGCCAAGAAAAATGTCTTTTTCTCATCAATGCATAATTGGACAAAAACTTTCACTGTCGATGTTTTGCCTTCTGAGAACCCAACATGCTCTTCAGACAAAACCCAAAGTGAATATTGTTCCATGTATATATATATATGTAGTTTTAAAAGAGGGGTTTAGTCTGTTTTGTGGTCCTTTTGTAAGAAAAACATTAAAGATATGACTGTACTTACTGGTGTTGTATGGGATTTTGTAATATGAACCTAGATACCAAAATGAAAAAAAGACTTGAATTCTTATAAGAATATTACCTCATTGTAAAAATTGTCATCTCTTTGCAACATACATTTACAAGTTCTTTACAGTGTAATGAGTTTCATCCTGAGTTATCCCAGGCTTAATTGGCTGATCAGACCTCACTGATTACCATAATGAATATGTATGAGCATGTATAATGTGCCAATGACGATAATAAAAGTGGTCACACCTGAACTATTGTCAATCAAGCATGATAGACTCCACCCACATGCCTTCTACTTAACTGATGTTCCATGAAAGGAGTAACATTGATTGTTACAAAATTCACAAAATTCTGTTTGAGATGATGAAATTATTCCGGGAGGCTCTTTTTAATAGCATAACACATTGAGGTCTGACCTACAACAATGGTTTTCATTTTGATTTCAACATACATTCTTGAGCAAACTGGGAACAATTTATCATTATATATAGTTATCATTAGCATTATATGTGACTTATGACTAGCCCTTTAGTATTCAATGCGTTACTTATATGCTAATATGAGGCACTAGGCACTTACAGGCACATTAATTGCCTCATACACAGCCTGTAAGTGGAGAAACTAGAAGGGGCCTATCAATTTGCGTCATAATACTGAAATGCATAGTCAATCGTTATCAAAGCGTTGGGCAAAGACTTTATTCATGTTTAGGAGAAGGGCAACAGGTTTATTATTTTCTGATTATAAAGTAGCCAGTCAGGCACCTTAAGATGCAAACTGTCAAGTTTGTTGCACTTCTATGCAGTATGAATATTAGGTTGTGGTGTAAGGGTAAGAATTTGTTTGTATATATTTACATGGGGTATATATGGGATGAATAAAGAAGTTAGTGTAGTTGAGCAGAAACCAAACAAGTAATCTGTAGTATGCTTATAGCGTAATATCTTGTGGTAGTAGGCCTACTCTAAACATGAATACAAGCGAGGCATCAGCAATCCTATATGATTCCAAACGGACCATATGGTAACAAAACAGTGTATCAGGTTTGCATGTATTAACTTTAAATATTATTCTAATCAGGCATTTGATATACTCTTGGTAAACTTCAACAGTACTTGTAGATTTATTCTGGATGGTCTCCTGATTGCAAGGAATTGCCTTTTTTCTCAAAATCTGATATAAAAAATATGTTATGTAATAAAACAAAATATAAGTGATGATATATTTAATAGAAGTCTAACTTCAGATATTCTAAGAACAATAATTTGCAGAAACAAACAGACAATATAACATGAGCTGAGAGACAGAAGGATGTTAATTCTGTATTTTAGTATGGTGAAACCTGTCCATATAGACCACTCGTGTAAGAAGAGCAAAGTGGTTTTATAGACAATGATTGGCTTTTCTGTTTAAGTGGTCCCTAAAGTAGGTATCATTTGTTTAGGGATTAATACCCTCCTGGCTCTCAAAAGACGATTTTGGAATTGTTTTGTTCATGTAGAGTTCTATATCATGTCAAGAATTTATGTTGTTAACTTGCTAATGAGGGATAAGCCAGGTTGCTACTTAAACATTTGTCTTGCGAGCCAAATTGGTTACTTTCTTGTTATCACAGAGACGAGGGACAACTTTTATAGTCCTATCAAAAATAAAAATTTGACTTTATATTGTCCTATATCCATTCCTAATGCAAAACATTTTTTCCATGTATGTTCAACCCAGTACTTATATATTTTTCACATATTTTAGTTATTATCATTTATTCTGTGTAATAGTATACAAATAATGAATGGTTATGAGTTCAATAGTGCGAATATGTTCATGAGTTGAAAGATTAACATTCTATTCAACGAGGCGTCAGCCGAGTTGAATAGAATTAACGTTAATCTTTCAACGAATGAAAATATTTGCACTATTAAACGAATGAAATTCATTATTTGTTTTATACAACATCGAAGAAGACCTAATAGAACGTTAATCAACAAATTATGCTTTACTCCTTATAAAGATAAATTACAGTTCGAGTCAAGCCTTCTCAATTACATGCAGATTGCCTTCGCGTCAGATACACGCAGGGATACGCGCGCGCACATGCAGCAGAGAGGTACGCAGTCTGCATATAACCAAAAATGCACGGCGCATATAACCAAAAATGCACGACCGTGCAATATACCATCTATTGAATATCATGTGACCAACAATCGTCCAATCAAATGACAAGGATCCACGTAGGTGTTGTATAATTCATATTAATTGATCCAAGTCCTATATAATTATATTGTAATGTTTATTTCATTTAGCTTGAAATGCTCGGAAGCAATATTTTTAAAAAGAAGTAAAAAAAGAAGAGCTGATTAAACCCATTGTCACATATATGTCATTAATGTATGCAACATGTACATGTACACAAGGAGAAGAAAAATCTGTAATTTTTAAGAGAAGTGTGTTGTGTATATGATTTACTTTATTTCTGCAAAATATAACACAAAGTTGTCATGGAGTTGTCAACAAGGAAGGCCCTTATGAACAGAATTATTATGACTTTTCGAGAGGAGAATTAGTTTATGGATCCTTTGTATGCTCAAGCAAAGATGATAAAACTATAATGTGCAACATTTTCTAGTATAGCTTAGATCACTCACTCTGTTGTATTTTTGTTTACTCTATACTTTCCTCATGCAATCCCACTCAAGCACTTTAAAGCACACTGTACCAGTCATAAAAAGTGTTATGATATTGATTTACAATTATGAACAGGCAAACTTCCATGCTATCAAGAATTTCCATGTCACTCTTTTCCAACTTAATTCCTAGTATGAAATATCCATTCCACTTGCTCTTTCATTTCAACTAGAAACTGATGGGTAATTTATCTAAATAATTGAATCATGCTTCCAATAATTGTTTTTCTTCTAATCAATAGATGTGTGTACAAGAATTGATAATGATGAGAGCCTTCCAATGTACGTGTTTTATATGCGGATAAATTGAAGTAAGTTTCTATTCTGTCTATTATATTGATTTTTCTGCAAGTTTGTATATAGCATATAAAGCTTGCATCATTGTAGTCAGATGGGTATTGTGATTTTATGATATCTTTTTCATTCGAGACTTGACCAAATTTATATACAAATATATCTTGAATTTTATTTAGCTCTTTTGATTTTCAAATATACAGATTCTATATCTTGTTAGCTGTGTATGTTTTTTCCAATGTGTTTAAAGTGAATGCTTATAAGTCATTTTTCTAATATGTGAATTTTTATATGATCTAACAGGATTATATTATAGCATCTTATTTTGGAAGAGTCCAAAGTATATCTGTATGGATCTTCACAAATGGCTGTAATCAATGAATAAAATGAGAGGAGAGTCAAAGAGCTCTTGTGTAAGATATTGAAAGTATTGCATTTGTTTTGAAATTTATTTTCATGAAGAATTATTGAATTGGGATCACAAAGTCTTTTGAAAAAAAAATTCAGCAGGGCAATTTCATCACCCCATTGTATATCCCATACAATAGAAATTATATTCAGATTATGTAAACTATGTCATTTCCCTGCTTGTGCATACATAGGAAGTGTCATTATTTTACAAAGCCTTTGAAGACACATTGTATATGTTCAGAGAGAAGGAAATGGAAGGGGTAGAGAGAGAGAGAGAGAGAGAGAGTGAGAAGGATGAGGAAAAGTGCACAGTGCCCCCACTTTTTCAAGTACCCCAAAAGTGCCCCTATTATTTTGACACATGCCCCTCTTCCTTCGACAAGTTCCTGTCTTCCTTTACAAAATTTGTCCATTTTCCATTCCCATAAATGCCCTTTTTAATCTCTAGTTAGTCCCCCTTTTCAGGTGCAAGAAGTGCCCCTTCATATAAGCCCCTATTAAAATCTGATCGATCCTCCTTTTCTTTCCACAAATGCACATTTCCCTTTATTATTCGTGCCTCTTTTTCATTCTTATAAGTGCCCCTTTTCAAATCTGATAATTTACCTTTTAACAAATAAGGGACCTATCCCTTTTCCATAAATGCCCCTTTTCATTAGAGGACCCTTTTCATCTCTGATAAACGCCTCTATCAAAATCTGATGGGTGCCCAATTCTTATTCTCACAAGTGCCCTTTTCATCTCTGGTGAGTGCCTCTTTTCAGGTGTAAGAAGTGCCCCATGTTCACGTCTGATAATTATTCTTTGTAGTTTGACACGTGCTCCTTTTTATTTCTAATAAGTGTCTTTATCCCTTTCGATAACTGACCCCTAATTTAAAGCGACTAAGAGTAATTTTCACCAAAGCTTCCTCGCATTTATTAATGATTTAATTATATATGTAACTTATCAAAGGTCTTTTCAGTCTTCCGTTTTGAGAATATGCTTATAACCCTATCAGGATTGGGGTTCTTTCCTCTTTATAAGATGTAATTTTTCGAACTGCGACTTCACAAATCTTAGATTTTTTCCTTTCTCGCTTCGCTCGCTCGCAATTCGATTTCACACCATTACGACCAGCTGCAGAGTATGATGCTTAGACAATATCTTTATAATATCTTGTATAATTTGGAAAAAGAACAAATGATGAAATCGTCCCTTTAATGTATTCACAATATAGGGGTATATTCCAATGTCTAAAAAATTGTATATTTTCACTTTGAAATTGCCCTTTTTTTGCTGGTGCCCTCCCCTTTGGAAGTCACTCCCTGCTGATGTATTAGCGTCTGGATGCGCTACCGTCAATTGCGCGCACATGGGGGAGTCCCCCCTCTGAAGCTGAATTTGTTTTGGATTTTTGAAACTGGCTTGGTTCGATTTGATAAATAATTTTAGGTAAATTTTAAATGAAAGCTGTTACGGTGAGCATTTTATCATAAACATATGTATAGCATTGGGGGGGGGGGGGGGGGGGGGGGGAGGGGAGGGGGTGGATTACATAGGCCATCCCCTTTGTCAGATATTGAGGGGATATTTACCCCCCCCCCCCCTCACCCCTGATCTCTGTCTATGGGCAATGGGAATGCTTAGCTGACACCAACAAAAGAGAGAGAGAGAGAGAGAGAGAGAGAGAGAGAGAGAGAGGGGGGGGGGAGGGAGGGAGAGAGAGAGAGACAGGGAGAGAGAGAGAGAGAGAAAGAGAGAGAGAGGGAGGGAGGGAGAGAGAGAGTGAGAGACAGTGAGCGAGAAAGAGAGAGAGTGAGAGAGAGATGGAGGGAGGGAGGGAGAGAGAGTGTGTGTGTGTGAGAGAGAGAGAGAGAGAGAGGGGTGGAGTTTATTCCCCTTTAATCGAACTGCAGACGATTCATTTACAATCGAGTCCTTTATCTAATCCAATAAATGAAGTAGCCATCATAAAATCACTTGGCAAATCTCCCTGCTGACTATCGCACAAATAATCGAATTACATGCTGTATTTTATTATACTTAATCAACGATATTTTTGTTCAAAAGTTTATAAATTGGCTCATAGGTCTTTGTAAATTAGTTACAATATATATTCACCTTATAATAAATAAAAGGGTAACCTCAGTAATTATAAGCACCCACATAATTTCCTTAATAATTCTCCGCAAAGAATGGAATGGTGGTGGTTATTTTACCTGACCGCTAAGAAAGCATAAATGCTTGTAAGTAAGCAACCAGACGGCCGACGGCTTTAGGTCCTCTCCGAGGGACCTGGTAATGAGGATTAATGCCTTACCAAATACCAAATACCAAATACCAAAGGGCACTAGCGCATCGCCTTGGTTTCGAACCCGGGTCATCGGATTACGAGACCACTGCTATACCGATTGGGCGTATTTGGTAGACTTCCTAAAAATAACATTAATACAGGAATATTTTTTACATAATCTTCTTAGATTATGAAAATAAAATGCATTTGAAATGTCCTCTAGTAGACTAGTACTATGCATCTTCAAACTTGCATTCTTCCTAAAATAATGAATTCTGAGTCAATGCATACCTAACTTCCTTAGTTTCATGATATGCATTTCCTTATATTTTGCTTTAAACTGAAAATACGTACATTTGATGGTACATGAAATTAAGTTCCTTAAATCAAAACAAACAGAAGAGATAGTTTTAACTTAATAGTTGATGTGAGTGAGTTGCAGGAAATGCCGGAGATGTAGTTTAGAAAAGCGCTGTTAGGCATGCAATACCTAACAGATCAGTAACATGCATAATGTGTGCCTTCTCCTTGGTGCCTCAAACAACTGACTCTCAAACATCTCTTCATACACCACAGCTTCCAATCTTCCACACCATTGATAACTTCCACCTATGTGAAGCATTCTAAACAGTCCAATCTCACATTCAATGTCAATCATCTAAAGTGGGCACTGCAGCCTAGTCTCTGACCTATTCTAAAATGTTTGGGGGGGGGGGGGCGGGGCGTAAAACCAATCACATCGTGACAGATGGTCAACTAACTCATTATCAGTGACCCATTTCATTGTCTCTTGCCCAACACCTGAACATGAAATAAATGTTTCTATATCAAATATAAGTAGTTAATAATGCCATAGTTGGTATATGGAGAGGGGGGGGGGGGGGGGGGGGGGGGGGGGGGGAAGGGATGGTGGCTGCAAGAGAATGGTACCCGTACATATTTTGTAATAGGTTTAACGCACAGCTATCTGCTCTTCCTCCTTTTCAAAATTATTTCATGGTTTGGATCACACTGGAGACAGTTCGACAATGACTTTATACCTAGGTCACATTTGCCGCGGCGGCCGTGCGGTCTGAAATATCTACGGCCAATAGCATTTATAGGACCGCCGCAGCAGTCCCACGGTCACATACGGTAGCGGTCACATAGCCGCACGGCGTATTTTGAATTTTTGGAGACAGAAAATCTGCGACTGCCGCACGGCCTTTGTTTGGAGTGATGACGCACGGTCGCCTAAAGGCGTCCTTGCGGCGGCCGTAGATTTTTGACAAATACTAAGGCAGACGCAAGGTAGCCGCAAGGTGCACTGAGGCGGTCGAAGGGGGACAATACGGCGGCCAGACTGATGCTACCGCTTCACCCCTGGAATATATAAAACGCAAGACTCCCGTACGCCCGACGCACGGTCGCCGTTGAACTGCTCTCCGGCATGGCTACCGCGTGTCTAATCGCTACGACGAACCTATACATGAAAACAACTCCGCGTTATAATCACACGGCGACCCGTACGGCCTGCAAAGATAGGAATACACCAGGGTGACCCTGAGGCCACCGCAGATTCTCTGCGGCCGCCGCAAGTATCTTTCGATTTCGGGGGCGTACGTCCGCCGTATCCTAGCCGTAGAGCAAATGTGATCTATGCATCAGTCATGTTAGTACAGGAATATAGGCCAAATCGGCAATAATTAATTTTTATAGACAGTAAATTCTTCGTGATTTAGGAAAATAACGATTGTTATAATTTATTAATACGTCTTCGGTCGGTTTCGGTTGTGTCTTGAAATCCACCTATTGCAAGCGTTGGCTGAATAGTAAATTAGGTATAATAGTTTTCATCATTTGGACATCAGCAACTTTCAAAAAGCTGATTGCTTGATAATAACAATCACAGTTGTAAACATTTTACATGCTTTGTACAAACAAAGCATTACAGGAAACAAAAAAATCATCTCGATGTCGATCATGAAATTACATCTAAACACATCTAAAATAAAATAAAATAATATCAATTTACCCCCCCCCCTTCCTCGCCCACCACCCCTTGCCAATCAAATTCAAATTAACATTTTATTGATTTCAATCAAACAGATAGGATCATTCTCATTTTTTCTTATACATCGGATAACAAATTTCAAGATTATAGTGTAACATAGATAATTGAGCGTAAGAGTAAAGATAGCATTAACCAGGAATGACACAAGTTAACATACTACTGCATGTCTCAAGAACAAGAACATGATTTATTCCATGACCTATGATCACAACAAACCAAGGATAGATCGGCTTCATGTTTGTTACGAACTGGCCTCGAACGTGATATATCTGCTGGCAACCGCCTGCAAATCATACAAATTTTAATTATCATTGATGAATTAAAGGGATAGTTGAGTTCTGTTTTCAGACCGCAAATGCCTTCAAAGTGCATGGTTATTGCTCTTATTCTTATCTATGACATTTATAGTGCCCTTTTAGAACCTAAAATTGCTATCCCTTTAATCAGGACAAGTCACAAACTTAAATCACAGACCTCGCTATGCGCCCATTCAGAGAGGCTCCGCTCAAAACACCTCCCTGGCTCAACCAATGTGAATCATAGGTAAGATATATCCAGAGGCGTCGCTAAAGGGGAGAGTGTGTGTGTGTGTGTGTGTGTATGTGTGTGTAGTTTGACGTGATGCTACGTAGACAACAAGGTGTCCATTCCCATCGCTTCTAGCCTGTGACGAGAAATACGTTACCGGGTAAGTACGCCGAAAACCAAAACACAAAAGTGTATGTGGGGGGAGGGGGGAGGTGCGACATGCACCCCAACTGTCAGGATATTGTCAGTAAAATTGCGCCGCCATGGGGGGAAATGAGAATAGGGGGAGGAGAAAAATGAGAGGGAAAGAAAACCAAAAAAGGAAAGGAAAAGAAAAAGAAAACATGGGTTTAAAATTCGCAACCACGTGATTCGAACCCGCACTCTTTTCAATCACGCTACTCCGATTGATTGATCAACCATGTTGCTCATTTATATAAATAGCTACGATGCTGACTAGTCTTGACGAATTAAACCGTATATTTATGTGGTCGAGGACAATGACCGTGTGCGCATACGCAAGTACAGTCAAACCTGCTTTAGTGACCACCTGTCTACAAAGACCACCTGTCTACAAAGGCCACATTTGTTGTTTCCCTTGAAAATGTTTTTTTCTCATTGAATCATGTACTAGAGGAACTTGTCTACAAAGACCACCTGTCTACAAAGGCCACTTTTTGAGTTTCCCTTGGGCGGTCGCTATAGACAGGTTTGACTGTACTATATATATAAATCGTAGGAAAAATAATTCAACCCCCCCCCCCCTGCCCCGGCCCCGGGTTTACAGGGTTAAATTTGTAGACATTGGGTAATTGGCATTAATATATTCGTCTGTAATTGGCGGTTATAGTTTTGTCGGTAATCGGTGGCTTCTACACCCCCCCCCCCCTAACTAAAAAGGCCTAGCGACGCCCCCTGGAATCTGATATGAACGCAGATACAGTTCAGGGATTTAACTTCAAAAGAACTCGATTATCAAGGACAACAAATATTTGGTATATGGCGTTCTTTGATAGGACACAAGTACCACACTTACAATAGACTCTATGCGTCATTTTTGTGTTGTGCCCTCCAATGCGTTTGTAATACGGTACTACTGTTTTGAAAGCAGAAATAAGTACTGGTACTCCGTTCGTGGTGTCCAGTTGAGTGGAGTGGTCATTCCTGGCATGCTAACTCTCTAGCTCATCACGACGATAGTGTGTCCCAGTGAAAAGGGAAATACGGAAAGACTTCATAACTATATACACTGATCAGAGAATACCCGAATATGTTACCCAGGCGAGTGAACTATGGGGATTTCCTACTCCTTGGACTCGCAGCCCTGAGCTTCGGCCCCAAACTTTCGGCTGGTCAAGGCGACAATGCTCGTAAGTTCTTTATCCGTTCCTTTTTCCTTTAAAAAAAAAAAAAAATTGTCGATTTGTTTTCATTCGCTCTACTTTTCTTACAAAGTTAGGTAACCATTTTAAATTGTACTTCTATCATGTCTAAATACTTTTAAAATCTGTTTTGCTTAAATCCACATGTGACATAGTCCACCCCTTCCTGTTTTTCTTCTCCGTCTCTCTCTTTCCATCTCATTCTCTCTCCTTCTTTCTCACTCTTTCTCGCGTGCTTGCTATATCTATCTATCTGTCCATAAATTCATTTATGTATCTCTTTCATCAGCTCTCCCTTCCTTTATTGTATATTCCTTTAGTGTGAGTAAACTTGATAGCTCTATACTCGGTTATTTTACCTGATAAAATTATTAGGGGGGGGGGGCAGTAGCAAGGAAAGGCGTAGGATAACCATAATTTTCCATATGCGCAAAAGACTTATATCTACTTGCTCACGCTTGACATTATATTGTTGCTGCTAATTTACTTTTTAATAAAACCTTTCAAGCCGTCGCCACGACCATGCACTACCATCACCACTATTCATTACTGCTACTATATTGGGCTTACTATGCCATACCATACACCACCACCACCACTAAAGATACCACCACCACCTTCACCTCCACCATACCACCGCCACCACCACTACCATCACGACAACGACTACTAAAACAACTACTCCGACTCATACTACTTCTACTAGTACTTCTACTACTACTACTTGTACTACTATTACTACTACTACTACTACTACTACTACTACTGCACTCTAAAAACTGAAATGTTAAATATTAATTTAAAAGGGCCGAAAAAAGAGTGACCACTCTTTCAAAATGTCAGATTGTTTCTTTCAACCTGCTAGGTTCAACCTTTATAGTGTTGGATTCAGCACGTTCAAAGTGTTAATCTACCATTTTGAAAGAGTGGTCACTCCTTGGCCCTTTTAAATGGTGATTTAACATTTCAGTTTTTAGCGTGTACTTCTACTACTACTACTATTTCTACTACTCCTATTTACTTACTAATCTACCATTACAATCTACTACACCTTTCGCTATATTGTGTACTAATAGGCCTTCTACTAACACGCTAGTTGTAATACAATAGGCATAATACTTATCGTTGACATTATAACTACTACAATTCAGAAATACGTATACGGATACGCCCTTCTACATGTATTATCATTGAGTGTTTTCCTAATCAACACTGCACGCAATTAACTACTAAAGGGCTACCATAAAAGTATACCATAAAAGTATACCATAAAGGGACGTGTATTACTGGTAGGTCAGATTAATTAAGGGGATATTAAGGGATATCAACTCGGTTTGTATCCGGTGAGTTTTGTTTTCTCTCTACTAGCATCCGGTCGTATAAAGTGAACATAAAACTACTTGCAGCAAGAAGCATTCAAATGCGAGTATCTTGTCTAACAGAAGAAGTTTTTTCCTTTTCTTTCTAGCAAACTATATTTTACACAGGAACATATACATTTGAAATTATTAGTTAATACATTAAAAAAAGATAACTTTGAATAGATTTAAATTAGTTGTTCAATTTGTTTATTATAAATTCTTACTATATTAATCGACTCTCTACTTTGTCTGTTTTCCACCTCTTTGACTCTAAATAATTCATATTTTATTATCATGTGGTAACTGTATTTTTTATTATTATTATCATTATTATAATTATATACAGGGCAGCCCAATCTGTTATGCACTATTATGCACATGTATGCACTGTTCTCCCATGAGGCCCTATACACGTATATATTTCATCTGCATATAGTGTAAATACATAAACTTTTTAGTAGACCCCTCCACATTTTCTTATTACGTATTGTTGTTCGACCATCTAGACCTCATCCTGTTCATTATGCTCTGTATTGTTTTCTCAAACCAATATAACTATTTGTTATAAACTAGAATAATTTGTGGAATATGAATAAATAACGATAAATGTGATGGTTTTATAGAATACACCATGATAATGACTTATCAAAATCGTGGGAGTAATTTTAGCTTGCAAATGAGCTACATACATCTTAACATGCAGTTGATATGCATTCATATTTGAATATCATAATTATTAACTTATCTCGCGTTGATTTCGATTCACGATAAATCTATCGACCACTTTCTGAAATCACTTAAATATGATTTTATATATATTGTCTTCTAAAGTTTACACGTCCATTTATCTATTGCGTATTTTGCAAATAAAATGATTTCTTTCTTGATTGTATATCATACAGTGTAAAGTCTGATATCATAAACTTTAATTCCAACATCCATGTAGTTTGTATGAATCAGTCAGAAAGTTGGGTTATCCCGAGGGAACTTGGTCCTGTGAGAGATTTTTCATTTTCTATATTTGACCGTAAGCAATGTCATCGGATGCATGACGGGTAACCTATTTATTGTAGCAAGGTTCAAGGTTCAATTTCGTTTTTAGCTTCATAGGCATGGCGTGGGATATAATCATAGCAGACGTGTATACAAAAGGCAGGCAAGCGTTAAATATCCCGACACCCTATACAGTGCGTCCCAGAAAAAACGAAACCGAGTATTATAGATGTTTTATCATAACTTAATCACAATTATAATTGATAAATGACACATATTTGTAAAGCTTAGATCCTCTTCTTTCATTTGATACATCTCATATAATGCACATTTCACGCATGAGTGATTAAAATGAATTTGAAGAGAAGAAACCAGAAAGTCATTTGGCGGACGGTATCTGAATTTCATAGAGAAAATCACATTTCCAGAAAGTTGAGTTTCTGCCCTTTCATACATGTATGACACCTCAATAAGGAAAGATAAGCTAGGAATAAAAGAAGTTCTGTTTGTTTAAAGTAGTGCTTGCATTTCCATAATTTTATAAAACGAATTCGTTTTCACTGGCTGTCTGCCGAAGCAACAAACGGAGTTAAGTCTTTTGTCAATTCTGCTTGTTGCTACGGCAGGCAGCCAGTGAAAACAAATTCATTTGATAAAATTATGGAAATGTAAGCACTACTTTAAACAAACAGAACCTTGTCATTCCTTGCTCATTTTTCCTGATTGAGGTGTCATATGAAAGGGCAGAAACTCAAATTTCTAGAAATGTGATTTTATCGTTGAAATTCAGATACCGTCCGCCAAATGACTTTTTGGTTTCCTCTCTTCAAATTGATTTTAATCACTCATGCTTGAAATTTGCGTCATATGAGTCGCATCAAATGAAAGAAGAGGATCTAAGCTTTACAAATATGTGTCATTTATCATTTTATCAATTATAATTGTGAATAAGTTATGATAAAACATCGATAATACTCGGTTTCAGAAGGAAGAAAGTTATATATATATATATATATATATATATATATATATATAGTCACGCCAACGAGACCGAGAACACATAAAGCGATCAATGCACTTTACCCTGATACCCAAGTCACACCAACGAGGCCGACACCAGACCGACACCAGACCAAGCAAACAATACACATTACCCTGATACTCTAGTCACGCCAACAAGACCGACAACAGACCGACAACAGACAAAGCGAACAATATACATTACCCTGATACCCTACCCACACCAACGAGACCGACATCAGACCAAGCGAACAATACACATTACCCTGATACCCTAGCCACACCAACGAGACCGACACCAGACCGACACAGACCAAACGAACAATACACATTACCCTGATACCCTACCCACACCAACGAGACCGACACCAGACCGACAACAGACCAAACGAACAATACACATGACCCTGATACCCTAGCCACACCAACGAGACCGACACCAGACCGACAACAGACAAAGCGAACAATATACATTACCCTGATACCCTAGCCACACCAACGAGACCGACACCAGACCGACACAGACCAAACGAACAATACACATTACCCTGATACCCTAGCCACACCAACGAGACCGACACCAGACCGACACAGACCAAGCGAACAATACACATTACCCTGATACCCTAGCCACACCAACGAGACCGACACCAGACCGACACAGACCAAACGAACAATACACATTACCCTGATACCCTACCCACACCAACGAGACCGACACCAGACCGACAACAGACCAAACGAACAATACACATTACCCTGATACCCTAGCCACACCAACGAGACCGACACCAGACCGACAACAGACAAAGCGAACAATATACATTACCCTGATACCCTAGCCACACCAACGAGACCGACACCAGACCGACACAGACCAAACGAACAATACACATTACCCTGATACCCTAGCCACACCAACGAGACCGACACCAGACCGACACAGACCAAGCGAACAATACACATTACCCTGATACCCTAGCCACACCAACGAGACCGACACCAGACTGACAACAGACCAAACGAACAATACACATTACCCTGATACCCTAGCCACACCAACGAGACCGACACCAGACCGACAACAGACCAAACGAACAATACACATTACCCTGATACCCTAGCCACACCAACGAGACCGACACCAGACCGACAACAGACAAAGCGAACAATATACATTACCCTGATACCCTAGCCACACCAACGAGACCGACACCAGACCGACACAGACCAAACGAACAATACACATTACCCTGATACCCTAGCCACACCAACGAGACCGACACCAGACCGACACAGACCAAGCGAACAATACACATTACCCTGATACCCTAGCCACACCAACGAGACCGACACCAGACCGACACAGACCAAACGAACAATGCACTTTACCCTGACACCCTAGCCACACCAACGAGACCGATATTAGACCGACTTCAAAATTAACATTACACTCTATAGCCAAGAATAGGTCGGTATGGAGTTGTGATTAAAATTACAACATTTCCTGTTGGTCATTGGTTTAAACGAAGGAAACAAACGCACAATATTGGTTGAAAACAGGAAACTACGTTTTGCATCGTATCATTTCTTGTGTCCAGGCGTCATGGACGT